AAGTAAGAATGACGAAATTATCTTAAAAATTCGTTCACATTACGTGAAAATAAACAAAACACAATGGAAATTAAGACGTGAATTATTAATTTGAAAACGCAGTACATCGGGCAGCTTAAATCAAAGAATATCGAGCAACATACGCACTGTGAAATAAATAAACAACTTTAAAGTGGTTTATATTAATTGGCCTAAGAAAGAATTGAAAATACTTTTTGCGTATTTCAACTTGTACGATAGGAGACTGAAATGCATTAAAAATACTCTTCAATTTTTTATCATCCCCTCAACATATATGACGGGATTTCAATATATTACATATACGAGGGGATTTCAATATACACCAAAGAATCAATGAAATTGCAAATGCTACAATACTTATACCCGATAGTTATTGCAATATGTTTGACTTCCTTGTTATGGATATGCACTCTTTCGAACTTTGTTATACGAAAAACAGGTGCCTGTTTAAAACACTTGTATTAGTATCTCAAATACTGTTACCTTTTGGTTCTTCTTCTTTGGGTGCCGTCTTCAATAAAGGTTGGCAATAACCTCAGCAAAATCATTTCTGTCCCTGGCTTTTCTTATTAAAGATGTTTTGCATAGGTTACTTTACTAGGGAAAATATAGTGCAGTAGTTTCCCGTTGCTTTCTGCACCGCAGTATCACAACCAGTTAAATCATAATTTGATTACCGCCCGTGACTATCCGGTATCAGACCGATACAGAGATCTTGTCTCTACCGCTCTGATGCTGTAATGACATAGCTGCTGCCCTATGCCATGCTCTCAGTTGATCCGCGGGTGTTTATTTGGTAAAGCCTTATTCGCACCTGTCCTACATATCTGTAGTACGTTCCCTATCAGCCATTGGGACGCGCCGTGTCGAGGTTGAGAGCTGCCCCCCTCCGAGTGTGTTTTCCAAGAAGTGCTGAGAAGCCCCTACTCAGTTCAGAACCTCTCCTGCTTAGAAACTAACACCGGCACGGCGTTAGCACCTTTTGGTACTATCATCATCATCAACTAGCCTCTAACGTCCACTTCTGAACATAGGCCTCTCGCATGATTTTCCACTTAGTCCGATTTTGCGCCATCTGAATCTTTTGGTACTGTTCTTAAACAATTCTTTGTAAACCTCATCTTAACCCTGGGTTGTTGCATTGGTCTTTTGCTTTTATAACCGCATCATGAAATTTAAATATCATTTCTCTATACTTTATTTTGTTTTAGTTCTTTTGCTCCTTATCTCCGATATAGTTTTTTTTATTAAGTAAACCGCGTTAACCATGAAAGGTTATTGGCGGGGAAGAGTTGTACATAAAACCAGATGTTTGCTTATAACTAATTACAATTGAGAACTTAAGTCTATTTTTAAATTAGATTGTACAATTTAGTTAGTTTTATAAACTTTAGTTTAGTCACTTTATCACTTTTACTATAGTTACCTAGTTCCGAGCACTTTTCAGATTACTTGGTAAATCACTTTGAAGTCGTTGCAGGTGATAGAGTGGGCAACTAACAATAATGTGTTCGATTGTCAGAAAATATCACAAACATAGCATAGTTTTTGTTGTTCTTTCTTCATTAGGTACTGGTGGGTTAACCTGGTATGTCCCATTCTTAAGCGGTGTTGTATGACTTGATCTCGTCGTTTTTGTAGCATTATCCCTTTTGGTGACAAATTTGGGTTGATGCGTTGTAGATTGTTGTATCAAGTTTTTCCATCTTTCGAGCCAATTCTTTGATGGTGTTTTGAATGTCCGAATGAGGAATTTCTAGGAACTCTTTAGCTGGTCTATTCGTATAGTAGCCTTCTTTAGCTTCCCGATTAGCTTTTCTATCACCTACTATGCCTACATGAGATAAAATCCTTGTAGATGTGTCTCTTTAACTAAAAGCTGTAGCATTCCTATATGTCTAAATACGGACTCAATGTTCCACTGAATAATAGCCATTTTGTTAACATTTTGTCTTTTTTTATTTATCGATGGAAAGAGTATTTTCCTGTGATGCGTCAGTATCTTAAGAGGTATCATCCTGAATACTAAAATCGTGGTTTATTTTACTAAGTAGTTTTTTCTTGATTCTAGTAATTCTAGATTTAATTGCTCTTTCTTTCAACATGGGGTATATTTCAATTAGCATATGTCCCAACCCGTGTATATCCTGTGAGTATTCTAGGGACAGTTCTACTGGGGTGGAAGAATCGTAAACGTCTTTTAAGAATGCTAGTAATTGAGTGTAATTTAGTACATATGGTGGTGATGCATCCTGGATCAATTGTTTGACTGGTTGTAATAACGACTCAATATTACTAGTTTCTGAAGTGGATTTGTTTAATTTGATCATTTTTTTCTTCTTTTTAATTCGCACTGGTTTTGTTTTCGTGAATTCTGTTGGTATAGTTTTTGTAGGAGTGGAGTAAGTTGGGAGCACTTTCGACTAAGGTCCTTTATTTTTATTATCGGTAATAGTGCTGACTTGAGCATCCATTTCTTCTCGAGATTCATCATTTACATGTGTAATTTGATTTTGTTTGGGGCTAGTGGATGGTATTTGTGGAAGAAAATTTTCCTCCGTTTGGGGCTTTTGAGTTTTTTGTGGATAAGAGTGATTTGAGGTTCAGTCCGAGGAAACGTGACCAACTTGGTGGCATTTGTAACAAGTTAGTTTATCGAAAAGAAAAATTCGGTACGAAATATTTTCAAAATCAATTAGGACGGAGTCGGGTACAGTAAAATTGTCTGTATCGGAGACATTAATTTAAAACCAAGATTGATTAAAGACTGTTTGAATATGTAATGGGGTATAGATAAATATTCGTTGGATAAAACTAATCTATTAGCGGGTGTAATTAGTTTACGTGCTTTGATTGTATGTTCCCCAATTTTAATTTCACCATGTTGACTTAGAAAATCATCTACGACTTGTATGCTTGAAAGGTGGATACATATTCTTTCGTTTGACATTTTGGATGAGAACAGTACATTTTTTGGATGGACTATAGTTCCTACTGTAATGGTGAACTCTTCTATTCTTATTTCATCTACTGCCGCTAAAATTATGGGTTGTTTTTTTGTTGGGAATTTTGTTAATGGTTGTTGCTTAGTGAAGGTAGAATAAGTAATGTTTTGCTGATCGGGATTAATTGATTTACCCCTGTCAGAAGTACCACCTGTCATTTTGTTAAATATAATCTTCTATCTTTTTTAAGTTTAAAATGAAATTTTCATTTCAATAATTTTAATTTGGGTAGGTTTGACTCTGTTTATTTAAAAGTAAATAGTCTATCTAACAATTAGCAAGATAATGTCAAGAGTTGAAACTAGTTTTTTTTTATAATTAATATATATATATATATATATATATTTTTTTTTTATATATCTATATATATATATATATATATATATATATATATATATATATATATTATATATATATATATATATATATATATATACCCGGTATTTAGGCGGCACACGCCCTTCCGGTAGGGATCTATAGAGGAGTATCACCGAGACGCAAGCCCTTATTTCTTGCCGTACTGTTCCACCATAGGCCGCGCCGATCAGACACCTGCATATTCTAGTCTAAGACGCAGATTCATCTAGAATTTTAGAACTGCTGCGTTAGCCTTTTTGTTTTCTGTACACCGAGCTGTGGATCGAACTCACATCCTCTGAACCACTCGCAGTGAAGCGAATGAAAATCCGGCCGCCCAGTCCGCTTGGCTATCTGACCGACTAATAAATAAAAATATTAAAATTAATAAATACGAAATATAAATAACTTGTGATCAGAATGGATTAAAACTCAACGTTAAGAAAACTAAATATATGATAATTAGCAAACAAAATTATATACAGCATGACGGTATAAAAGTCGGAGATGCCACACTGGACAGAATAGAGAAACTCGTGTATCTCGGCAGTAATATCAATGAGAGCTGGGATTCAACCGCAGAAATTAAAAGCCGAATAGAACAAGCCCGAGCTGCCTTTGTAAAAATGAGAAACGTACTTTGCAGTCACGATCTTAGCATTGACCTTAGAGTTCGTACGACATCTTGCTACATCTTTCCTGTCCTGCTGTATGGAGTGGAAGCGTGGACTCTAACTGAGGCTATCCTTAAACGCTTGACAGCCTTTGAGATGTGGGTATACAGACGGCTACTTAAAATAAGCTGGGTCGACAGAGTTAGAAATTAGGAGGTCCTTAGACGGCTGAGCCAAAAAACACAACTGGTTAATATAATAAAGGAACGCAAGCTGGAATACTTCGGTCACATTATGAGACACCCTGAAAAATATGATCTTTTACATCTGATCATTCAGGGAAAGATCCAAGGTAATCGTGGTCCTGGTAGACGAAGAACATCATGGGTGAAAAATCTAAGGCAATGGTATGGAAAATCAACTACATCGTTATTTAGAGCTGCTGTCAATAAAGTCACGATAGCGAATATGGTAGCCAACATGATATCCAACGATCGATAACGGTCATGGAACTAGAAGAAGAAGAAGAATAAATAATTTTCTTCGTATGTGTATAAAAACAATGTAATCAAACTACTGCCAATTTGGAAACTTTACTTACAGCTATTAACAGATCACTGTATACTGCTTCTATATATTACGGTTTATTATTTAAATTTACACTGTTTCTTCTCAAAAACTATAAAAGTTGTGGAGCTCAAAGTATTTCGACATTTTTACCTAAAATTTCAGGACCGGGATATCCGATATAGGTTTTATTTTTGATTTGTTTCTTTTGTCCATAATGCTCGTTTTTATAATGTGTGGAGTTGAGAATTTGTTTCCTTATATTACAAAGATGCTGCTTAGTCTTTTTATGATTACTTCATACATGTTTTCATTTAGTTTGTACTGTTATATTTGTTTCCAATCTTTTGTAGTACAATCCTCTTGCACTCTCATTGTTAAAACGTCAATTAATGTTTTACAAAGATAATATAATAGGATAGATAAATTTATAATTCATTATTTAAAGAAAATTTTATTTCAACATGTTTTACAATATAAAAAGTTTTAGTAATAAAATTAAACTCAAAAATAAGTTAAATAATGCGACATTTCCATTCGAAGGACTCGATTTTGTAGACAGGATGAAGGTCCTTATCTGCATTGGAACCAAAGATATTTCTCCATTATCTCCTACAGTTTTAGTAATTTCTGAACTCTCTGAATAAGTACTTCCATTTTTGACATTCCATACATATCTGGGTGTTTCTTTGAGTTCACTTAGTGGTAAATTTGCTCCAAGTGCCATCTCTGTTATTGTGTGAACGTTTTTTCCTTCTATCAGGTTCTAAAAGAATGATGTTAGATATAAGAAATAAAATTTTGAAACAAATGTTCAAGATGATCCTATTAAAAATACAGCTTGGGTGGAAAGTTACTTTACAGCAATAATAATATTGTTGGAAAACCCAACCAAACGTTTGTACACATTCCAGCACATGTGCTTATCGTCAAGGGCACCTGTTTGGACAGACAAGCGTTAGTTGAGAGTGATATGTGATGACAAATACAACTTAAAACCATTTGGTCGTTGTAGTATGAGTAACAAGAATAACACAGGAAAGACGCACATCATTTTAATTTGCAAGACAGAAAGCAGACAAGATATATGAAAATAAAAAGTGCCTACGAAAATGAACTAATAGAAACAATTGAAGAACAGAATCTTCAGAGGTCGATACAGCAAAGAGATTTATCAAATTTATAAGGAAGCACCACTGTCAGACTTCATTAGAATACAAGGATTGCAATGGGCTGGACAGGTAATAAGAATGGGAGAGGATAGGCTACCAAAAAGAGCACTGAATGCTAGAATAAACGGAAAGAGACAGGTTAGAAAGCCAAGAAAGCGTTGGGAATACATAAGCCCTTTTAGGCGTCCGTGTAATGGAGAAGGTCAGCCATAGACAAGCAAGGGTGAAGGCAAAAAATAAAGAAGGCTAAGGCTCAATTTGAGCTGTAGTGTCGTAAAAGAAGAAGAAGAAGAAGTGGGAGTCTACGAACGTCATCAAACAATGAAGCAATCGATGACACTATGAATGACTTTGTTGTTCGTTTTAAAAAACCATTACCATTCAGACCAACTTTGCTGTCGTGGGAGAAGAAGGCTTTCAGAAGAAATCTTATCTGCTTGGGCCTTTTTTTAAGGCTTTGTAATTTAACACACTTATCTGCAGATGCTGAACGAATAGTTACTACTGTTTATTTTTAACAAGATGGTGCTCCAGTCTATTTTGCTTTAGCTGTCTGTAACCACCTGAATGAAATCTTACCGGACTGATGAAATTAGACGAGGTTTTTTAAACTGTCGCGCAACAATGCGACATTTTCATTTTCCTCTAAAAAGAAAGAGAAGGTTAGAAAATGCAGATGTATTTCGAATGAGGACTTTTAGGTCAGTGACTCCGGACATACTAAGACAAATCAACATACGAACATAGCTTAGTTTCAATGGGAGTATCAATACCGATGTTCTAGATAAATCAATAATTAATAAATAACTTACAAATAAAATCGTGTTATTATTCTTTCCTCCTGTAGTAAAACAAAAACAACTCATTACTGTAGGGACTTTTTGGCCACCCTGCATTGTTATAGCAAGTTCAGAAAATATTCAGAGAATATACTTAGGTAGTTAAAACTAATATTTTCGGACGTTTCGTAGTTGATGTGGTTTTAAAGTCTCTCTTGATGAGAGTTGGTTCAATTAATGATTCTTCTTCTTCTTCTTAGCCTTCTGTCGTCCATGTTTGGACATAGGCCTCTCCCAATTCCTTTCATCGGTCTCTATCCTGAGCAACATATTTCCAATTTATTCCGGCTATTCTTCTAATGTCATAAACCCACCTCATCTGTGGTCTTCCTCTTGGTCGTTTACTTTCATAAGGTATCCAATGTTGTATTGTAGTATTCCAACGTTGGTCTTTCTGTCTAGCAGTGTGGCACGCGAAGCTCCATTTAAGTTTTGCAATTTTTATTGTTATGTCCTCGACTTTTGTTTTGGATCTTACCCAGTCGTTTCTCTTTTTATCTGACAGTCGTATACCTAACATTGCTCTTTCCATTATTCTTTCTGTTGTGGCTAGTTTATTCATGTTTGCCTTGGTTAGGGTCCAGGTTTGACATCTTTATGTCATGATAGGAAGGATGCATTGGTTGAACACTTTGCTCCTCAAGTATTGGGGTGTTTCGCGGTTCTTAAGTATCCAACTTAGTTTTCCAAATCCTACCCATGCTAGTCTTGCTTTTCTAGTAATTTCCGCATTTTGGTTCTCTTTGTCAAGTCTCAGGATTTGGCCTAGGTAGATATATTCCTGGATTTGTCCTATCTCACTGCCGTTTATAGTTATATGTCTGGGGTCTTCTGTGTTTGTCATTATTTTTGTTTTTTTCATATTCATTTTTAGGCCGACGTATTGGGAGCTGGCTGCCAGTTCCCCCAACATAATTTGCAGTTCCTCGAATGTGCTCGCTATAATCACTATGTCGTCAGCGAATCTGAGGTGGTGTCTGGCGTCTGGTGGTGATGAGCTAATGATTATGTCTATTAATATATTGATGCTTAGTTTAAGTGAATGTTGTATTTACTGGGGTATTACCATAAATATTGTGCTATTTTAAGAACTGCAGGAATTGCGCTCCATCGACTCCTGGCAAGTTTTCTAAAGAGGTTTTTCTTGGACGCAACTTTTTGTCTATTTTGTTGCAATGATATTCATATAAGAGTGTAAATATTCTATTCAGTATCACTTTCAGATATTTTGGACTGGATGTGTACTCCAGAGCCATTCCCCTTCACAATACTTTAAGCTGGCAATTTGTGTTCTTGTTTCTAAGGTAGGAGAGGCAATTTTATTTGGTATTTATAGAGATTTCTTGTCACAGAATTCGTGGCGGTTAGTGCCGCTTCTAGCTTAAAATCTACTCCATACAAGGTCCTGTCTATAAATGAGTTTTAAGTATATAATAAGTTTTCTTATTTTAGTAACCTATCCGATTATTGAACTTTGGTGATCATATTGGCAATAATACCTTTGTTTACAGCAACTGGAAACAAATTAGCTGATGTCTCTTGATACTACTCTCGGAGATTTCGTAGCTCGGATATTCTTCTTCGACCTGGGCCGTTTCTTCTGGCGATCTTGTCCTGTGTTATGAGGTTTGGAAGGTTACACCATAATTTCTCGGCTGTTATCTCAAGTAGTCAGTGTTTGTCCATTAGTGGTTTTTGTCGTTTTAATCTTTTAAGTTCGAGTTTGATATTACTGATTAATGACTAAAGTTAAGGCCTGTATAATATATACACATTGTTAATACTATGTCTAGTATATTAATAATCCCAATATTAGTTACAAAATATACATTTTATCACTGTTTCCAATTTATTTGTAATTACAGTTGAATTTCAAAGAGTATATACTGTACCTCTATATTAAATGTCGATGTGTTTGATAAGTTAGGATCTTCATTTTTCTCTAAAATATGCTCGAATCTCACCAGGTAACTCCCGCTTCTCCATGGTTCTAGAGTTAATATATTAACGTTTTCTGGAAGTTCTTCACTTAGCCCAGAGTACTAAAATTAAAATTTGTTATATTATATTTGGTGAAGTTTTAAATCAAACAGAAGAAGTAACTGCATTAAAAGTTAATAATAATTTCTGTGTGATAATGACTTTTGTTAGTAAATTATTTTGACTATTTCACTCATCTTAAAATTTTCACATAATCTGACCTATCACAAAACAAAGACAGCTTGTGTTATTAATAGTAATACCACTAGTGATTCATTTTTCGAGATAAGTCTGTCGATTTATTTCTAAACGAAACTGAGTTGCTTGAAAACACCACGAGTCCGTAGGACGAGTGGTGTTTTCTTTAAGAAACTCAGTTGAGTTTAGAAATAAAAAACAGACTTATAAGCTAAATTAAATCACGAGGGGTATTTTATTAGAATATTTCATGAACAAAGTGATAGGTCAAAAATTCAGTAAAATGGGAGGAAGGAATTTATTAATAATACATTTGATCTAGGTAACCCAAATCTACCCATTTCTTGAATAATTCACAATTAGTCATAATCATGAAATATTTATTATAACTCTAAATAATTTGTTACTTGATGTACTTGGAGTATTCCTAAAAGTATTCATTATGTTCTGATGATGTTCGGCACTAAGATGTAAATACGGTTTCATCGAGTTCGAACTTCCATGTCCAGTAATTTTCATAGCTTGTTGTTCACTAACGCCAGATTGTAGTAACTGACTAACTGCAGTGACACGATTAAAGTGATTCGTTATTTTCACTTTTTTAGTGTCTAATCCTATCTTTTCTGCAGACATTTTTGCCCATTTGGATATTGTATTAATACCAATAGGACAATTCTTGTACCAATTACTATTATTATATTTATTTTACTTTCCATTCACAGTCAGAAAAAGTCTATCATTGGTAATAGTTTCCCTTTTCGATATAAGTTTCCGGTATAATCTCACAGGACAGATTTCAGGATTCTTCAAATTTTGAGTAAGCCATTTATTATCTGCACAGTTTTTATCACCACCTTGGCGGGTTTTGGAGAATATCGGGTTATATGCAAATCTGTTTGTTAAACAGCCTTTGCTTTTAGTCACTTCCTTGAAAAAATGTATCATGGAAAAACTTGCTTCGTTGCCTCTCCAAGCTAATTCTACGGCAGCTACAATTGGTGTTTTCGCGATAACACAAGCTGTCTTTGGTTTGTGATTGGTCGGATTATGTGAAAATTTTAAGATGAGTAAAACACCAACTGTCTTTCAATTCTGATTGGTCTATAAGCTTTGTGTTTTCAACGACGTAACCATGGATACTGATCGCAAAGCAAAGTTTGACGTTTGCCAAAAAAATTATTGTAGCTGTATACGTCAAATTGGGTCGTTTCGGTGGTACTTCAAATGAAGTTATAAACCAAAACATTGAAGAAAATATACCGAGTAACACAAGAAAATCTAAATTTTATATATGGAGACAATTTATGATGTTTTCTGTGGACCGCAACTACAAATTAGATGCAGAAAATAACAACAAAAGAATAGCATTCATTCTAAAGGACTGGGCCTTCAACATGCGAAAAATTGATGGTAGTGATTACAAGGAGAGTGTTATTAAAACCATATGGAACACTACTACAGAATTGGTACAAGAAAAATATTTCTGTGAGTATCAGAGACATATTGATCCCTTAAAAGGTACAACCTTCAAGGAAGCGATAGCGGCTCGTGATAGTAAGAGAAAATTGTTGCAAACTGTACCCGATAAAAGAAAAATGAGTTCTGTCGCTAAGACTTCGGATGAATATAAAAATATGTGATTACAATGGGACGAAGACACGCCAGAGAACCTCCAGAAGTTTTTTCATATACCTGCCGTAGAATTAGCTTGGAGAGGTAATGAAGCAAGTTTTTCCATGGTACATTTTTTCAAGGAAGTGACTAACAACAAAGACTGTTTAACAAACAGAATTGAATATAACCCGATATTCTCCAAAACCCGCCAGGTGGTGATAAAAACTGTGCAGATAATAAATGGCTTACTCAAAATTTAAAGAATCCTGAAATGTGTCCTGTGAGAGTATACCGGAAACTTATACCAAGATGGGAAAATATTAACAATGATAGACTTTTTCTGACTGTGAATGGAAAGTGGAATAAATATAATATTAGTAATTGGTACAAGAATTGTACTATTGGTATTAATACAATATCCAAATGGACAAAAATGTCTGCAGAAAAGATAGGATTAAACTAAAAAAGTGAAAATAACGAATCACTCTAATCGTGCCACTGCCAGTTAGTCAGTTACTACAATCTGGTGTTAGTGAACAACAAGCTATGAAAATTACCGGACATGGAAGTTCGAACTCGATGAAACCGTATTTACATCTAAGTGCCGAACATCATCAGAAAAGTTTTTGGAAAGCTTTTGGAAAAACCGGTTCTTTTCCTAGTGAAAAATCCCTACATTGAAATACTCTGCTTGCCAAATATGCAGTGTTACTGAATTACCAAAAGTTCAGCCGTAAGTTTGTTACTAAATTTGGTAAATATTCTAACGATTTGTTAATATTAAAATAATATTAATAAACTTTTTTAAAAAGGGAGATGTAAATCTCAACAGAAAATTAATTTCATATTAATTCTATTGAAAATAATAAGTTTAATTATAAGATTTTTAAAGTTATTCTTCAATTTTACCTGCAGATTCATGGATTTTTTTAATTCATCAAATGTTTGTTTGGTAGGCGACAGTCCAATCCACGGTTGGCGAAGTTTTTTTTGAGCTAATACACGTTCCTGTCCAGTTGTTGTCTTTCCTAAAATTTTGAGCCGATAATAATAATAATAATATATATACCCCCTGAGAAACACGGCGTCTAAACAAGATTGAATTATTTCCTAGGAATATTGGTCAAATTAGAGAATATATACGAAATATAACAAGTAGAAGAGCCATTAAAAGAGCTAATCAAATAATGCTAAGCATTGCAAGACACTCGCAATATGATCCAGAAACCAACACCGCCCAACGTAGCCTGGATACATTAAAACAAAAACTCTCCTTTTATTCAAGACCACAAAGGATGTACAAAGTTAGTAGTAGCCACAAATGTGACAATGCGCTTTTTGAGCATGCTGAGAAGGCGTTCTATCGGAAGCTTAATTCAACTATCGAAAGTGCCAATAAATCATACCCAAGCCAATAAGAAATTCAGGAGTATGAGAAAAATCAACTTTCCACACCAGCTACTCTTAACACCAATGCTGAATGGATAGAAGATACGATGCACAGCTGTCAACACTACATTACAACTGTACATAAACCTTTCACCGCAGAAGAAGATTTTGATATCATCAAAGAGCTTCATAGCTGGAAATCACCTGGATGTATGAAATAAAATTGCATACACAAATTTAAAACATAAATTTAAATATATATATATTGTTATGATATGTAAAATCGAGAAAAATATTGGTGTGTTTAAAATTCTTCAAAGTTAAAAAAACATTAAAATAATTCAAATAAGTAGGATAATAACCAACAAACATTTCGAAGAAGGAAAGTATTTAAATTTTTTGGATTACCTGTATTAAACAAAATGTAAGCTATGCATAAATTATTTCCTTTGTTATACTATACTTGAGTCACCCGCATAATTTTAAGTGAAATCCCAAAGACAATTGAACCGGGTTTTTCCAAATACATTATTGCAGTGATTAGAGACAATAGAAGAGAATTTAGAAAGAGGTTTTTGTTAGTTTTTAAGAATTGTAGAAAAATATTATTTGTAAATAAGTTTTAGGAAATTTTACAATTATAGGTAAAAAGTTGTTTGTTATCGAAATGAAAAAATGGGGGAATTGTGACGAATTTTGATTGGCGGAGATTGAAAAAGGTGGGATAGGTATGTAGGAATGAAAGTTTAGCTAGATTTAGGAGAGAGAGAAGATAATCAGTTGGTTTCCAAGGGTGCAAGGCGAACGGCGGTTGTTCTCGGGTAGTTTCCCAGATGTATGAAGCAGTAGCAGTGAAAGTTTGTGAGTTTTCGTGTAGTTAGTGTATCTGACAGAAGCTGATCCAGTAAAATATTGTAAGTCATATTTTTCTAATTATATTCCAAGAGTCACTGTTCAGGCCAACGAGAGATTCAGTTTATCGTAAAGAAAAGATATTCCAAGAGTCATTTTTCACTCAGGCCAACGAGAGATTCAGTTTATTGAGAGAAGAAGAAGCTAGCATAATTTGAACGATTCGTGCATTTGAAGGAGATCATTAAGGACGAGATACTTGCAATAATTTATTGTAAGATTGCTGATTACTTAGCGAGCGGCCACGAGTAAATAGTATAGTCTACAAATAATAAGGATTTGGACCACTCATCATCAGAGAGAGATAGTTTTGTTTTCTGCAGTTTTTTTTCTTTCATTGATAACACAATTTTTTACACTTAATTTAGAAAGGATATAAATATTTTGATTTAGGAGATTTAGAGTAATACTTGGATTTTGAGATTTCAACTAATATTGTTTGTACCATTAATTTTGATTGTTCACGTACGTAGAACAAAATTTTGAGAATTATTATATGAGATTTTGTTTATTGAAAACTTTTGAGTGTGAATTATTTCATTATTTTTATTTCAATATATAGTGTTAGATCATATGTGTTTTTTATTATTCCGGTATTCTTTGGACCTTACCTTTCACATGTAATAGCATAGATATTGAAGCACGAATTTAACCCTGAGATAAAAGAATTAAAAATTGTGATAGAGTCATAATCATATCATTTAAATAATTTTAATTAATCAAAAAATTAATTAGCTAATTATTGCTTGGCGCACCAAGACTTGAAATATCACAATAATATAGCAATAATATATATATATATACATATATATATATATATATATATATATATATATATATATATGTATATATATATATATATATATATATATATATATATATATAATATATATATATATATATATATATATCCGGTTTTTTAGGCTTTACGTCCGTCCGGGATCTATCCGGGAGGAGTATCACCAAGGTGCAAGCCCTTATCTCTTGCCGTACTGCTCCACCATAGGCCGATCAGATCCCAGCATATCCTAGTCTAAGCCGCAGATTCATCTAGAATTTTAAACTGCTGCGTTAGACTTTTTGTTTCAGTACACCGAGCTGGGGCTCGAACCCACATCCACTGAACCATTCGACAGTGAAGCGAATGAGAGGCAGCCGCACAGCCCGCTGAGCTGTCTGACCGACTAAATTTAAATATTAAAAAGCGTAATTTACGTAAGTCTAGTATAGTCCATTTATCATCTTTATGTTTAATGGAACACCTTCTATATTTTTATTTTATTACTACCTTACATGATATAGTTCATTCAGATCAGGTTGTTGAAACTTATGAAACCCTTTAAAGCTTTTAAAAATATAAAAATATACAGGGTATTAAAAATAAACTTTATGGACTATGGTAGGCTTGTGTATATTACTGTAAGTCTGGGTATGGCACCAGTTAATACCAAAATGAAAGAGCATAGGCAAGATGGTTCAGGTTTCAAGACGTTATTTATCCAATACGAAAGATTGCTGATTGACAAGTTACTGAGAGGATTAGGAAAAGAAGACTAAAAAAGATCTGGGGGAAACGCTTGGATAAAACATGTCAGTAAAGGCGAATGATAGTGATAGAACTCAAGATAGAAAGAAATGTAAATATGGAAATCAAAAAATACGGATATATCATAACGTCACGTAAACAAAGATAGTACATGTCCTTAACACCAAGAATGCTACGATTACAAGAACAATTAAAGCATTTAAGAGAAAAAAGGTGAACAAACACAATCAACAATTGAATAAATTAGAGGAGAAATGCTTTGATAAATTTATATTGCCTTCACCTGGTATAAAAATTTTGACTTCCATATATTCAAAAATAGTTCCCGTGCTGAAAAGAAAAACATAAAATGATATTCATATTTATTCTAAAAAATCCTCCAAAAATTTTATGAGCTATAAACTTTGGTGTAAGAAAGTAATAGATATTTGAATGGATGTACAGGTACAACAAAACTCACCGTCTTTGTTTATTTTTTCTGTGTTGCCTATGACCAAATAATGTGAACCTCTGGCATACATTCCTAATTCTGGATCGAATTCTGTCTCAGAAAGAGGTTCGTCAACACCCTTGCCATCATCAAATACTGTTCGCCTGTGTATCTGAAAATATTACTAATAAATACTTTACATAATACATACATATTTTTTCGAAAGAAATGAAAATTTAAGGGGAAATTAGAAAAAGAGCCTATGGAAAAAAATATACCAAAATATAATTTTAGATAATAAACCATGCAAAAGAAGTAGGATTAAATTCAAGAAACTCATAAAATGAACTTTTTATATTATATTTCTTTATACCGTTCATATGTAATATCGACAACTATTTTTATAACAGACCTGATAGAATGCATTGGTAACAAATTGTAACATTTTAAGTTAACCTTACCGGAGACCCGAACATGAACAGCAAATAGTGGTGTTCAAAACAAGTCGTCATAGATTTAATAAAATAGATTGTAAGTCTAACATTTATTTCTACAACCCTGTTGAAACGGACTCACTTCAAGCTACTTTTAAAATATAAATATCTAAATAAACAAACAAATAATTATAAGGTACAAATACAAACCATCAACTCGATTTGATTATTCTCCACACTTGAACCACCTTGGGACCTGTCAGTGAGAACCGCCATCTCCACATGTTTTTCTTCATCTTTGATAACTATCTTTGAGGTTACTGGATAGTAGTTACTAGAGACAGGTTCCCAAGTAGTATTATAAGTATAGTCAGCCCGTTGGTTTTTAATCCTCTTAATAGTTTCCCGACCATTGGAGTCGGTATAGAAGACATTTTGGTTATCAAAATCGTCTATGTCGAAACGACTTATGACTTCTATACCACTAAATATGGTTTGTCTAAAATATTAAAAAGTAGTTACGCAATAAAAGGAGTTTAAAGAGAATGATTAAAGATTCAATATAAACGATAACGATTTAGGAAAAGAGAAGGTTATCAAAAGGATCAAGATATATATCGCAAATATATTTAGAAATATAAATCTGTATGACTGAAATTAGTGTTTCCGCCACCACACAAAAAACATGGTACATTCTGCTAGATTACATATACAGGCAAGGTATTAACACAAATAGCGAAACACATAAAAAAGAAAGGAATAACAACAGCCTTCAGAATAAACAACAACTTAGGCAAATACAATAACAACAAAAAGAGCCAAAAGAAAAAGCACTTAGTTAGTATAACTTATATCGGGCAAACTGGTAGAACTTTTAACAAACGGATAGCAGAACACGAAAGGGCTTTTAATAGTATAAAAACAGATTATACTATACTAGCCTTTTAGACCATACTAATTCTTTAAATAACCAATTTCAAATTTATCACAGTCAAAATAAAGGCCTTAAACTATCTTTAATATAAAAATGAAAATTAATATATTAAAAAATATAGACATAATTCTGAATGACCATCTTAAAACAAACACTTCTTCCATCCTTAATTTATTCAGTTACAGACTAAGTTTAAATGCATGCCAAAAATAGATCACTTGATATGATAAAGTCACTCTGCGGAAATAGCTATAGTGATAATAAATTTTGTAAAAATTTTGGAAACAAAATTTTTTGGTGTTTATTGTTAGAAATTTAGAATTATGAAGGTAACTTCTCTAATGAATCTTCTCCTGGCATCTGAAGGCTTGCGGAGCCACCTTAATTTATTATGAAAGTGATTAAACAAAAATGACGAATACATATTAACAGCAACAAGTCTATTCAAATTATCTTTACTACAAGATGCAATAGATGTTCTTGAAACGTTAAAATACTAACCTTATTTTATCTTTATTTACACTAACCATCGTAAAATTTACTACGCTAAGAAAAACAATGTGGTCACTGAAAAAGTATTTTATTTATGCTAATTTTACAAATTATTTTGAACAAAGAGATGTTTTCCAAACCCAAAAATCACAAAAAAAATCATAAATTCTACATTTTAAAACTACACTGCTGACAACAAAGGCCGCGATGTTTACCACAAAATGGACGTCGGCAGTGCTCGCAATGATGAGTTATCATTATTTGACGTTTTTCAGACTGACAAAATTGACACATGGCACATTTTAACACAATAGGGCATATTCACTCTTATTGTGGCTCCAGATTTAAACTATTTTCAATCAGCAATCGAGTGGTTCAAAGTTGGCTAATTTACACGATGCTGTACTCAAGGTTTCGTCAGTTGTTCAGAAAAATGACCATAAATGTTTTTCTGTTGTTTGTTTTTTTCTGCTGTCTTTATTTATATTTTATATGTTATAAATGTTTATGATATTTGCGCGTGTCTATAGCATAGGGCTTGTGCGCGTGTCTATGTTAGAGTAGTGTACTATCTTGTTAATTAAGATAAGAGATGCTATGGGTTGCTATAGCAGGTTGTAATTGTAATAATCATCATCGTAGTGATGATTATGGAATAAAAAAAATATATTTTACACTAAAAAACTAATAATATAGTTGTTTCTGCAATAATAACATAGCTTCATAATATTTACGAAGCTGTGTTCATCATCAAAACGTTTTGAAAACTAATTTAAGTATAGATAAGCGGGCAAGGGATACTGGTAAACCCCTTCCACAATATCCTACAACAACGACATTGGTTTCGAAGATAGTATTCTAGATTTAAGTCACCTTTAATAGTACACCAATTCCAATAATTTCAGAAATAAAATATCCAGGACTTCACTTAAATGAAAAGCTTATTTGAGGAGCACACTTTAAGGTGAAAAAGCAACAATGGGTCCTAAAAACTGGACAAACGGATTGCATTTTGTATAGACAAATAGCAAAGGCACATGACGAAACAACGTATCTTATAAACTGGAGTGTTAGATTAGTTGGTATCATAATTTTGAGGAAAATTCATGCAATTCAAAAAAATTGAAGGTTTTACTTAATTTTCACCTTCAGCGACTATTCTAATTAAAATACTTACGTGTCGATATTTCCCACCAACCAATCCAATTCTATATGATTGTCAGTTTTGTACCACCTAATACTTTGGTAAATATCAGAAATGTTAGTAATCCACTTTTGATGAACTTCTTCAACCAGTTTTCCATTGTACGAACCAATCACTTCGACACTTGTAAGTTCTTCAGGTATGTCCTTTGTAGGAGTAAAGACATAGGCTCCAGATGTTACATACTCCTTTTCGCCCGTTCCTACACTAGATGTATAGTAATAAAAGTTTTGTTTTAATTTCAAGGATATACCGTTTATAGTAACGGTGCTAAGAAGGTTAGTCTTGTTGTCTAATTGAAAACTAGTCAGATTTTCCAGGTTTGCTCTTTTTGGGTCTATAACTTCTTGCTTTTGTTTCTCGATATGGTAGATTTTTAAGCCAAGTGGTTTTATATCTCTGGCGGCAAAAACAAGCTCGTATGCACTAGGGGTTTCATTTACAATTTTAACGAAGCTAAATGTACTAAGAGATTTTATCATATCATATTCTTCAAGTCCTAGAAATATATTAAAGCATTAGCTAAACAATAGATAAAAATAATAAAATAAAGACTGCTTCTTAGTTATTAAACTTTTACAGATATCATTATACTATGACCTTATGAGTTAATATTGCCGATGGTCTTTCACTTCTCTTCAACTTTTTTAATTCTTTAAAGGCGAAAGAGCTAAATAAACCAACGGCATTAGGATGTGGAAAGCCACGGGATGACTACCACATTAAAGATCCGTAAGGATATACCCAGGACACCACAAAGGCTGAAAATCCAAAACAAATGGCCTTCAGTCCCGGGCACCCCTTAAGAAGGGAGAGGATGCTAAGAATCCCCCGGTTGGCCAATAATGTCCCAAAAGTTAAAAGGATCGATACGTGGAACATTCGAAACATGTACCAAACAGGCAAAGCAGCAAATACTATTCAAGAAATGAGTCGCCTGTGTTCTCGGACGCGACTAGTTCACGTTCGAGACGCATCGCCCCGCCCCTTATTTTTCCCGTTGGCCCCTCCCTGACCTGGAAATCCCTAATCGCTACTTCAGAAAGTATAAAATTAGGCGATTTTCAGGTCAATCAGTTCAGTCCTTCACGGGCACTCCGAGAGCTTAGTGCTCTCGGGGCTCTGCTTCCTTTTTAGCTTTCCATACTCTGTCGCTGAGTATTATTTCTACTGTATTTTTGGTGTTTTATTTCGACCTATATATATTTGGTCATGTAAGAAATAACTTGCCTTTTTCAAGGCAAGACATCGAAGACAACAAACTTGATGTTTATTTCGACAACTATCATGTAAGATATTTGTCATGTAAGAAATCTCTCGTCTTTATTAAGACGAGCCATCAGGAAACAAAACATTTTGAAGTCCATACCCTGAAAATGGACAAAAGTAGTTTAATGTAGTTTAATTTTGTCGAGGTGACACCTGAACGTAGATATTTTAGGATACAGTGAAGTTCGATGGCCAAATTCTGGAATAAGAGTTATAGCCATAACCATATATATTATTCTGAAGATGACACAACAAGAATCAGAAATGGCGTAGCGATAATAGTAAAAAGGTAAATAGCTAAAGCAGTAATAGGATTTAAGCTCATATGAGACAAATTTGTGCTATTGAAAATTAACTCTAATATAGTCCCTCTAATACAGTGGTTCTCAACCTTTTCATCACTGAGGACCAATTGTACCTTTCAGAACACTTGGCGGACCACTTAGATATTATTATTAATATTTCCTAATAATAGGTAAAATGAGATAAACACTAAAATTTTACTAATGAATTTATTATTTACAAAATAAAAAAAGAAAATACGTAGTGAAAGACAAAAGGTATATAAAAAACAAAATAAAAAATCATAGATAGCGCCAAATTAAGACGTTAATGACTCCCTTGGTTTTGCTTCTCACTTGAAAGTTTCTTAATATTTGGATCGAAAGAAGTTAACGCCAGGAGCATTTAAATTTAGCAACCTATTTCTGTGTTTATTCTTAATGACATATAATGTTGAGAATGATGCCTCACAGAGATAAGTGATATGAAAAGGAAGAAGAAGTTCCAAAGCTTTTTTACTTAGCAGTGGACTTTCATCAAGTAATCCTATCCAAAAATCTGCAACATTTTCGCAGTGAGATTTTATCACTTTTAAATGATCATCGGATGAAATTTCAATAAGCTGTTCATTTTCCTGAATAGACAGATTATTATTGTGGGTAGCTAAAAAGGGATCAATCACCCACAGATTATTTTTTCTCACATCTGTATCAGCAGGGAATTACTTTTCAAAGTAATCTTGAAGTGACTTAATGTAGGACTTAACCAGTAAATGTAAAAGATCCTCATTTAAGCCTTTATTTTCAATCATTTTTCCAAAGGTCAAATGCGGTTTTAGATGGTCCCTGCAGGCCTAGATTCAATATGTTGAGATGTTCAAAAATATCTGATAAAAAAGCTAACTGGGCCATAGATTCTCCGTCACGCAGTGTTTTCGCTAAATCAGGTTTTTTTATCAAGATACATACATTACTTTTTATAAATTTCACGGCCTTTATCACAGTAGTCAAAACCTTGTTTAGATCGGGACTTAATCTTTTGACAGCAAGCATTTCGCGATGAATAAGACAGTGTGTTAAAACAATATCACGGTTTCCTTCTTTCCCTACAAAACTTGGCAAGCCTGTTTTGTGACCTATTATTGCCGCGGCACCATCAGAGCAAAGTCCTACACAGTCTTTCCAAGAAAGATTTTTAATTGTGAAATATCCGTCAATGGCTTTAAAAATGTCTTTTCCGGTTGTGTTACCTTGCAACTCAATCGAGGTCAGGAACTCCTCAGATAATTTTTTATTGTCTTTATCTATGAATCGTATATAAACAAGAAGAATAGCTTTATTGGTAATATCTGTAGATTCATCAAGTTGTATACCCAAAATCTTTGAGGAATGAATTTTCCTTAGAAGTTGGGTTTCAACATCTGATGCCATCTCTTCAATTCTCCTACTAACGGTGTTATTGGAAATAGGAATATTTTGCATTTGTTTAGCGTATTTATCACCTAAAATTGCTTTAGTTGCATCTACGATACATGGTAAAACTAATTATTCCTCGCCAACTGTAAAGGGTTTTTTGGTTTTTGCGATTCTTAAGTGAAAGTTGATATGACGCCTTCAAAGTAGCTTTATCATAAGTTGAGTACGACTTAACGACATTTTTTGACGATTTTAGTTCCGTCTCCTTCCTCTTAAAGAAATCTACATGTTTTTCGGCAAAATTTTTATGCTTCAATTCAATTCCGCCAAGTGAAGAAGACTTTATACATGGAAAGCACCTGTTGATACCCCAGCAAAAATCATAAGAAATCAAATCGATTTTATCAACATAAACAAAAGGTTTAGAAATTTTATCGCCTCAACAAAAACATACACAGGCGCAGATGTCTTCGCAGATCATAGTCTATTGGTTGCAAATACCAGAACCTGATGAGGTGCATGGTGAAATTTTAAAGCTTTCAGAGGCACACTAAATCACAGCTCTTACGAAACAACATCTACGAGACTGTCTACTATCAATATTCATTCCACTTTCTAAAAAAGCCAACGCTAGAAAATGTGAAGAATATAGATTAATGAATTTAATGAGCCATGTACTTAAAGTACTCCTAAAAGTACACCAAATTAGAAGAACACCTGAGTGAAGTTCAATTTGAATTCAGAGCAGGACTCGAAACGAGGGAAGCACTTTTTAGTTTGCAAGTTTTAATACAGAGAGCCAGGGATGTTAACTGTAATGTTAATGCATGTTTCATTGATTTAGAGAAGGCATTTGATAAAGTCTCTCATGGGAAACTACTCGATATCCTAAAAACATCAGGACTCGATGGTAAGGATATATTACTGATCTCAAACGTATATCTCCAACAAAAAGCAACAGTACGATTAAAAAATGAACTGTCCATCGAAAAAGAAGTTGGACAGGGTTGCATATTGTCATCGGCAATATTTAACATATACTCTGAAAACATCTTTAAAGAGGCCTTGGACGAGTCAGAAGACGCCTCATTTGTATCTTACACTTTCGATCTTCAGCAGTGCCTGGTAATGCCTTTTTTGGAAACTTTTGTTATATATATATATATATATATATATATATATATAAATATTCCGTTTTATAACGTCTTACGACGTTGTCCGACTCCCAAACGCCACTGTATTCTGTCTTGAGTTAGGTCTTCGTCCAGATTTCGAGCACATATATTTCATGCCCATACTATATGAGCTGTTTTCTCTCAATATCCTCAACTATAGTGCCCTCTATACCCATTTGTTGTTTTATCACTTCATTCCGTATTCTATCGACTCTTGACATTCTCATCGATCTTCTGATGGCATCCATTTCCGTGGCTTCGACCTTTTTCTTATATTTCTCGGTTATTCTCCATGTCTCAGCTCCATAAAGTAGGCTAGTTTTAACCATTGTCTCATAGATGTTCCATTTTCTTTTCTTTGATATTTCTTTCCTCCATAGAACTCCGTTCAAACATGCTATAGCTCTTCGTGCTTGTACAATTCGATGTTCTATTTCTCGTTTGTCTTTTCCACTACGGTCGAAGAGGACGCCCAGGTATTTATATTCGTTACATGTATTTATTTTTTTATTCTCATCGATATCGAGTTGTTCTGCTTTAGCTTCAATTGAGAGGTATTTTGTCTTTTCTAAATTGATATTTAATCCCCATTTATTTCTGGTATTCTTCAATTAGTTTTCTAAGCATGTATTCCATGTCATCTTTGTCATTTGAAATCACCACCTGATCATATGCAAACTGTAAAGTATATAAGTAATCCTGATCGTTCAATTGTATACCCATTCCTTTGACTTTCCTTTTCCATTGTTTCAGAGCTGCAGAGATATAAATCTGAAATAGAGTCGGAGAGATACAACATCCTTGTCTGAGACCCTTAGTAACTGCAAATTTTTCAGCTAAGAGGTTTCCGAATTTCATTTGGGAGTTTGAACCATAATATAGATCTTTGAGAGCACTAACCAATGTTTGATGTATGTTTGATGTGCCCAGGACTTCCCATAGTTTATTTGGCGGGGCTGTGTCATATGCCATCTCAAGATCTACAAAAGTCATATGTAACTCTCTATTTATCACAATTTTCTTTTCTATAATTTGTTTAAGACAGAAGATGTTATCTGTACATGAACGACCTGCTCTAAATCCTCCTTGTTCTTCGTCTTCAGACTATTGATAATCTTCCTCTATCAGGTCCCGTAGTATTCGACCGTATAGTCGACTCATTGAACTTGTGACCGATATTTCCCTATAGTTTTTACAATTTCTCCTGTCACCTTTTTTATATATTGGGGTCATATATGCTGTTTTCCATTCATCTGGTGTTGGATGTCCATTAATATATGCGTTAAATATCACCGTGATCATTCTGTGTAATTTCTCTGAACCATTCTTTATTAATTCCGTAGTTACTCCCTCTGGTCCACTTGCTTTCCCATTCTTCATCCCTGCTATAGCTTTGTGAACTATGTTGATATCTATGGTAATATGCTCTCCCAGAATTTCGATTCTTGATGAATTCATATCTTCTTTAAATTCGTCTCTGTTCTCATTTAATAGATGTTTGTAATAATGTGTTTAATCCTCGGGATTTATGGGATTTAGAATCCCTTTCTCGTTAGTTGGCTTCTTAACAGAGTTTATAAACTTCCCACCTCAGTGCATTGTCGTCCTCCAATATAAGATTCTATCTCTCTGCACCTTCTATCCCATATCTTATTTTTGGAGATTTTAATTATCTTTCTAGTTTTCTTCTTCATTTCATTGTATCGGTCTTTGTCTGCGTCATTTTTTGTATTCAACCACTTATGGTATAATCTTTTCTTTTCTGTTACCGCATTTTCGACGTCTTCATTCCACCAAAGCTTGTTACTAATTTTATTTTGTTTGATTCCTAAGACCTCCTGTGCTGTTTGATGAATACTTGATATTATGTTCTCATATATGCATTTGGTATTTGTTAGTGTTTCGTCAAGTTTGGAGGCCATTCGAGTCTTATATAGTGGGAAACTTTTGTTTCTTTTTATATAAGAAAGTACTGGAAATTAATTTTACTAGAAGAGGTCAAAAAAATGTAATAGAACTTAAAAAAATATGATGCGATAATACCTATAGCTCTTGAAAAAAAAGCAACATCTTCTAGATCTCTTACCGCTTTTACTAGAACTGTAAAAAAAGTTTTATCAATAACTGCCAACTAAAAGTGTAAATGATATAGACCCAGATTTAGAGAAGTTTATTTTTGATAATGAGATATAAATATTAAATGAGAGTCACCCTTTTTTCCAAGCAATATTCAAAATTAATTAGAGATGTATCTCATACATTTGGCAATTAGTAGAATAAATATAGAAGAACGCAAATATATTTTAAGAGATAAAAATTTCTTCGTGTACGTCATCTGAAATTGGTATCTTCTAGTTATTGACCAATACCGAAACGCTGCTTCACATATTATGTCTTTCACTTGCTAAGTTTTTATTCTTTTTTATTATTGCAGTTGTTTTCTAACCTAGTTTAATATTTAAGAACACTAAAACAAAATTTACCATCCGGTCCATTAATAATATATTTTCCGTCTTCCACAGGCAGCCTGATATAATGCGTTACCTTCCATGCTAGTGGATTATAGATGACGACGACAAATTTATCACTCTTTTGGGAAGTAGCACATATACTAAAATTGGTAAGAAGACAGGAACTCAGGTTCCAGTCTAATTCTGTCTTTACCTCTAGTAGTTCGCTGAAACAAAATATCTACTATTTATTATTAAGGCAGAGATAATTGGATTATATCATATAAATGCAATAAACAACAACTAAAAATTGTGTCCGGCGCACACAAAAAGACATGCGTGCGTTCAACCTTGCCCCTAAGGAACATGTATACCATTGTACAGTGGAACCTACATGTCCGAAGATCAAACCGGTGACACTTCGGTTTCAAGTGGTACCTATCTGACCCCTAGACTTTTCTTCCACCTCTCCCCATCGTGTGACTTACATGGGGAGGTTTATGAACTGATCGTTACTTTGGGCGTCTTGAGAATTAAAACACCCTCTGTTTTTCTTGATTGTGGTTAGGCCACCTGTAGGAGCTTTTTTCCCTATTTACTTCACTGAATTTTATTTCTGTTAACAATAAAATGACTTCGGGACTTAAATACCTGAAGTTAATGTCTTTCCGCCCGAAATATTGTCTGTTTGGTCACTCAGCCTCGGGGGGGGGGGGAGATATCCGCAACACAGGTACTACGAGGAAGGTGGTGCCCCACGATGTTTCGGCATCGTGCCACCTTCAATTGGTGTCGGAGTCGTAAGGGCAGTGGATCCGCTAATGGTCGTATGCCGAAAGGCCAGAAAGACTAGGGTCCCGCCAATTTTATATTGGAGAGCACAAAGCTTTGCAATGTGGAAAAATTCCACTTTACCTGGTTTTCCAATCATAATTACATGAGCCTCCTTCCGTCTATCCGGGAAGTATCTTAAGCGTGGCATGTTTTTATACTTGCTATGCAGACAATTGCTTTCGCCGGCAGGTTTTAAGCGCTTTGTTGATGATCTTAGCTGGGGCTGGTGATATCCTTGCTTTTGTCATTTTTATCTGCTCAGGGGAGGTACGTGTTTTACCTTTTCTGTTCTTTCTTGTTTTTAGGATTCTGGCTCATTTTTCCACCTCTCCTGTGAAATCTAAGTCTTCGTTGGGTTGGTAGTTGTTTCTCTATCCTCCATGACTTATGCTTTTTCTTCCTAAGTGTATACAATTTCATTTTCTTCATGTAGTGGAGAAATTGGTTTCTTTTCTTGTCGCAGTATTTTTGAAATTTTACAGAACGTAGATTAATTTGGATTTAGCTCTTGGATATAATTGTCTCAGCTTTGATCCCTTGGTTTTGTCAATTACCTTTTGACTTAATTGTGTTTTGTGAGTTACGAAATACTTTTGAGTGTGAAAAAAGAACAAGAGATCTATCATATTTGACATAAACAGATATAGACGAAAGAAGGATAAATAAATAAAGGGAAATTGTTTTGTAATACACTAATGTTTTGTTCTTGTAGGTTATTGACTTTAAATGCCATAAATTTTACCCTCTGGTCGAAATTTTTATAACTAATTTTTTATTTAATATACACAGTTTAAAAATATCCCTTTGTAGCTTACCAGATCTCCAGCTAGTTTTTTATAATATAAAGATACAAAGGGGACTGGAAGGTATCCAGATTATACCTATTTTTCTTTCTTTAACTGGTGTTATTTCAAAAAAATGTCTTACTGCTTAAAACATCTAGATTTGTAAATAAATTTTCGAGAATACTTCAACATACCAGATCACTAAGGGTTCGTAATACGGGACATATTAAATACAATATCAAAAACATTAATTCAAAAACAAAAATAAGTAACTAACCTTATTATTTCAGTAAGTGGTTCTTCTGTTTTTTTAATAGCAGCACTTAAGGTTCTTACATAATCATTAGTAACTGCTTGGGTTGCAGTACCGGTTATTGCATCATGATGTTGTAATGTTCCGAGAGCTTTTTTAAGATCCATTAAATTCTCATCATAACCTCTTTTGGAACTAAGTGCATATAACTGTTTACTTGCCTGGAATTGTAAAATTAATATATTGTTTATTATAGTAGTAAATATTTTTTCTTGTGCGGTACTTCTTCAAAAGGTACCTTATCTAAAGGTTGCTCTTAATAAATCTATACAGATATCATCAAGATTATCAAGGAATATAAATGGCAAAATCTTCACAAAAAGATTGAATTGAATGGGCTATCAATAGCTGAAGTCAAACAAATTTTTATGAAGAGGATGGTACCTTTCCAACTTTGCAGCATCAGGGAATTAATATCCTAGTATCTCACTTGGCAAAAATTTTCAAAAATAATGTTGAATATGTTGCTTTTGTGAGTCCAATACAATTTAGGTAAACAGAAATAAAAAGAGACTTAATAACAATCAATTTATTCTGTCACGGACGACCGGCTTCGCATATTACAATTTACTATGCATCCTCAGATTTCTGGTACGGGAGAATTAAATGCTAAAATTACAATAATGAGTTTTAGGATGCTGTCTGGTACAAAATATATATATATTATATATATATATATATATATATATATATATATATATATATATATATATATACTTTTAAAACTGAATATATATAATATTGGCATTATTGTTAAATATTTAGTTTCAGACAGCACGCTAATACTGCTTATTGTAATTTTTTTGCTGTACCGAAGACCTTTTTGTTGTACTACCGAAATCTATAATACAACGGAAAGCACAGAAAAGAAGACAGAATCAATTAATAAAACGATAGACCACATTTAAGACAATTTTATGAAGAATGAAGACGGTAAGAGTAAGATATGAATGACGACAGAGATTATGTAGCTGATGGAAATAAGAAGGAAAAACAAGAACAATAACTCTATATATTAAACATTACAACGAGATATACAGAAAAAGATCAGAGAAGCCAAACAGAAAGAACTGAAGAAAATTGCCAAGAGATCGAAATTGTACAAAGTAAATTCCGACAACTTCAAAATACTTCAAAAGGTAAGAGAAATTATAGGCAAATGTAAAAACAGAAAGGTAAGTAAACTTGTTAATGACAACGGAGAGGTAATCGCGGGCAAAAAAAAATGTACCTGGAAAAATTACAAACGAAATTTATTTTTTGATGAAAGGGAGAACCAGTCCCCAATACATACAGAAACAGGACTACCTATCCTAGTGGCAGAAATAAGAGCAACTATAATATCACTTAAAGAATGGGGAGCTCCAGAACCAGACGGAGTACAGTATGAATTCCTTACACTTCTTGAAAATTAATCTTTAAGAATACTATGTAAAATCTTCAAGAATATCTATGACTCAGGCAATATTCCAAAAGATTGGCTAATTTCAGAATTTATTACGTTACCAAAGAAACTAATGGTGGTATGGCTAATAAGTCTAATGAGCCATACACTAAAACTTTTTCTTAAAATTATATATCGTAGAATATACAAGCTATGCGAAGAGAGAATACAAGACACACAGTTTGGATTTATGAAAGGCGTAGGTATGAGGGATTCGCCGTTTAGTCTACAGGTATTATTCCAAAGGTGCAGAGATATGACATGCGATATCTAGACCTGCTTTGTGGGCTACCAAAAAGCATTTGACACAGTTCAACATCGAAAAGTGATGGATATCCTACAAAAGCCCAAACATATGTTGAATACCACTCTATAATACAAAATTTATACTGGAACCAATCAGTCACAACAAGAACAAATCTTAGAGATGAACCGACGGAAGCAATACTTATTCTATAGTCACACAGATTTCAATTAAAGATGTCTCATTTACAAATTTAACTGAGAGCTATCGGCAACAATGCTAAATATCGGGAGTAAAATCTTACCGGGGTCGTTTTTATTGTGTATGCTTCGACAATGTAAATAAGTAAAATATACGAAATAATATCATAACATTTGCCCACGTATCAGTATAAATTGTGCATACCGGTTCGTTTTTCGAACGTATAGTTGGACCAGTTCAGTTAAATATTTTAAAACATCGGTAAACTTATCAACATTTCGCTTGGCTATATATTTACGTCCTTGGAAAAAATAGTAATGAGATGATATATTTGATTCGTTTCACATTCTTATATGTCCAGAGGCGGGGTGTGTTCTGTTTCTTGTGCATGTGACTTTCTTTTATATATTTTTTAAATAGACTTTATTATTATTTATTAATTTTAAAATAGTTTTTGTGGTAAGTAAACAACAAATACATAGCAGAATATTATGATTGATGTTTATTCTTTTTAGAGCATTAAGATGGATGACGTAGCGGATCCAAGCAATGTACAAAGAAAACGGAAGTTTATGTCGGTAGAAGAAAAGCAGATTGTCTGTAGAGTGTATAAAAACTTAAAAAATACACTTCGTATAGTAGAAGCTTTAGCTCAGTGTTCATTTTTAACGGGAGTATCCGTGTCGACAATAGAACGCATTGTACGTGAAAAAAGGTGACTGGGATTGTGCAAGCTCCAAAAGTACATTATCGTGACAGATATCGCCAGCATGTTGTAGATACAATGGCACGTGCTAAAGGCATTACAGACAGAATTAAACTGGGCACAAATAAAGGGTTACATAGATCGTGAAAACGTGACATATAAAATTTCTGATGTCCAACGTTTGTTGGAATTCGCAATGGAACGGATACGAAAAGAAGATTGGGTTAATGCCGTAGCTCATGTAATCAAGAAAGAAGATCATCATCCTTAAAAGTGTTATTTAAAGTTTTTGCAAAGTTTTGCCCAAAAAATTTTGCAATCTCAGTGTTTAACTTATTGCCTAATTTTAATGGTGGAATTTTATGGTAATACGGTATTCACAGATATCGCGGCTGTAGCACATATTATTTGTCCATAACAGTAATTTAGATAACATAAATCACTTTTTAAATGACATGTGTGAATGGAACTTTATTTTTCTAATAACAATATGTTCTTGCAAGTGCATAACTTTGTTTAGTTGGTAAACCTACATTATCCGTCACAAAATTAAACAAAAATTATTAGAATAAAAATAAATAATAAATTAACTGTATGAATACGATATATAATATTCCGTAATTCCGTAGTGTATTCGAGTTTATTTAACTCTTTTTCATAACATACTAAAAATTAACATAACAAACATCATTAGAACAATGAAGTTGTATCTTCAACAGGCTTACCCTTGTGAGTATTGTGTTGTAAAATTATTGACATTGTTAATTTGATTTTCTTTTTCTTTTTGTCTAAACTTATTACTACGGTTTCCATGTCTCTTCTATTTTTTATATTTATTTTAGGTTAGTTTGACAGAGGAAGTGTCTATGTTTATGAAAACATAGTTTCATAAACATCAAGTATCTTTGATATATTCCCTAGTAGTTACTCTTTTCCTCTTATTTTGGGCTTTTGGATAATAATAGATCACCTAGTAGGAGCTTAGAACGCTTAGTGGAACTATGATGGGACGTCGGTCAATATAAAATCCAAGGAAGCGGTGGATAGACGAAGTAAGAACCGATGCTAAAGAGATAATAATGAGGGTGGATAACTGGAGGAGAATAGCCAAGGAAAGGGGTGCTTGGAGGAGGATGCTGGGAGAGAACAGGGCCTAACGTGGGCTGTAGGGCCATAGGAGAGAGATTATATTATATGGAGAGTTATAGTATAACAAAGTAAACTGAATGATTTCTATATTAAAAATGTCATTAATAAAATAAATTTTATTGTGTATAATAAATTATACATAAATATTATATTCATTTCATTTGCTTTTAACGGAACAAAATCAAATTTTCTTACGGAACATAAAATATACGTAATTACTATTTAAATGGGAATAAGCCACAATTAAAGGTTAAAGTACGTTTATTGACGTTTTAATATCCACTTCGGAAATCCTTCTCAAAATACAAACAGTAGTAAATTAAACAAATTTTGTTTCTTTATTTAGAAATTGAGACGTCAATAAACTTACTTTAACCTTAAATTGTGGCTTATTCTCATTTAAATAGTAATTACTTAAAAATGCCACAAGAAAATAGCTTCAGAACAATAATAAAACATATGAAATTATATAATTTACTTTTTAAATGATTGAAATTAAATTTTAAAAATTATTTGATGCCCATTGATCATTGCTTAATTACTAACCTTTCTTCTTATATGGCTTTTACTTTATCCGTCAAGACACATATAATAATTTAATAATTATATCGGTCTTAGATTTAATTTTTAGGTAATTACGTATGTATTTAAATAAATAATTAAAATTTTATTTTGGTACGCCACTGCAAAGTTGATAAGGGAAATATCCTTTCGTAGCTTTAAATGCGATGTTGCTAAAAAATCGTCTTTAAGTAAAAACTGCATTAGTATAAGAGGCGTTAGACAAGGATGTATGCTTTCACGTATATTATTCAACTTATATTCAGAGGAAATATTTAGTAAAGCCTTGGAAATTTGCGAACATGGAATCCTTTTAAATGGAGAACTCCCAAACAACATTCGCTATGCAGACGACAGCGTTATTTTTGCAGACTGACTGCTGCTGACCAAATATGGTCAGCAAAAACAAAATTATAGACGTTTAACTACTTCTCAAGAATACACCAGTTGACCGACTAAAACAGGTTACCTATCTTGGACTCAGGTTACTCACAAGAAATAAAATGTAGAATAGAGAAGACTAGGAGTGTATTCCACAACATTGCCAAGCTCTTTAAAAGCCACAACCTTAATCTGGAGATAAAAGTTAGTCTCCCATAATGTTATATTCTCTCGATATTATACGACGGAGTTGAATCCTAGACACTGACTGAAGCGATGGAGAAAAAACTTAAAGCCTTCGAGATGTGGCTATACAAAAGAATCCTAAGGATATCATGGACGGACAAGATAACCAACGGGACTGTACAACGAGGAATGGGAAAACAAAGAGAATGTATACTATTAAAAGGAAAAAGGTAGAATAAGTCGGACACATAATGAGAAACAGCACTAAATATAGATTACTGAAAATAATCCTTCAAGGCAAGGTATTCGGAATGCGAGGAATTGGGAAAAGAACAATATCATGGTCTAAAACCCTGAGAAAATGGTTCTCCACATCAACAACTAATATATTTATTAGTTGTTGTTGTGATATATTTTTTTTAACATAACATTTACATTTAGGTACATTATTTAACACAACGTGAAATACTGTTTTTCTTATCAATATTTGTGGTTTACGATTCCTTAAATAAGACAAAAATGTGTATTTACTGCCCGCGCGTGATGTCTTATTTGTCGGTAAATTAGCACAGTTCCAAGACAATTAGAAGCTGGTGGACAAAATTAACCTGAATATTGATCTCGACAGGACACGTTTTATTGCTATGATGTTCCATCGTTTTCGTGGTCTTCCTACTGATCATCTTTCTATTGGGGAACCGTTTCTTGCCGTCTTTACTACTGTATTTGTTGTTATTTGGTTCATATAATCGTTCCATTCTACTCTTCTATTTCTTACCCAGACCTTTATGTTCTTCACCTTCTCCTTTTATCTTTCCCAGTGGTTCTGTTCCTGCGTTGATTCTGTTATTTTTGAGTTTTTTCAGCTTTCTTATATTCCATTCCCAGCAATCTTCTCTGATATTATTTTTCTGTATAAGTATTCCCTGGATTCCATATTTAGTTCTTCGACTTTAATTTTTGTTTGTTGCCGACGGTCTCTTAGGTGTATGTAAATTATGTCAGGATGATTGTTCACTCTTTTTTACTGAATATATTTCTGTTCCTCTTTACCAACGTAAACCTGTCTGATTCTGGCTTCATAGTATTAAAAAAAAAAAACCAAGAGTTAAAAAATTTTACAAAATTTTTACCTGAAGTATGTTGTTTCCGACCCTTTCAAACCTTTTCAAATTGGTCCTGGAAGTAAAATAACCCGCCCAAAAAGCATGATTGAAATCACTATATGGAAAGAAGTCATCAGTTTTTAGTGTTAGATTTACGTTATCATCGTGTACACTCTTCATATAACAAGATGGCGTAGAATAAATCAAATTGTACTTCTGATGATTCTTAAAACCCCTAAAATATTAAAATAAAAAAATAGGAATAATGGGAGAAAAGTTGTTAACAAAAAACAATAAAAATTTAATATAAAATGGATAATATTGATTTTATAGTGCAGTGTGTCAAAGTCTTTAATTCTGAGTACCATCAACACATCGATTCTTTTGAAATTTTAACAGTAAGTAGGGAATACTTTAAAGAAATCTGCCTAATAAAAACATTTGTACTACCTTGAGGGTGGAGTTCACCCTAACTCGAGGGTTGGAACTTTTATATTGAAAATAATTTGAAGAGTCTATAGGAAAATATATCTAAGCAAAAAATGTTCTACAGCGTTTGCTTTTTGGGTCAATAATTTTGGTAATCGAAGTACCAAGATTATTCATAGAAGTAATCTAGTACTTCTAGATTACTAGAAGTACTCTATTGCTTCTAGGAATCCGTAAAAACGGATTAACGTGTTGCACACATTTATGCAACGTAGTTGCACTAATCTTATTTATTGCATCATAAAAAATATTGTTTATATCTGCAAATTTAAAAGTAAGGTTTTTGGCTGCTACATAATTTTTTACTTCTGCTCAGATGAGCTCAATTGGATTGAGCTCACTTGGGGGCAGCCTTAACACTACTTTGTTTTGGCTTTTTGCCATCTCATCCATGATATATTTATTATATTGTCCCTTATGTTCCTTAACGATAGCCAGCAGTTGCACTTTTAACATGGAGTCCTCTAACCCTATATTTTTTTTTTATTTCAGCTACGCTTGGATGTCAGCTTTTCTAGAAGCAGTAGTTTAAATTTTTTTTCAATTTTCTGGAATGATAAGACCCGTTGTCCAATACGAAGATAGAGTTGTCTTCTAATCGAGGCAGTATATTTTTGAACCAATTTTCGAAAGATTGCCCATCTCTTCATGGTCGTTCCCACTTTTTTTTATTCAAACACCCACAGTCCTTCTGGAACAAACCCATCTTCACTGCCAAGGTGACAGGATATTAGAGTTTTTCCTTTTCTTGAAAATTAAATTATTTTAAAATTGACTTAAAGTGAAAAAAACACGTAAATATTTACCTGCAGGATAATTTAGCTATGTGTGTGCCAAATTGCATGTCAACCCAAGCGGTTGTTTGATAGTTACAGCAAAAACCATGAATAAATAGACAAAAAGGGAAAAAAAACTTTTCGAAACATCAATAAATTAAAATATTGGTTTCTCTTACTTCTATTAAAGTAATTATTGTAAGCTGTTTTACTTTTAATTAACAAATACTTTGTTTTTGGATACTAAAAGTTTTCTACGCACTATAAAACTTAATACTAAACACAAACTAAACTCTAAAAAATAATATGATCAGTAAATAACTTACCAATAACTATAACATTTAACACACAATATATTTTTAGCATTTCCAAATCGTTTGATATAAAAATTCTTGGAAATATATTGAAATCCCCTCGTATATATATATATATAAATATATATATATATATATATATATATATATATATATATATATATTGTTATGCTATTTAAATTTTATTATATTGCTTATTTAGAAAAAATCCTGTTTATATTTATTAAATGATCTAATCTCCAATTAATCACAATAAATCAGCATTAATTAATTACAATCTAAGGCTATTTAACTTGTACTATTTACCTTTGATCGTGGATTCAAAATATTTTCCAATTGGCTTCCTAATTGGGATAGGTAATATGACCTGAATAAAATACATAGAATTTCAACTGAACTGTATGTGAGATGTCCTTTATTTTAATGAAATTTTATATAACAATCAATCCTGTAATATTTGCAATATACTAACTTTAAATATATGAGAAGTTGTTTTCTATCATGGACCCAAATGTTATTTTACATTGATTTTTAATATGTGTTATAACTAAGTTCTTTTTATAATTTTTTTTAATGATCGCAAAATTAACTGTCTCTATTATTTATTCAATTTATTTAATTGATAAATGGAAACCACACTCCTGCTCTAATGAAAATTGACTGACCTTTCTTTCCCTGCCGTTGCAATTCTATGGCCACGCCAAAAAAAAAACCTTTCTCTGCTTCTGCTCCTATTGTGGTCCAGATGACGTACACCTTTCTCCTATCTGTCCTTGTATCTGCAACCCAACAACTCGTGTTATTCTATGCAGCCTCCTTTTGAGCCAATCTCCGCGCCTGTTTATAACTATAAATGTTTCCGGCTTTGTCTGATATTAATATTCTTATACCCTTTGGTTTTTCTATCTCTCTGTACCCCGTTCCTCACACTGGTCAGCTTTTACACAGCAAATAAACACACCCGGTAAATTACGTCTTCGGGACTTCAAACAAACACAAATCACAAAGCTCCTTCCTTCTTGGACGACGGAAACTGACTAACTAACTTTTTTCCTCTCTCCTATCTCATAGCCAAAACCACCACCTCCTTGCATTCAAAAATTGACCAATAAAAATCATCCACCTCTGTGACGTATATCGTTACCAACCAACTCTCTCTATAAAACGTCATTCGGGTAATTCCAGAAAACAACATTCTTTCTTCTCATTTCTTACTAATAGCTACAAACGATACCTGTTTCTCAATTCAATGTCTTTTGTTAATAAACTTTTACCGATATTATCTTTCAGGGAGAAAAACCACCGCAAATCCCGGTCTATTGTTTAAACACTTTCTATCTACACTTTTATTCCGGGTAAATCCATTCCACAATAACCGACTTATTTAAATTTCTTATCGATAATATTTGAAAGTCTTGTCTCTGAGGCCTAATGCACAATTCTTCGAACAACTTAAAATACATATTTTGTCTTATACAGGATGTTTGAAAATTTATATGCCCGTGTCTTTATGAAATATCAATATTTTAATTTTTATTTAAGTAATAAAATTTGTATATCGGTTTTTTATTGCTTATGGACATTCAAAAGTACAACAATATATATATATATATATATATATATATATATATATATATATATATATATATATATATATATATATATATATATATATATATTAAATTGAAATCCAGTTATATGTGTAATAAAATAATGAAGATTTTTTATGTTTCTTAGTTCGTATCTTTTCAGTTAAAACCGTAATATTGCGTTCTTTTCGCGTCGCTAAGTAATATAAGCCATCTTAGAGTTGTTTATTTATTTGGCAGCTGCATATTTTTCTTCGATATAATTCTTTGATTTAAGCCGCCTGATGTACTGCGTTTTCAAATTAATAATTTACATCCTAATTTCTGTTGTGTTTTGTTTATTTCAAGTTATGTGAACGAATTTTAAAGATAATGTCATCACTTTCGTTGGAGCCGCGGTGAATGGAGGTGGTCTTCAACGTTATGTCCAAATTTTTCATCTCTTTTCATGAAGAATTTGTAATGTCATTTTGTTCTTCGTAGTGGAAATTAATTTAAGTAGCAGTTAATAGTGGCAATTTAAGGTTTAATTGTAGTCCAATTCTACCTACCTAGTTTTTTTAAGATGCAGAGCCTTTAGTTTTGTTCAGTGCCGACTTTTTCCTCAAATGGTCGATCCAATCCACAGTGGAGATGATTTTGTTCGTGTGTTCGTGTTCAGAGAACCCCAGTTATGGTTTCAGAAACTCAATGTGTGCTCAATTGAAATACAGGTAACTTTTTAGGTGTTTGTTTAATTTTAAAGTAAAGACAAACATTTTTTTATAACAATAATTGCTTTCGTAACAATTTAAATTTTAAATAATTAAAAAATTGTAAAGTTTAGATTTAAACTTTAGCTGTCATCTAAATTGTTGTTTTAAATTTAGTGTTAATTTATAACAGCTCGTTTTAGTATTTTTGATTGATTTGTTTTGTTTTAAAAAAAAAAAAGGTTAACCTCCATGCAATTTTGTAAGATTTTTTGTGTTTTTTTATATTTATTTTTTTGTGTTTTGTATATTTGAGGTAATATATTTTGCGTTGTCTTATTATTGTAAGTGTGGTGACACAACAATCAATGTTAAATTTTGTTTCTTAACATTTTGTCTATTTTTTTTAAATTAACCCTTTTTTTTTAATAGTATCCCAAGTTATCGTTACAAAAATGTCGCCCAGATATATTTTGATTTTTTAATAATTATTTCCCTAGTTACAACTAGCTGTTGTAATAGTTATAATTAGGCACCTCGAAGTGGCGCTCTATATTAAATTACTAGAGGTGTTTTCTGTTTTTTTTTTGTTTGTCCCAAGAACTTAGTTGTTTGATACCCCTTTTGTTTCTTTTCTCTGTAGTTGCCCCATCCAACCCCCTTGCCATTTATTTATTCGCAACCCCAGCTTTACTAACAAACCCTGAGTGCCGTTCGTACAAGTAGAGTTAATTTTTCTTGCTCTATCTCTACCCCCATAGTTTCTGTCCCCAATCATCTACCCTTTATATTATTACCCCATGTGGTAGGCAAAATATGTTCGTTACATATTAACTTATAAACCAACACGCTAAAAATACAATTTGAATTTAAACAGACTGGCAAGTTTGGACCTGTAAAATGAGAATACGTCTGGCTTAAGGCAATAAATTATATTTAAAGCCTCTTCAACTTAAGAACAGAAAATTTTTTATGTATACGTTTGGGTAGAGTGGGTGCAGGTACTCGTATTATTTTTTGTTCTAAAAGTTGTTAATTTATATTGGGTCTCGTTTTGCTATTGCTAGTTTACTTTAATATTTATGTTGTAAACTGTAATAAGTTGTCCCTATTATATTAAAAAATAAGCTTACTTTATCAGCTTGTCCATATTATCAAAATACATTGCAGATTGTTGGTATTGAAAATCTCCACCCATTACGACCAAAATATTCTTGTTATCTGTGGAATAAAATTTAGCATACCCATCTAAAATATCGGTGAAACGGCTAACCTAAAAAAATATAAATCGTAATAGAACGAATCTTTTTCAGAAATAGTTATAGTTAGAAATGACACTATAAAAGAAATGATCGGTCTTAAAGGAACCTGTCATTCAAATTGTAGGGGACAGTGGGGCATACTGAGAGTACTGGGGCAAAGCAGAGTTTTTTGTTTTGTAAAAAAGCATATACATCCAGGACCAGCGTATATCTCAGTCGAGTGGTTTCCAAGTGATGAGTGGCCTTTACAAGCATTAGTTGATTATGATTCGATGCATTTTGTTAGAAACCAAACAAACTACGACATTTAATTTTTTGTTTATCGAAAGTGCTGGCTAAGTGTTCATTAATACCTTATAAAGCTTTTTTTCTCTTCTTCGTGTTTTTATTTTGACACATGGCTCTGTCTGTTCTTCAATGTGCCTCCAGCAAGTTGTCGTTTGATCGTTTTCGTGGTCTTTTTACTAATCGTCTTCCTAAAGATTAATTATCTATTGCAATCTTTACTATTCTATTTGTTGTCATTTGGCTTATATGATCGTTCCAGTCTACCCTTCTATAATTTCTTACCCAATTCTTAATGTTCTCCAACTTGCATCTACATCGTATATCTATACTTGCCAGCTCTGTCCCATAGTGTCTTATAAAGCAGATAAATATATTTTAAGGTAAGCTAGCATAACGTATTATTACATTATGTATGAGAATGGGGCTAAAGTGGGGTTTAGTTCAGTTTACTTGATACCCCATATTGCCTATTACCTTGTACTTAGACTACTTAGACTAAGTTGGTTACCTACCTACATTGTGTTTTTTTTTATATGCAACATGGTAAGTATGTACAAAAGAAAAACCAAACAACATTCCTGGAGTAAGGAATTGATGACGAAAGCCGTCTTCAACGTAATATCTAATTAAATGGGTTAAAAAAAGCATTAAAAACTTTTGAATTTGCACAAACCACGCTTGAAAGATATGTGGCCAAATACAAGAGTCTTGTGACTCCTTCAATAACTTTTTTGTTGAAATTGCTGAGAATATTACAAAATCCCTTCCAAATAAACCAAACGACACAATTTTGAACTATAAAAAATTTTCAGCTCCATCGAATTAATTTTTTCTGTCTCAACCAATTTCAACCAATCAACAAGAAGTATCCGGAGTTGTAAAAACAATAAAAAATTTAAATTGTTTGGATACTAAACGCATCTTTTATCAAAAACACTAGCGAAATAATTACTAAACCTTTAACATATCTCATTAATAGTATTTTTTAATTCGGAATATTCCCAACTTCATTTAAATACTCCAAAATTGTTCCTATTTTTAAAAATGGCGGTCGTGACCTTGTATACAATTTTAGACCAATTTCCATCGTTTCGATATTTAGTAAAATAATCGAAAACATTCTGAAGAAGCGTCTTATATCGTACTTCGAAACAAATAACTTTTTTACTAGCTCACAATATGGGTTTAGAAAGGATCGTTCCACAACACATGCACTTCTAGATGTGATGAGTGCCATAGTTGATGGCCTTGAGGAGCATAATCACTCAGCCATAACGCTGTTCAGCAAGTTCTGCGCCTGAACACTCTACTTTTGGCAGGTAAATCACTAAACGATCTTGGAGGCAGACATAATAATTGACCTCTTACATTATACAATGAATTGACTAAGAAAATTAAGAGCACATACATTTCTGGTGTAAGTTTCACATTATTTCTCCAAAACCATTCGGTATATAAATGTTTCTTTGAATGTAAAGCAAATGTATAGGTAAAAATATACTTATTTAAGTACTAAAAACTTATTTAAATACGAATTTTATTTAAAATACTTTATCGAAAACTTGAATCTTAAGTTTGGGAGACCACAGATTGATGTATGTTCAAAATGTGAAAGAAACGGAACGAGACTGAGAAATGTTAATCTTAACGATAACGCAAAAAGAGCAGTTTCAGCAGAACTAATGGTTCACAAAAGGCAAGCAAAGAAGTTTTATAATAAAATTAAAGACGTGAAAACCCTGTGTACTGAAAGACCAGAACCTGAAGAACCTGCCACTACTGCAGATTCCAGTCCACAAAATATTTAATTTTAGGCAGCTTTAGCTATTCGCATTTCAAATACACAACCTTAAAGAGAATACTGGTCATTGTTATACCTACTTTAAAGGTCAAGGTCTGAAGGGACCTAATGACGTGTGCACATTCCTTAATGACTACATTATGAAACATATATCCCCTAATATCATTAAACTGCATTTGTTTTCTGATGGATGTGCAGGGCAGAACCGAAACCAAACAATGGTTCGTTTCCTCTTTACAGCATTACAGGAAACCAAGAGATTCAACAAAATATATCATTAATTTCCAATAAGAGGTCATTCGTTCTTGCCTTGCGACCGGAATTTTGGTTGTGCAAAACGAAATTTTAGAAAACATGATCGAATTTATACTCGGGGATACGAGGAGTTAGTAAGGACTTCCAGAACAAGGCAACTATTTACTGTGAAGCAAATCCGACACCCTGATATTACTGATTTTAAGAACTGGTTTACACTCCCAAACTTTTAAATTGCTCGAAATGGCCACCTTTTACCACTAGTAAGGATAAAGAACCTGTTCCAATTAATGAAAAAAAAAAAATCTCGGACATTAAAAAGGTAATGACTTATACCCAAGGTGAAGCATTGGAATTCTATTACAACATCACATCACATTACGGAAAGCCACAAATTCTGAAAATAATGATTAGGTGATTGAGATAAAAGTATAAAGATAAATATTATGTATAAAATAAATGTTAGATAGATTAAGAAATAAGTAAATATTTCTTTTTGTATATAGGGTCGAGTTCAAAACCATACAAATCCATCCTCCATTTTGATCTGCCTTTTGTAGTCCATTCCATTTTCTGAAAAAACTACCTTAAAAACACATTGCAAAGTACGAGACCCGAACCTTTTCTATGTATTCTATCTTTTTATTAATTTTCTCGGAACGCAGATTCCGAGGTTGTGCAGATGTACGGTTTTTGAACTCACCAATTCAGTTATAATTTCTCATTTTATAGATAATACCTTTTTTAGGCTTTAGTCAAAAAAATTCCGCGATTTTCCGCCATTTATTTTAACGAAAATATTTACCATCGTTACGTTTGTTAAAAAAATTTGTACTTTAATTTCTTAAAGCTTTTTGGTAAACTTTTATTAATCATTTACCTGATCGTCTAGGTTAAAATAGATGCTACTGTTATCATCCACAATTTGATCATTTTGACAACCTATATCCCAACAGAAACCATTTGGTGCATCGTAACCTTTATTAGGGAAAATGCTGCCAAATATAATGCTGTCATCTACAAAGAAAATGGAAAATATAATAAACAATAATATATCATATTAACTAACGATTTATATGGAGCTTATTGTTCTAATCTATATTTAAACCAAAAATTTGAATAGTTTTTCTTTACCTTTTATGCAAGGTTGGGTTATTCTACGCACCCTAATTAATCCCTTTTATAGACACATTCTGTCTTTCCCACTGAATCTTTTTTGTTTTTCCTTTCCAATTCCTTGTATAAACTTGCAAAATTCTTCATATTGAGTGATTAGCATTTTGATGTTGAATATACAATAATTATCTTAGCTTATGCTCCTACATTTTGGCATGAATTGGTGTTCTAGATTTCCAGTTATACATATTGTATATACATTCTTATACTTATCTTTGTTTGTCACTTTACTTATCCATTTAAGCATAATGATTTTTTTACACACATCGGTCATTCTTCTTTCTTCTTACCTGCCCAAAATTCAGTTCACAATAGATCTTATGATATTTTTATAGAATTTTTTTAAGTTTGCGGAACTTCTTGGATTCGAGTTATGATCCATGATTCCACATTATGTAGATGAACCGAGTACGTAAGGCCTCCCTTTCACTGGATCCGGAAACATTCGAACTGCGAAGGTGCGAATTTGGACGAAGGTAGTTATAATGGAATCTTGCCAACACTGATCGTATATTGCCTCAATATTCGTCCGAACTCTATGGTGTAATTATGGCTCTACGGAAGGGACTTTCTAATTCTGATAAAGATTTTTCCCTTTTGGAACAATCTCCTTTGATTCATTTACGTGTCAGGCAATATAGACGAAGAAGAGTAGTGTGGGTAAATCTTTAAGCAAAAAGAAACGAGTTTAAGGAATTTTCTCATTTGTGGTACGATGTACCAAATTGACGATGACCACAACTTTTCATATTTTTGAATAAAAAAGGATACATTCCTAAACATTCGTAACAAATTTATGCTAAAAATATCCGTTCACAGTCCATTGTGTCAATCTCACGTGATCCAAGATTCGAACTAATTCGCAGTTAGATCCCAATATTCTGGGATCGGATGCGGCATCATCCGAATTCGCACGAAAACGTATAAACGGTACAGGTCCAGTGAACGGACTCCTCTTCAAACCATGTGTTTGAATCTTTCGTCCGTTTTCGATCGATTTCATATGAATTGATTTCGATCCAGTGGACGGGAGGCCTAAGATTTTATTAAACGAACTTTTATTTTTAATTTTATATCGTGACTGTGAAAGATTGTTTTTATTTAAACATGTAATTTAAAAAAGTAAACTGCTACATACTTAAAACTAGCTTCAGAACATTACCTAAATTAGCACTTCCTTGCCAAGCAAAATCTAATCTGTGTTCTTGTTCCCTTATTGAGCGATCTGAATGGTCCAATCTACTAAAGAACATTCCATTATAACCCATTTGAGCTAGAATGGAAGCTTGCTCTCTACTGTGTCCAAAAGGATCTATTTGCCAACCTACTCTAGATCTTCCACACTTACCTAGAGTCTCTTCAATTATCCTAAAAAAAAAACAATTCTTTGTTATTATCTTTAATGTTTAGAAGAAAATATATTTGACCTTAATAATTTGCAATAGAATGTAACTATGTATACCTAATATATGTAAAAAACACATTACTGAAACCAGCACAAGAAAGTTTGATACAACATAGATCAGAGGCTAAAAAACAGTGGATGACAGAAAAAATACTATTACAGATGGAAGAAAAAAAGGAAATATAAAGGAAAAGATCTACAGAAGTATAAAGAAATACAACGGATAATTAAGGAAAAAATTAAAACAGTTGAGGAAATATATTTGATGAAACAATGTAAAGAGATAGAAGAATTATAAACAAAATATGATATGAGAAATATGCACAAAAAAATAAGAGAAGTGACTGGAATTGGTCGAAACAGACAGCAAGGACACATAAAAGACAGAAAATAATTACTAGTAATATATTTACCAGAGAAATTAAGACGATCTTTTCGAAGAGAACTTTTCCAAGATGAATGAGGCGAAATGCAAGAATTACATCCTTTAGAGAGACAGAAGATCACGATAGATAAAATCAAATATGCTATCAAAAACTCTAAAGACAATAAGGTAGCTAGATTAGATAAAATACCAGTAGAACTGTTAAAACTAGTGGAAGAGGATAACAGAAGTATTGGCAGATTTATTCAATACGGTGTGCGATACGCGAATAATACCACAAGAGTGGCTGAAGTCAGCATTTATAACTATCCCTAAAAAACAAGCAGTAAAAGAGTGCTCTGATTATCGAACATTGAGTCTCATAAGTCATACTTTAAAAGTACTGCTAAAAGTAATATATACGATAATATACGAAAGGCTAGAGGAGGGTATTGGCAAGACGCAGTTCGGGTTCCGAAATGAAATGGGTATTCAAGAAGGACTATTTACCATTAACATATTGATTTAGCGATGTCGGGATGTAAACGTTGATCTACACCTATGCTGTGTTGACTACGAAAAATCTTTCGATGAAGTAGTACATAAAAAAGTAATAAGGTACATGTACCAAATAAGGCCCGGTTCCTAACAAGGCCCACCATCATGTTTTTACATAAAAAATTTGAAAAAGTACCAAATCTCTTACAATCAATTAGGTACTGGCATTTAGTGGACGAGACAATAACTACTTCGGCAGCCATTGTTTTGTTAGGCTTTTTATGTCCATTTGTGTTGCGCGCAACCAAGAAAGCCAAGCTGTGTTCTTGTTTGCAAGGTATGTTATATATGTTTACATCCATGTTGTTATAAATAATTTTGTTCTGTAAATTTGTATTTTTTTTTTGAACCTGTTCTCGATCCTTCCATTGTTGGATATAGGTCTCCCCCAGTTCTCTCCATCTTTCCCTATCTTGAGCTGTTCTCTGCCATGTGGGGCCTCCTTGCTTCCTAATGTCATCTTTTCACCTCATATGTGGTCTGCCTCTTGATCTCTTTGCATTGTATGGACGCCACTTTCCGATGGCATTGTTCCATCGTCCGTCTTGGAGACGTTTTTTGTGTCCAGCCCATTTCCATTTCAGTTTTGCTGCTTGTTCTATCGCGTCGACTGTCTTTGTTCTGGTTCTGATCCACTGGTTACGTTTTTTATCTCTAAGTGATACACCCAACATTTGTCTCTTTATCGCTCTTTGTGCCTTCCTTATCCTATCCAAATTGGCCTGTGTAAATGTCCATGTCTGTGCTCCGTAGGTGAGCACCGGTATGATACAGGAGTTATATACCTTGCTTCGTAAGTATAGAGGGATTGTTTGATTTTTTAGAACGTAAGAAAGTTTGCCGAACGCTGCCCTTCCCATTCTTACTCGTCTCGATATTTTTATTTGTATTTATGAGCAGGAAATTCTGTGTTTTAATATGGTAGTTTTATTTTTCTAAAACAGCTTATATTTAGAGTTATTAACAGATCTCGAGTTTCAACTACTGTTAATCTGGTGGCTCCTAATCAGGCCCACCCGTAGTGCCCCAAACAAGGCCCGGGTGGGCCTTATTCGGCATACTCCTGTTTTTTTGTAATATTGAGTACAGTTTGGAAATTGAATACAGTTTTCATACCAATTGGCATGAAGAAAATATTATTTAGTGTGTCAAGGTAGCTAATAATACAAGTAGCTTAATAAAAAAATTACATTGACTAAGCAATATTAAAACACATTTTTTTAATCTATAATGAAAGATATATTATTTTATTATTTTGTTCTGTTTATCTGGCATGGTACTTGTACGTCTAATTAATTTTCCAAAAACTATAAAAATGTATGTCTACAATTCAGGAGTATGAGTGTATTTATTTATTATTTTTTTTTGTTTTAAGATTGATTCAAAGAAAAAACGTGCTACCTGAAGTGAGGATGATTTAAAAAAAAGCGATGGGAGCTGTTAATGAAGGGATGTCAGTCAGAACTGCATCGAAAACTTATGGTATCCCCAGGCGTACGTTACGCAACCACGTAAGTAGCGGTGTAGCAATTAAGAAGTTAGGACGGAAACCTTACTTGGAGGAAACTCAAGAAAGAGAACTTTATCAAAAAATTTTTCGGCTTGCTGAAGTCGGGTATCCACTGACAGCTAAAGTTCTCCGTCGCAGTGTATTCGAGTTCTGCGAAAAAAATAATTTGCAGAATTCTTTTAATGAAGAAAAAGGTTTGGCTGGGCGCAAATGACTTAAGTTATTCCCACTAAGGAACCCAGAGGTTGCCAGAAGGAAGGCGCAGCATATGAATCCAGGAAGAGCTGCAAAATTGAATAAGTTTATTGTCAATGATCATTTCGAGAAATTAAAAAATATTATGACCAAACTAGAGGCATTTGACAAACCACAACTCATCTATAATATGAATGAAAAGGGTTGTCGTCTGTCTCTTCACAAGTCTACAAGTCTTCACTTCACAAGTTTTAGTAAAGAAAGGTGAGAAACGGCTACACTTTGTTGCTCCTGAACATGGAGAAAATGTATCTATTGTATCATGTGGAAATGCAATTAGGCAGATTATTCTTCCGATGATCATTTTCAAAGGAAAACGACGCAAGCCAGAATGGGAAGATTATTTGCCACCTGGAACAGCGGTAGAAATGACAGATAAGGGCTCAATGACTACATCGACCTTTATCAAGTGGCTGCATCATTTTGCTAAGTACAATCCTGCAGGAGAAGTTCTTCTAATTTTTGATGGAGCATCGTCACATTTAAATCCAGATATTTGTGACGTTGCTGAAGGTCACAGTATTAGACTGTACTGCTTGCCTAGCAATACGACTCATGAACTTCAGCCTATGGACAAGTCAGTATTTAAACCATTTAAGTCCTATTTGGACGAAAAAGTCCAATTACATTGGTCGACTAATAAAGGGGAAGAAAATAGAGCAATTAATAGACGGGTATTTGGAAAAATCTTTGCTTTGGAATCACAGCGTCCTGATCCAGAAGAAAACATGCGAATGGGTTCCGAACCTGCTGAAGCAACAGATATTCCAACAGTTTCCGAACAAAGGAGTTCCCGAAACAGGAGACGCCAATCCAGCAGTTATAGTTCTTCAAGAAGTGAGCTATTTTCTGTGAGGGATCGTTCATGTGATGTCAGTCTTAATGGCGATGATGACGATAGCGACAACCATGATGAACTAGACTGTTCCTTCCCAGAAATTTTAAAAACTCCAGAGCTGAGAAACAAACTCCAGACTCCTAGACGGAAGGCACTAAACTATCAGGCGCAAGTAGTAACTACGGAACTATTTGCTAAAAGAGAAAAGCAGCAGAGTGCCAAAGTAAATAATACCTCCAAGTAGATTTCAGTTGGGAAGGGAAAGATAATTCCGGTGAAACAAAAACATCTGGAGAAATCTAGTAATGAAAACGACAGTTCTGCTCCAAGCTGCAGTGGAACATCAGAAGCTGTTAACTGGTTTTTTCATTTATGCTGTGAATACAGAACAGCTGACATGAGACTTTGCAAAAAATGCAAAAAGTATGTACATGAAGAATGTATAGGGTTGACATTCAAAGACAAAGTGCCGAATTTCGTATGTGTATGGTGTGAGAAGTGATAATATATCATTTGTTAATTATATTAATGTTTATTAATAATTTGGTAATTCTTGTCATTGGTTTTATTGCCATTAACACGCTTCATACATTAAAGTTTTGGGGTGGGCCATATTAGGGACCAGGTATGGGCCTTATTTGGAAGATGGGTTCCTAATAAGGCCCTACTTTAAAAGTTAGTAATTTATTTGATTATGATAATACTAATTACAAAATAATTTTTTTTGTATTTTATTTTTATATTACTAGACCTGAAGTATGTTACACATTTCTCCTGACCTCCTATCTCCTAAGTATAATAAATTAAAAGGTAATAATTGGTAAATGGCCTTATTTGGTACACGTACCTTACATGAAAAAGTAATTATCAATACTTATGAACAAGCGCATTGATAGTTAAATCATAAATATAGTGCAAACATTATATTGGAACGTGCCAATAAGTGCCATAGTTCAAATTGATGGGCAACACTCGTTAACCGTTAACGGGAAATTAATTAACAACTTACGATATGTAGACGACACTGTGATTATAACAATGAGTATAGAAGATCTACATCTTATTAAAAGCTGAAGCATGAATAGTGCTGAGATGGGAATTACTATAAACGCTAAAAAAACGAAGTACATGCTGATATTGGCAATCAATGGTAACGTTATAGAATAAGTAGAAAAATATCAGTACATACATAGAAACTCCGATCAATGAAATCAATGACCATACTGCAGAAATAAACAGGCGAAAATAGATTGCCAGATCAACATTTATACGAATAAAGCCACTCCTAACGTGCAAAAATCAAAATTTTGAGTCTCATAATACAGGCAAAGATTCAAGGAAGAAGATCTGTTGGCCGAAGGCAGACCTGATGGTTGAAGAATCTACGTGACTGGTATGAATGCAGATCGATTGATTTGTTTAGAGCAGCAAGTTCTAAAATAAAAATAGCCATTATGATTGCCAACCTCCGCTCCGTAGGGAGAAGGCACTAAAAGAAGAAGAAGATGTAAACATGTTTCATAGACAGAAAGTAATTGTTATAATTTTTTGTTAGGAATTTTAACAAAACCAATAATTATATTTTTTGTTTTCTGCTGTTATAATAATTTAACTGAAAATGTATTATATTTTTTCTTCCGTAAATTAGAACTTAAACTTTTTTGGTGGCGTAGAAATTGCGTGTTTTCATTACATAGATGACAGCTTACTGGATGGTTCAAAGTAGTGATACCAAGATTCGTCTCCAGCAATTATTAATGAGAGAAAATCATTGTTTTGCCTATTTTGCGTAAGATTTTAAAAAGATAAAGCCATTTGCAGGATTTTTTGGTCCCCTTACAAAAGCAAGGCGAAACCTATTGAGAATAATAGGTCTCTGTACACCCAGCTTGTGTACGATACTATGGATAGATCATATACGAGTATTCACACCAACAGTTACACACCCTGGTCGTTACTTGTCATTCGTCTTTTCCCTTTCACACTTAAATTTTCCACACCATTCCTTGACATTTGCAATGGTTGTAAACATTTAGCATATAAAATTATTGTCACATATTTATAGACATAACCAACATTTCAGAATTTCAGTTAAGTGGTTGCAATTATTTCTAAGGCTAACCTGACCAAAGATTTATTTCAATTGAACAAACCCTAAAAGTTTATTGGTACCATCTGAAAAAAAAAATTATCCGGTTTCAATATTTTTACCTGAATCCCAAAGTAAATTGGTCGATAGTTGATTGGTAATTGGTACAAGCTTCATCGTTCATGCTCCATCCCCCACTTACTATTTCGAGCTGTCCATTATCTACAAGATTTTTGAACGCAAGCTGCATAGTTTCGTCTTGTTCTTTCCACCATTTATAAAAGAAAGCTGTCTCCACTTGGATATACCTGAAATGTACGCACTATAGAAATTGTTAATATATTCTACCTTTCTATAGGTTTTAGTATCAATGATGGTATTTAAAATTACGAACTTTTCAGGGACAAAATATCGACAACTAGTCTGTACATATAAAAATTTTAACATAGTGCCAAAATCTGTTGACATTATGTTTAGTTCAATGTTATGTATCGTTTCCTTTCCTGCTACTTCTCCGTAATTTTACTGTTTTCCAACCTTAATGTGGAAATCTGCTACTGTCAGCAGATATAAGTATTTCCACTTTAATAAAATAAGTAATACCAAAAATCCTCACCTTCTATCCGTATTTTTCTTCAACTCCTCTACTACAGATGTTATTATATGTTTTACAGCTATGGGAATTCTAGTAGCAATTACGTTCACTAAAATTATAAAAATATAAATATATATTGAGCATAATCTGTGCTAAAATGAATTTAAATAATCTACATGGGATTTCAAAAGTATTTCTTATTAGTAGTATGATACTACGATTTTCGTCATTTTGGTACGACTGCTACAATCAGAGAGAAGTGAAAATAGAAAATAATACTAAGGGTTACATTACATAGGGTAATGATTTTTTACTAAATACAGTAAAGATAAAACATTATTTTTGATAAGTGTAAAATTGTATACCTTGTACACATACGAGTCTAAAATTTCAGTAGGATTAGGAGCAGGAATATGTAGTTGTGATAGAAATTTAAACATGTTTATTTCACTAAAAGAATATAAACTCTGCCAGGGGGTTCCTGAATCCCAAGTCCGAATAAAAGAGGATGGTTGATGGGCCAGGTTAGCATCCTACCCATTGTAAAAGAAAACAATGCTAAAATAACCGATATAAAGCCTCGAAACTAAACGAAACTTAAGATGACGAACATCGCAAAAAAAAAAAGTAAACGAGAAGAAAAAATAAGCCCACAATCAGATAAGTAACAATATGGAACATTACTTATTTGAACAACAAAGACCAAGAGATAATAGAAGAAATGATAAATAAAAACATAGATATTTGAAAAATGAAGGCAAATATCGAGCACAAGTCTAATCAAATCTTGCCCAAGTACTTTCGCTATTTACAGCATCATCAGGGGCATTTCATCAAATGTGGGCTATCCAGCAAGCGAAGAATGTAATAAACATGAAATTGGACATAAACTGTACATAACACTACATTAACACAAGGACAAACAGTTTAAAATTATTAAAATTATTATAACGCTCTACATTCTTGTCGGCAATCGGAGAGAGAATGAGAGACTCAGAGAGGGTGACTCCTTAAGCCTACTTCTCTTTAATATAATAATGTACGAAATAATACAAGCAGTACGTAAAATTCATGGCTACAGAATGGAAAACAAATAAATCCAAATAATATGTTATGCAGACGACGCCGCATTAATCGCCGAGACGAGACAGAAGACGTGCTCCAAAGAATAATACACATCTTTACATTTTTGTTTATGTTTATGTACATGTTGTTTATCTACAACAGCCAAAAAACAAAATATGATTTAGATATGTGGGAACAGATATAACTAGTTACGGAGATGTTGAAAAAGAAGTACGACAACAAAGCTTAAAAGTAGGTAAGAAAAAATGATGCGACAATTTAAACAATTTAGGAGGCTAATATTAAAGAAGAAGGCTTTAAAGCTTACATACAGGAAAAAAGAAGAAGAAAGAACTAAAAGAATATAATTTTGTAGGACTGCGGGCTTGGGTGGAAATGCCCCAAAAAACTCGACAGACTAGCCGAATATAAACTGTCACATTGCATGAGAAGAGTTGATGAAATTTCGAGAAGAGCATTAGGTACAGAATATTTGGGATCAAAGCTGACAGTGAGGTTACCACAAAATATTGTCTGCTACCAAAAAAAAATTTGGGTCTGAATGCTATATAACTCTCAGTGAGAAAATATACGCTGTCAAGCAAATAGTAAAAAGGAAAGGTAAAGATAAAAAAGATATGTGCTAATACGGCTGAAGCACTGTGGAAACAAGCAGTAATCAGCTTAGAATCATAATAGGATTCTTTACTGGACATTCCCTAGTCAATGGACACCTGTATCCAATGCGACTATTGCATAGAGTCAGCATTGTCTAGCCTATTTGCAACTCATTAGAGTGCAGGCAGCACAAACTTTTCTAAGACGATCGAGTGATTTATAATGTAGATTTATATAATGCTGGAATTGATGTCATACGTAATTACAAGATGTACACTAAACCAACTGGCTAATGTATGGCCGGTTTATAATAGAAGACTTCTACAAGAAGAAGAAGAAGAAGAAAAAGACTTCATAAATGGAGTAAAGATTACAAATTCCTTTTACTTTCTTCCCACTAACTTGGCTGAAATAAAAAATATTATACAAGGAATTAAAAATCCCATGACTTCAGGCTGGGATGATATCCCATCTAAAGTTTTATCCCTTCTTTCTGATAATGTTCTGAGAATTTTATCAGAGGCAATTAACACATCTGTTTCAACGGGTCACTTTAGCGATTGTTTAAAATGTACTAAGGTTATTCCTATGTACAAAGGTGGTGACCACGATTTACCTGCTAATTATCGTCCTATCTCTTTGTTGCCATCGCTTTCAAAGGTTGTAGAAAAATTTGTAAAAATCCGAATGATGACGTTCTTACAAAAGCACAATTTTCTTTCTTCCTTCCAATTTGGTTTCCAGTCATTAAAAAGTACGTATGATGTCATCTTTGAATTCATGGAAAAACTATACTTGGACTTAAATAACGATTATGTTGCTGCCGCAGTTTTCTGTGATCTATCTAAAGCCTTTGACTGTGTCAATCACAAAATACTACCTAATAAACTGGAAAGATATGGTTTTAGAGGCACTGCTCTAAAGTGGTTCAGTTCATACTTCATACAGAGAGATGCCAGTCTGTATCAATCAATGAGCGCTACTCTAGTAATATCTTTATTAATTGTGGAGTACCTCAAGGCTTTGTCTTGGGTCCTATCTATTTCTTGATATATTTTAACGATATAACTAACCTCGACATTAATGGCCGGTTTACTATATTTGCATATGACACCACAATTTTATGGCAAAACAAGGACTCTACAGTACTGAACTATTAGTAGTGATATGCAAAAAATTTTAGAGTGGTGCAAAGCTAATCAATTGACAGTTGATTTTTCAAAAATTAAATTAATTTCTTTTAAGAATGATCTAAACAACATTACTCTGGGCAATGAAGGCATTTGTTCTGATACCGTAAACAAATTTTTAGGTCTCTATATTGATAATAAACTTAAATTTAAGCAACACACTGTATATTTAAGCAAAAAGATATCATCGGGTTGCTTTGCGGTCAAATCACTTGCTTACCATTTAGATTTCAAGATTGCAAAAAGTGTTTATGTGGCCATGATTGAATCTAATTTGAGATACGGTATTGCGTTTTGTGGTAGCTGTTCTCTTCATCATTTCAGTAGAAACTTTATGCTACAAAAGAGAGCACTCAGATATTTATGCAAGGTCAAGTTTGGTACATCATGCAGGCCTCTGTTCCGCAAACGTGGTATCTTGACACTTCCTTGCATATATATCATTGAATTAGCGTGCTTAATTTAAAAAAAAAAACATAAAGAAGATATTCGGACAGTTTCCCCTTATAATACTCGTCTAAATTATGTTATTCTACTTCCAATTCTCTCTTCTACATTAACTAAAAAATCATTTATTTACACTGGTAAGAAAGTGTTTAATCACCTACCACTCGATATAAGATCCTCAAGCAATTTTGTATTCCGAAGAGCAATCAAGAAGTTTTTATTATCTAAATGTTACTATAGTATAGAGGAATTTTTTGAGGACAGTTGCGCTAATTGATATATATTTTTTAATTATGGAAATTTTAATATTAGTATTTTAATATATCTTGTACCTTGTTTGTACTATACCATGTTGTGTTTTATAAATGTAATCTCATTTTAAAAACAATAAACTTCTCTCTCTCACAAAAAGGCCATAAATGAAGAACTTATATGAAGATTATAAATCAAGAAGGAAACTACTCATTTTATCACTGACAACTATTTCGTATTTCATTGTTTATATATGAATATTTTCTTGCTAGTATTAAACATGACGTATCGGCGTTATTTTGTAAATAAAATAAATTTTTTAAAATCAATAAATGATATTCTCAGATTTGACAGTAATACTTACAGCCATAGTAGTATTCATCAAACGATTTTAACCAGCCCACATCATCATGGGAATGTGGAATCAAGTGGATATTAATTCGTTCTTTATCTAATGGATGACACACTACACATCCTACTTTGTTTTCAGTCTGTTTTGTAGAATCTTTACAATATACCGTTGAGGAAAATACAGCCAGTAAAATTATAGTAAGCACAATAGAACCCATGATGAAGATTTTCTTTCTTAAACTAAATATGCTTTCAGATGCTTCATATATTTTTGTTAATGTTTCCTGTGATTGTTATTTTATCAGGTAAAGCAATTGAGATTATTACTGAACAAAGTTTTTATATATCTAGATTAGTTTTGATTTTATTTATCTTATAAATATACCGAGTTTATAGATATACAAATTCTTTTGTGTGTGTTATAAAATAATAGACACTTTTGTTTTGATATCAAAAAAATAGAATATTTTTAAATATTTTATTTTTAGGAATAATATTTTATTATACTTATGAAAATATAGTCAAATTCTGTTCTTATTTTCCTCACTAGAAGCTCTTTATCTTACAAATAGTTTATCAATACTAGAGTGGTAATAAATTTGTTGAAACTTTTCGGAGATTTCAAAAATATATTTTTTTATAATTTTGTTGGCTCAAATATTGAGCTAGCAGGAACGTTTCCAAATAAGATTGGTTTAAGAGTGCAAGATTATCAGGATGGTTAAAGTTTAGTGAACTTTTAAAATAACACTTTTTGAAGTTATACTTCTATACGCACGGGAGTAAATCTGTGAAACCATTACATATGTAAGATAATGAGTAAGAGACAGACAGAAGATATATTTTCTCTCTCCTTCTCTCTCGAGAATAAAAACGTTTCTTTTGCATATATATTTAATATTATATATATATATATATATATATATATATATATATATATATATATATATATATATATATATAAGAGTAAGAAAAAAGAAGTACTTGTGACTCGTTTGGAAAAAATATAAAACTGTTTTGGATGGGTTGGAGTCAATAAAAGGGGCTATTTGTTGACTATTTTTTACTCGAGCTTTCAATTCTGATTACAATCATTATCAAGAGCTTCTAAAAAAGACAAAATATCTTACAAAGTTGAACTAGAAATAAAAAATTTTTTGTTAACTCACCAAATAAAATTAGTTTGTTATATAAAACTGCTGCTTACATATTAATGACAAAAAATATTAATAAAAAAATGTCTTATTCTAATAAATGTTTCTCTGAAAAATTTTGATAAAGTTTCTTAACAAAAACAATTGAATTTGTAAACAAAAATTGAATAGCTACAAACCAGCCTAAATGTCATAAATACTAACTTAAAAATTTTTATTTTTGACATATTGTCAAAAATAAAATTTTGTTTAAAAAATTCTTCTTTGTTTAGTAACAAAAAAGAAGAAGATTTATTCACCATTGATAGATGCCCGAAAAAATGTAACAAATACATGGAAAATTCAAAATGTGATATTTTACTGACTGCATATATAAATTACATAGAAATAATATAATTATAAATTTTGCTTAGATTTTGAATTTCTGACCTTTTGTTTAAATTATTATCACTTTTGCTAATACAAACCATTTCCAAAAAAGTTCTTTTAAATTTATTACTTTCACTACATAAAATTTTAATATTATCAAAATCTAATATGGTCTTTGTCTATTACATGCTCTGCCAAAGCACAAGATGGTTTCTTAATTCTGCAATCACTCTTGCGAGAAATAATGCGATTTAAATCGCATTATTTCTCACATTAAACTGTATTTTTATTCATATGTCCATTAATCAAACCATGACATATATAGTGGCAATATAGTTATTTTTATTAAAAAAATTTTAATATATTTATAATGGTTTGTTTTGTAGAGTACAATATTACCAACTGTAATCTCACGACTAGTAAGTAACACAATTAACAATTTTAACTAGTTAATTTATATTTCTTTTTATAGATGTCTTAAAAAAGAATTAAATAAAATTCGAAAGCTTGACAGTAAGTCAAAGAGTATTCTTTGTCTTGTGGGCCAAATAAACTGACTGCATCCTCAAAAATCATAAATATATATATATATATATATATATATATATATATATATATATATATATATATATATATATATATATTTATATATATTATTGTGATATTTAAAGTCTTAGTGCGCCAATCAACTAATTAGCTAATTAATTAATTGATTAATTAAAATTATTTAAATGATATGATTATGACTCTATCACACTTTTTAATTCTCTTATCTCAGGGTTAAATTCGTGCTTCAATATCTATGCTATTACATGTGAAAGGTAAGGTCCAAAGAATACCGGAACAATAAAAAACACATATGATATAACACTATATATTGAAATAAAAATAATGAAATAATTCACACTCAAAAGTTTTCAATAAACAAAATCTCATATAATGATTTTCAAAATTTTGTTCTACGTACGTGAACCTTCAAAATTAATGGTACAAACAATATTAGTTGAAATCTCAACATCCAAATATTATTCTAAATCTCCTAATCAAAATATTTATATCCTTTCTAAATTAAGTGTAAAAATTGTGTTATCAATGAAAGAAAAACTGCAGAAAACAAAACTATCTCTCTCTGATGATGAGTGGTCCAAATCCTTGTTATTTGTAGACTATACTATTTACTCGTGGCCGCTCCCTAGGTAATCAGCAATCGTACAACAAATTATTGCAAGTATATCGTCCTTAATGATCTCCTTCAAATGCACGAATCGTTCAAATTATGCTAGCTTCTTCTTCTCTCAATAAACTGAATCTCTCGTTGGCCTGAGTGAAAAATGACTCTTGGAATATCTTTTCTTTACGATAAACTGAATCTTTCGTTGGCCTGAACAGTGACTCTTGGAATATAAGTAGAAAAATATGACTTACAATATTTTACTGGATCAGCTTCTGTCAGATACACTAACTACACGAAAACTCACAAACTTTCACTGCTACTGCTTCCTACCTCTGGGAAACTACCCGAGAACAACGGCCGTTCGTTGTTCTACCTATCCCACCTTTTTCAATCTCTGCCAATCAAATCTCGTCACAATTCCCCCATTTTTTCATTTCGATAACAAACAAATTTTTACCTATAATTATAAAATTTCCTAAAACTTATTTACAAATAATATTTTTCTACAATTCTTAAAAACTAACAAAAACCTCTTTCTAAAATCTATTCTATTGTCCTTAATCACTGCCTTAATGTATTTGGAAAAACCCGGTTCAATTGTCTTTGGATTTCACTTAAAATTATGCGGGTCACTCAAGTATAGTATATCAAAGGAAATAATTTATGCATAGCTTACATTTTGTTTAATACAGGTAATCCAAAAATTTAAAAACTCTCCTTCTTCGAAATGTTTGTTGGTTATACTTTCTGAATTATTTTAATGTTTTTTGAACTTTGAAATATTTTAAACAAACCAATATTTTTCTCGATTTTACATATCATAACAATATATATATATATATATATATATATATATATATATATATATATATATATTTATATATATATATAATATATATATAATATATATAATATATATATATATATATATATATATATATATATATATATATATATATATATATATATATATATATATTGATAAAGTTGTATTATTTTTATTTTTGTTGTATATTAATTTTATTTTTTATTTATAATAAATGTAATTTTTAAAATATGTGGTTCGTTGTTTAATTTAATATATACCTCAGCTAGCTCAATTATATGTTCTAAGCAATCTGTCACTGTGTGACGTCGACTCTGTAGTCTCCTGGTAGAGTTCAAAAAGAAATTAAACCAAAATTTACTTTAGACCTTTGATAAATTAACCCAAATGAAGCACGTTATTTATTAATATTGAGCAAATTTAATATAAACAATAAAATTCGTCTGCAACTTCGGTTGCCTTTAAAAATTTACAAAAATAGGAATCGTTTAAGTCTTAACGTGGTTTAGTGACGTGACAATAAAAATGTATTACAAAATGTGGAGACTCTCTACAAGTACCTAAAAACTAAATAAATATTGCAACTTTATAAAGTGTTTAAATGAACTATAAAGAAAAAGAAAATCAACACTTTATTCCGCTGATACTCAAATATAATCAAAATTTCAAATGATCCCCAAAATTATTGTCCAACCTCACTTTAAAACAGTTCTGATTTCTTTAAAGGAAACTAACTACTCAAAAATAATCGGTGAAACTGGAATATCAATCCTCTCTTCGGAAGTTAAGGTACGTACTATTCTATTTTTAATTTAATGATCATTAATAATTTCAATTTTTAAGGCCTATTGCAATTATGTTAATTCATGAATTTTAATTTTCTCAATTTAAATGACATTTCTATACTCCAATATAATTTATAAGTGAAATTGTTTCTCTTACTCTCTGGAACAAATTTCTGGATATCTCTGCTGTGGAAACTGTGGAAAAACTAAATTCTAATTAGACGAGTTAAAAAACACTCCCGACCTATTCCACAGTTTCAGGGCTCTCCTTCGTCCAAAAAAAAACCTCGTCGGCGTCCTCTCCAAAAATAAATTCCCATTATTATTCGTTGCTAACAGCAACCAACGTTCTTTTTTTTTCTGTCTTCTATTTAAATATTTTAAACCATAAAACTGTCCTGTTTGACATATTTGTCAAGCCACATTACTTTCTCATAATCACTTTAATCACATATAATTTGGGAATTTACAAAAAAAAATATGTTTAGATATAAAACTTATTCTATTACAATACTAATTTATTCTTTTCATCTCCACATCATTGTAATTTCTTATTTAACAAAACCCCTATTAATTTAGCTCCCACAGACTGTCAAATAAACTGTCAAGCAGTTTATTTTCTGACGTTTATTAAAATTTCTTTGTTTAAATATTTTTTTAAAATTCTTCTTTTTTTATTCTTTTTAAGGTTTAGACGATTCACCTATATACTAGGCAACTATACTATTCAGAAATTATTAACACTATACCAGGTAAGTCAAAATTAATTTATTTAACAATTTACTAATCTTTTTCTCTCTTTTATTTCAGAGTCGAACCCACATTGTGATGGCTTCATGAAATTCATAAACAACAAACTCATATAAAAATCCATTAAAGTTGTATATATTTTAACATATTGAAATCATTTCAATATATATATATATATATATATATATATATATATATATATATATATATATATTAATATTATTATTTATGTGATTTGTTGGTTTTTTATTTTTATCTTTGTAAAGTAAGTTATGTATATTGGTAGTTTTAAATACCTATGAACATTGCATTTTAATTTGTATTGTATTATTATATTGAATTATGTTGCAGTGTATTGTATTGTAATTTTTATATTAATAACAAAATAAACAATAAATTTTACTGCAGAGTATATGTAAATTTTTTTTGCATTCAACTCCTTTTATACATATATGAAAATAAAAACGTATATTTTCAATAAAATATTGATACAATCCTTCATTTACTATTCTCCTATTACAGATCAAATGTTTATATACAGCAAAGGTATATAGGTATGGATGGACCATATACCTATATACCTAATTATTTTTCTCTTTCTGCTCTCTCTTACTTATAGCATTAAATATGTAATGATTTTGCAGATTGACTCCCATATAAATTTGGAACGACGAACGCCGTTATTAGTAGAGGAGAGTGAATTTGAAAAAAAGAAATTTTCCTCTTAAATTTTAATCTAAGAAAATGGTTGACTTTTAATAAGGGGTAGTTAACGGGTAAAAAATTACTAAGTAGGTAATAAATTTATAAAAACCTCGCAGAGCACTGTGATATACCATAAATATTTTTTTGGAATTCTACTAGTTTTAACTGTAAGCCAGCAGAATCCCTCCCCGTAAGGTTGGTTTGGTGGTGAAAACTATTAGGGTGTTAATAAATTATCGAAAAATGAGTGAAACAATATTACGTAGGTTAAATTGGATTTCGCTCATTTGTCCCCGCTAGCTTTCAGTTTGAGTAAATTCAGTTTTATCCCAGTTAAACTGGCAATCTATTTTTCCTAATCACTCTGATCCATCGTCAATGTGGGACTCTTTTCTTCATCCTGCTATTACAACAATTTCTGATCATACAGCCGAACGGCAGGTATATAGAAATTGACTAAAACCTTGGATTAACCTCTCAGCTACTCATTTAATTCGACATAATCGAAAGCTTTGGCGAAGATATAAACTCATCGGTTCCCCTGATGATTTTCTCACCCACCGTAATTTTTCTAACCGAGTCAAACAATCTTTGTCAAAGTTAAGAACAGAATTTGAAGAATCTATCAGTGCAAGTGGTAATAGTAAAAAAGTTTATCGGTACATTCGTACATCTTTATCTTCTAAAGTCTCCATACCATTGCTTCAAAAAGCTGATGGGTCTTTATGTTCTTCGAATAACGAATCTTCGGAATGTTTATCGTTATTCTTTCCTCAAGTTTTAACAGATGAATCTAGCGATACCATTCTTCAAATAATGTGCCCTCCTTTGTCTAAAACTTTTAACAATATATCACAACGGATGAAATTAAACATCATTTAAGGAAACTGCGAAATATTTCATCACCTGGATTAGACGGACTCACCTCTTTTTTTTCCTCAAACAATGTGCAGATTCTGTAGTCATCGCTATATCTCTCATAATGACTGCTTCTTTTAATCAAGGTTTCCTCCCCTCGTCCTTGAAATTGGCTTCAGTTACTTCTGTATTCAAGAAAGGTAATAAACTTGATTGAAATAATTATCGTCCAATCAGCCTGGTTTCTATTGTCGGCATGGTCATGGAATCGATTATTTCGGAAACTATGTGCGAGTTCCTTCTTCAAGAAAATGTCATCCCTCACCAACAGCATGGATACTGTAGGCATCTCACAGGGCAGTATTATAGGCCCTTTAATATTTGTTTTTATGTTAATGATCTTGCTATAAACATTGTAAAAAATAGGAACAAAATTCATCTACAAAAATTTATTAATTTATCGTATTAATCTTTGGATCGTCTTTAAATAACCTTCTAGATGTTGCCAATAATACTTTGGAGGAGGCTCAGATGTGGTTCAATATGTACGGACTTAAAATAAATAGGAAGAAAACAAATTATATTATTTTCAAAACTAATATGAACAGCAGTATCATAGTAAGAAGTGTTTAAATACAAGACGAGGAAGTATTTTTAGTAGATATCACCAAACTTCTGGGTATACATATGGACCACAATTTAGACTTTAAACTGCAGGTTGGTAAATTATGTGCTAAGCTAACACCAGTTTGTGACTCTTTAAGAGTAAAAGCATCATATTTAAATGTCATCTCAATTTGGTTGGGGAGGTATTTCTTACGAAGCGCGTACTTATCTTGTGTTTGGTAGAGGCAGTTTGAATGCCCAAGTATACATGTAAGAAGTTCTCCAAGACCATGTCATTCCCTTTACACCATTCATTGATGATAACTTCAGACTAATGCATGACAATGCACGTTGCCATACTCCGTGAGTACCTTCATGAGGTCGGGATTTAAGCTCTACCATGACCAGCACATGGTCCCGATCTTAATCCAATTAAGTATATCTGCGACAACCTCAAAAGACGGGTAAGAGCAAGACTACCAGCCCCTGCATCCTTTGAAGAGCTAAAGACAGTTGCGGAAGAGGAGTGGAACAATATCCCCCAATATGATATCCACAATATCATGAATGAGTTTTCAAACCGGCTCCATGAAGTCCTAAGGGCTAGAGGCGGCAACACCCATTATTGATACCCAATTTTTTTTTAATTAAACTTTGATTTCCAAAATATTGTTAATTTGATTTTTCTTCGAAGATTTTATTTATTTGATTTTTACTGTAAAAAATGACTTTTTATCAAAAATATTATTTTTTCTCTTCCGCGAAGACAAAAATTGATAAAAAACAACAAGTATTCTACAAACGCTAGAATATTCCACAGGGTGAAACTTTAAAAAAAACACAGTTTGATTCGTACACCAGGTATACAATGAAAATTTACCTGTTTAGCAACAATATTATTATAAAAATATTGTCAAAGAATAGGGCTATAACATATTAAAAAAATCACTTAAATCGGACAACAGGTTTAGGAGATATAAGACATCAAAAATTATCCATGCAACACTAGAAAACTTCGTCAGCTTAATTTTGGCCAAAATGATTGTTTTTTCCCCCGACTCCTCAATTATTTTTAATATTTTTCATTCGAGATATACTGAAGTATTGAGTATCACACTGAAATTGTCCACAATTAATAATTGGCACTTGGGTCATTAAATTATTGCTAAAAACTATTTTTTTTTATTTTATTGACTCTCTTTATATTAAAGTACATGTATTAATATTACAATAACAAAAATATACTAATTAAAATAACCGTATTATAATCAAAACAAAACATAATGAAATATGAGGTTTTACATCAAATCCGGAGCTTGAAATATCTTTTTCTTTTAATCTAACAATGAAGGTTCGTATCTGCATCGGTGATAGAGTTACAGATTTTGGGGTGCCTTCAATGGGTTCTACTTTTTTAACATTTTTGGTTGCGAGATCTGATGTTCTCCAGACATATTTAGCTTTATTTTGATAGTCTGATAACAATTGGTTCGCAGACAATGTTGTTTCCGCCATGGCTTCTATATCGAAATGTTTGAAAGCTTTCTAAAATAAAAAAAAAGTAAATAGTTTTGGATTCCGTATAAAATAAAGAATCTATGTTAAAAATTTTGGCTACGCATTTTTATAAAGTACATTGATTTGATTTTTCATTTTTGAAAATGATTTTTAGGTCTTATTTTATTCAACACATTGGCTACCCAAATAGAAAGAAAAAAATTTCATTTTAGGCTCCAAACTTTTTTTTATTAATTCATATTAAAAATGCATTAGGTTATTAAATTTTTAAGTTCAGTTACAAAAAAAATATTTTTTCTTGATTTATGACCGTGAAATATATTGAATGAAAGGAGATCTAAGACCAAAATACCACTTCCAGGCCACGTGCATTGTAGGTGACTCACGCAATATACTTTACCTATCGCTACAAGTCTCAGCTTTCAATTTAGTTTGAGTAAAGATTTCGTTAGAGTAACAGTGCTGTTCGAATTTGTTTTGTATTAGAACTAGCTATTCTTTTTATTAGGGTGAAAAAATTTGATACTTACGACAACAACAACAATATTTGCAGAGATTGCATGAGGATGAATACTTTGATATGAGTGATGAGGATGTAGATGATTCTTTCGAAGGTGACAATTCTGAAGACGATTATATACCATCTATGTCCAGCTCAGATAGTGAACAAGAAGAAACTGCTACCAAAAAATGGAAACGAAAATGTGCAGAATCATCTACAAGCACTGTAGATCAAGTGATAAGTAGTGTAGTGTTGCAAGCTAGACGTGAATCATTTAGTGATAGTCGTTAAACTGTTAAACAATCTTCAAGCCGTATCACGGAGACAACAGATCATTAATCTAGTGAATCATCTGAAGACAGAGATCACGATGGCATTGAACTTTCTGTTACTCCTACCGAATTTCAAATTACATGCACTGCTGTAACGGGAAAAAATCTAAAGGTATTTGATTTCAATGCAGTACATTCTGGCAATTCACCTAAAGTTGCATCGCTATTAGCGCAAAAAGAATCCTATGATTTTTTTAAATTTTTTCTAACATTGACTATATTGTAACTGAAACAAACAGATATGCTGAGCAGATCAAACAAAATGAAAATATTTCGCAGTATTCAAGAATCAAAAGATGGAAACCTCTAACAAATTCAGAATTTGAAATATTTCTGGGTATAATTATGTCGATGGGTTTAAATAAAAAACCTCGACTATCCGATTATTGGTCCAATGACAATTGGTCCAACAATGAGTTGTTATCAACAGGTCCTCGTAGACACTTCGTCTCAGGACCATTTTACTCATGTAGAGTCATACGCCGCCATGTTACCTATCCAACGGTAACTTAACCATCACAAATTAGAAATACTAATAATGTAAAACAATTTCAAATTTATAACATTTAAAGGGTTTTACCCATATATTTTGGTGGCTACTAGCATGTACAACCGTTTGCACTGATGATGGATTGTTTAATCCGAAAACGTTTTGCAATGTGTTTGTGATAGCCCGTTTGAGGCATTTTTATATACCTTTTATAAAGGATTTTAACAAAATTTTTTTGTGATATATGGTATACAGCCAGCTACAGGAACTTAGCTTCCTCGTGGAATTTTATAGGAACTTAGTTTCCTAGTGGATTTGTTTTAAGTTAATTTATTCCCTAGTAGAATTAATTCTAGAGGTTTTGATGAAAGTTTATGGTTTCAACATGATAGTGCACCTCCGCATTATGCTTTAGATGTTGGAATGTACCTAAACGAAATTTTTCGAACAGGTGAATTGGAAGACGTTGACGTATTAAATGGCCAGCGAGGTCACCAGACCTCGATCCCTTGGAGTCATTTAAAAAATGTTGTTTTTAACTGCAACAGTAAATTTTAATCTTATTTTGAGTTTTTAATGTACCGTGACAAGATATAACATTCACGTCGACAAGAACATTGGTAAGTCTGTTTAATAATAGGTTTGTTCCAACACGCAATTTTTGTACCGTCCGGAAACCGTCACGAAACTACTTGTGCCGTTTTTAATGCGCATGTTCATCATTTGTATCGTCTGATGATGGTAATTTGGAAATTGATGTTGGAACGATTTTCTGACAACTGACATAAATTGGTGACAATCTACCTAAATAATTCTGGTTTTTAACCCTAGGTTCGGCTAATAGCACCGATCCTAATAGCTCCAAATCATCCTCACTACTGTAATATCAGAAAAATCACTAATTTCTTCGTCGTCAGTCATATTTATAAAGTTATAAATAACGAAAAATAAATATATAAATAAATAACAGGTCTATCTTAAGCACCTGATAAAATTATTAACCCAACTTCTTCTTTTTTCTGAACAAATTTACAGTTTTAATAAAAGATCTAAGTTAATCTAGACTCAACAAATTTAAAAAAGTGGAATAAAATTCTAGTGCGCAAGTCATCCCAACCAGTACATGCATTTGCCAGATTACTGAAATTATCGTCACGAAACCGTCACTGAGCGATCACAATTTTTGTTGGAACGGTTGGAAGGACGATGAGATGAACGATCATAATTTTTTGGAACGTATTTCGTTTAATGCGCAGGAGCGTAACCGTTACGTGACGGTTTTTCGTTGTGTTGGAACAAACCTAATATTATTGAACAGACTTACCAATGCTGTTGCATCGTTTAAATAGTACATCAGTTACCTGCAGTTAGGTCAATATCCGGTACTCAACTGTCATATACCAGAATTACCAACCTCATTATTTTATAACCAGTTCATTTCAGAATTTGTTAATTAATTTGCTATCAACAATTATCTACTTTTCTCTATTTTCCACATGAATATATTAGAACTAAAAAAAGTTTTACACATACCATTACACATGGCTCATTCACGCCGATAATAGGTTTTTCAATTTTTGTATATTTATAACATATTTAGATTAATATTTTATTACCAAATACTCACTTAAGTTTGTTTTGTAATTCTGACTTTCTAAGTTTCTCATATAAGAAAGTATTTCAATTATTTCAATTGTTAAATTTAAATTTAATTCATTTAGTGATTGTTAAAAGTATGCCAATATCCATTTAAATATATATTTAAATGGAAAGTTGTTAGCTAATATTCATAATATTGGCATACTTTTAACAATCACTAAATGAATTAAATTTAAAATATATTTATTTACTATGTCAGTAATATCTATTGGCTCAAAAACTAGTTAACTTTAGTTACAATACTAAGAAATAGAAGAAGAACTGTCACACTTTAACCTATATTAGCTTGTCAAATTTATCTATTAAAAGTCTTGTAGACAACAAAATACTAAGCTTTTACCAGTTCCTCTTCTAATAAGTGACGTAGTGCCAATAAGTGCCCACCCTTTTAAATTTAATTTTTGTTTTGTCTTTTTGATTGTGTTCTGTTTGTCCCTAAGTATCCTTAATTGTTTTAATTTTAATAATTTTAACATATCTGACATCACAATTGTCTGCCAAAATAGAAATCAAATTCACTTTGATTCACAAATCAAAATTTGATAAACAATCAGATAATACCTTATGCCTATTTTATTTCTTAACATCTCTCCCCTCTAGAACGCCCCCTCTAATTATCAAACGGTTACAATAAAAACCGAAGATCACCCATCACCAGCAATACAATTTAGTTTGAACCATGTTTTCCGAATCATTAACTAATAATTCTTGTACCGGCATGTAAGTAGTATTTTGGTTATTTACTAATTTATTACAATTCAATAGATTATTTTACACCAATTTGTGGGTTTTTACTTTGTCTGCTTAATCAAATTTTATTCATATTAATAAACACAGACATGTAATATTGGCATAATTGCTGTAATTGTTATCTTTATAAGACAGCACCCTAATATGGGCTTTTTATAATTTCAGCATTTAATTTACTTGGTACCGTTTGACCTGAAGATGCTTTGAAAGGTGTAGTAAGCGAAACCGGTCGTTTTGGTAGTAAAATTAAATTGATTGTGAGTCAGCCTTATTTTATCTCGTTTTAACTATTTTAACCATTTTTTATATTTTTTAATGCTTATCAACTTTCTTATCAATCTATTGTTATCTATATCAATAACTGTTTGTAGTTAAACATTAAAAATGTAAGAAAAATATTAACAAACAAAATTAATACATTAAATCATTTGACAGATTTCTTAAACTACAAAAATTAATAAATAACGAACCCAATTATACCTACCGCTATATTTACAGTAACAGATTTGGATAATTCAGTATCATCGTCCTGTTCCATAATATGTTCTAAACGAAGAAGATATGTACCATTTATCCATTGCTCAAAGGTCAAGATATTCACGTTTTCTGGTAGAGATTCATCTAAGCCTTCATACTATAATATATTAAAACTTTAGTCTACAATGGTAATATTTTAATAATAATATTATATAACTATAACAGGATAACTATTTATACATATAGCGATATCTCGACATACTATCTCTCCTACTGAAATTAATTGAAGTCAATAATTCGTTCCAGCTTCAAAAACACCACCTCCATTGTTTTTGTAAAGTGTTTTTGAATACTAAAAATATATTCACAGGAAAAACATTTATTTATAAATAACAAATACGTATTTTGTAAAAAACAAAATAAAAGAAAAACTGAAGTGCTTACGAAAGTACTTAATTTTCGTCACTGATATTTAGTTTTTTCGTCGCACTTTGTTCATTTTCACCTGCAGATCGTTTGAAAATACTGTTCGAGGGGGATTTTTTCTTCCTTCTTTTCAGTATATTGCGGAAATAAGTTAGGAAAATTTTGGTAAAAAACTCCGATGCACGATCAGTTGCAACTTTTGCGGAGTCATTTTTATTTACGAACTCAACAACGTTCTCTCACATTTCCAAGATCTCCTTTATATTTCTTGCAGAGATAACCTCTTCTATCTCCCTTCTATTTACCAATAAATATCTGCCCGATATCTGCCTTTCATTTGATAAAAGTACTTATATCTCTGACTACTCTTTAAAACAAATTTTTTGATAATTAACGGAATGTGCATCATATAATTCCTCAGTTGCTAGCTCCTGAAACTGTTGCTCGACGAGTTCGTTCACATATCTCTCATCTACCTCCAGTTCCGTGGATTTTCCCAGAGAAACAACCTCCTCTACCAATGACACTTAATGTGTCGAATCCTTCGAAGGCCCTTTTAGCTACAGCCTCAGGCTACATTTTTTTTCATGCAGAGATCCTCGTTGTAATACTCAGCCACACCTGATCAATAATTCTTAGGCATATCACGTGCTTCCAGAACTCTCGAAGGTTAAGTTTGTGTCCTCCGTCACCTTAAAGCAGCAACGAAAATGTGCTTATTATACAACTTTTTAAAATTAAAAATCACCTGGTGATCCATGACCTGCAGGATAGGAGTGGTGTTGGATGGTAGGCAGAGAAACTTTATAAACTTGAACTCTTCGAATAAATTATCACCGAGATTTGAAAAGTAGGCATTGTCGATAATGGGGAGAAGGGCTTGTATGGGTAGGTTGTTTTCCTGTAGATATTTTTTAACAGCAGGGCCAAGCACCTGGTTTATCCGCTCTGCAAAGAATTTTATGTTGACTCACGCCGTCGAATTTCCCCTCCAAATTTTAACTGGGATTTTCCAAATCGTATACTACAGAGATTCTAGGCTTGATTTTGCAGTTGGTACTCGCATTAATAAAAAGAGATAATCATCCTTCATAAATTTACGAACTGACATCGTCTTCTCCTCTGCCGTTATGTTAGTCCTATTCAGCACTCTTTTCCAGAAAAATCTGTCTCGTCATAGTTGAAGACTTTGTGGGAGATATATCCTTTGGCGTCTATCAGTTCCAAAAACGTTTAGATGTAAACCTCAGTTGTTTTTACATCCCAACCTACTGCATCACCATGTCTGACGAATGTCAGCGAATGCCGACCCTTTACCTAAAGTGTTACTCTTTACCCTTAGGCCTGACTAACTTTAAACAAGTTTCTCAATTCTTCGTTTTTAGAAGTGCTTTAGATCTGCTTTAGCAAATCAGCGTAAATTGCTCATACCTTCTAACATATGACGCATTATGTTAAGGTTCCCCCTTGAAGCTAATTTTCTGTCACCGACACGCTCATTAGTTTCTCCATATTTTCATCTAGAGAGGTCCAGAGAGGTATATCCTTTATTAATTCCTCCTATTTAAGCACAGTACATATCATTGGTGTGCTACGCCCGAACATCCTCGCCAAGTCAACTACTCGCACACATTGCTCATGTTTTTCTATAATTTTACGCTTAAATTCAATAGTTATCATCATTTTCTTCTGACCTACAGCTATAAAAATAAATGTGATAATGTTTTGTAACTGTATAAAAAGAGAAAAACGCGACTCTAACTTATCAAAAATGATATACAGCGATGCTGTGCAGCGGTGAAGTGTGAGATTTCTCGTAATTTAAATCTTGCTTTCATCTCAAACCAAAATATCGCTTGCTTTTCGACTTATATCTCAAAACACTCGTATATTAGGGCAGTCGTATATCGAAGTACCACTATGAATATTAGTTACAGTAATTTCTAAAATTTTCTTTAGCTCCATCTACTTAATTGTTTGCTGAAAATATTTTTACATTAGCCATAACTAAATTTAATGTATTACACACTCATTCCAAGTTTCTGGGATGACTGAATACTCTGCTTGCGGAAGATAAGAATCGCATCGTTAAATTCGGAAAGAAGCATAGTAAATATATGTTTATGCTAATGTACATTGATAAAATATTGTTGCTTACCACCAATTCAGATTTCTGTAGATCTGTATAGGAGATGTTTGTTGCAGATAAGCCAATCCAGGGTTGAATCAATTTTTGTTGAGCAATAATACGTTCAAGGCTTGCAGTAGATTTACCTGTAATGAATAAAAAGAAAATTCTCAAATAGCGTTTTAGCCTATGACAACGAATATAACGATGTAAAGAAGAAATAGAAGCCAACGACATGGAATAAAAAATTAAGTTACAAAGTCCACATATCCACATATGTTTGTTTCAAGTGTGAAACTTGAAGTCATAAGTGAGAGTTAACTACCTTAGGAGGACTTTAGAACATATGCAATTTCTTGATGATTTACTTCCTCTTAAGGTGCACTCTCCATTACTGAAGATTGGCTACAAATACAGCAAATTGCTGTCTTTCTTGAGCTGTTCTTATTATCAAATGTGTGTCCATGCCTTTCCAGTTTCTTACATTTTTCAGCCAGGAACATTTTCTTCTTTCTGGATCTCTTCTTCCTTTCAGTTTCCCTTCCTTTATCAGTCGTAGGAAGTTGTATTTGTCTCCTCTGTAAATATGTCCTAGATAACTCGTTTTTCTGGTTTTTACTATATTTTAATTACTTGATAAAGCCCCTCTGTGGCTCAGTGGTAAGAGTGCCTACCTTTAAACCTAAAGGTCGGGAGTTTGAATCTCATCTGGGTGGAGAAATTTTCGTTTATTAAAAATTAATTAATGAAAATAATTTCTATCCTTGTGCGATCGGTACTCACCGGAGGGACCGAAGACGTTCGGATACAATTAGCGTTTCTTAGCGAAGACAATGACGTCGACTTTGCTAAGTATCAAGACAATTACTCTACACACACACTACACTAGGTACCTGACTGTAGCATGCCAATAATCTTAGTTGTCGAAGCATTAACTCAATAATAAAAAAAATTACTTGATGATTTACTTACCATCCAAATCAGCTTTTTTTCGCCTTTCCGATAACCAAATAATGTGTACCTCTCACATAAACTCCTTTATCAAATTCTATCTCATTTAGATTTTCATTTACACCTTTGTGATCATCATGCAGTATTCTTCTGTGTACCTAAAATATTTTTTCTATAATCTGTATATTAAATATAACTATCTACATATTTACTACATTGTTAGAATTACATTTAAACAATGGGAAACCAGGTTTTTTCGAAAATATATTTAACAATATTTTATCATTTTTTGATAGCATCTACAATAGATCTTACCATTAGCTCCACTTCATTTTGAGAAAGACTTGACCCACCTTCAGATCGGTCAGTAAGTATAGCAACTTCGATATCTTGATCTTCATCCTTAAGAACAATTCTGGAGGTTACTGGATAGTAGTTACTGGATACTGTTTCGACCTCTGGATTGTAAGTATAATCGGACCGCTGATCTTTAACTCTTTTTATGAGTTCTCTTCCATTGGAATCAGTATAAAAGATATTCTTGTTGTTAAATTTGCTACCTATCGTATATTTTGAGATGAACTCCTTTCCTTTTTTGTCGTCACTAAAAATTATTATTTTTTTTAGTCGTGTTAACACAAAAATCTAGAATTCAGAAATACAAATCAATATAATCACACCCATTACCTGCTTAAGGTCGAATCTAAACAAGGCTGTGCAGAGCATGTTTTCTGTAAAATTGAAAAGGATTCTACACTGGTTACCATCTGCCAGCAAATATTAAAAATAGTTTAGGAAGTAGTAATAGTCACCCCCATAAATCATATATTAAAAGACTATCGAAATGAATATCTTCTTAGTTAGTTCTATAACAGCGAAGAACTATAATAAAACTTTCTTAAACGAGGTGATCAAGCGATGGATGACAAATTTCTCTATAAGCTGGACGCAGTTAGAGAAAAAATGGACCGTTACAATAGAAAGTCTGAACTTTTAAACATTAATCAAACAAGCAGAGATACTACAGTGGAAATTTGGAAGCAAACACGATCTTATAACCAGGAGGAAAATGGCGATTAACACAAAACACCATCAAATCTAACCTGATATCGACATTTAGAGCAACAAAAAACAAGTCGCACAATAAAGTTTAAATGAGTGGGGAAAAACACAGAAACAACAAAACCACATAAAGTTTGACAACTATGATGATTGCAACACAAAACAGAGAAAATCCATACAACGGATTTAAATATAGTTTAAATATACGTCTGTAAATAAGGGCTTTAACCAAACGCCACGAAAATAGAGGTATCCAATTTTCACCTAAGTAACAATTAATTAAATTAATTAAAATACAATAAGTAAATTTGAAATTTAACAAAAAGTAAGAATGATTGCTGGCATTGGAAATCTATTTTTGCGCAATTGCTGTCAGATCTGAGCCACATCCTACCATATAAAATATGATTAACTGTCTTAAAGTTATACAAAAAGATCTTCTTCTTCTTAACGTGCCCTATCAAGTCCCCTTGACGTTGGCGATTAACATGGCGAAACTGTCTCTGTCTCGAGCTATTCTAAAGAGTTGCTCAGCTTTCTTTATTCCTGTCCACTGTCTGATATTCTTCAATCAAGAGGCCTGCTTTCTACCAATTCCTCTGCGTCCTTCGATTTTACCCATCATAATAAGTTGAAGAATATTATATCGGTCTCCCCTTACTACGTGTCCAAAATAGGCCATCTTTCTACATTTGATGTTATCAAGCAGCTCGCGAGCAGCATTTGCTCTCTCAAGGACTGCCACATTTGTCAGCACAGCCGTCCACGGAATTTTTAGTATACGTCTGTGCAGCCACATTTCAAAGGCCTCCAGACGATTAATGGTGGATATTTTTAATGTCCATGCTTCGACACCGTATAAGAGAACTGACCAAATGTAGCATTTAACCATAGGCTTTCGAAGTTGAAGTTTCAAGTTATCATTACAGAAGAATGACTTCATTTTTTAAAATGTCGTGCGGGCTATCTCGATTCTACATTTTATCTCTTGATCTGGATCTAGTTGTTCAGTAATATGGCAACCAAGATATTTAAAACTGGACACTCTTTGAGTTATATATTCTATCTGAATATAAATTAAATAACAGTGGGGATAGTATACAACCCTGTCTGACACCTCTTTGTATTTTACATATTTCTGTTGAGTTTCCGTGTATGCAAGCTGTCGCTGTTTGACGCCAGTATAACTTTTCTATGAATCGTATGTCTTGACTATCAACTCCTTTATCTTTTAATATTGTAATTAATTAGTGATGCTGTACTCGATCAAAGGCCTTTTCATAGTCAATAAATACAGCAAAGACGTCTTTCCTTTGATCTCGACATTTCTGCAGTAATACATTTAGTGCAAAGAGGGCGTCCCGAGTTCCCAGTCCATTTCTGAAGCCAAATTGTGTTTCATCCTGATCTTTTTCACATTTATCTCTGATTCTACTGTGGATGATGCGTAGAAATATTTTCAAAGTGTGGCTTATAAGTCTTATCATTCTATAATCGCTACAAAAAGATTTATGACAGGGTAACTTACCAATCTATTAAAATCGTAGATTTTACCAGCTACAGCGGATTTGCACCAAAATCAGCAGGATACTTTAATCTCGTGACTGTAAGAACCCAAGAATAGTCTGAACAACCAAAAATCAACATGCCTCGTATTTTATAATATAACCAGGGATCTACCATGCAACACATTAGCTACGCTGAACAGAATAAGAACCAAATGCTAGATTTCGTTACATTATGGCCTGATCAAAGTGTGATAGGACTCTCTCTCTCTCTCTCTCTCTCTCTCTCTCTCTCTCTCACTCTCACTCTCTCTTTTCTAATTTTACTGATACCCACAATATCACAATTCACTTAGTTTTTTATTGGAAATAAGCCACAATATAAGTTTAAGTCACGACCATTCAGTTTTTAGCACGATAGCTTTTACCATAACGATTTTTTTACATCTGGTTTCTCTACATTTTTGTTGGGTAGGGAAAGAAAGTGTGGAAGTGGGAATTTTATGGGTAGTGATCTGGTTTCCTGGGGAAAAAGGCATTAAAGAGCAAAACTATAACCTGGCGAAGGCAGACTTGCTATTTTTGAAGTAGATATATCCTAAATTATTATTACTTACATATTAATGTTACCAACGATCCAATCAAACTCTATGTAGCTCTCATTTTTATAGTGTCTTATAATTTGAAGAATTTCAGCGTCCGTGGTAGTCCATACTTGATGCACTTCATCAACAACTTTACCAGATTTTTGAAAGATTTTGTTTATTGTTGCGGGCGAAACTGGAATGGCAGTACCTGGTGCAACAGGCCTAAAATTAAAGAACAATTTATTTAAATAAAAATGCGATTAAGTCGAAAATTTTTATAAGTTAAAAGACTTAAGACATTGTTTGTTTTATTTTATTTGTAAATATTTACCAATTATTTTATTATTTAGTATCATATTAGAATAAAACCGAGGAGGGACAGACACACAATGCCCTTAAGGAAATGGATATACTTGCTATCGATATAATGGGTGTAAGTGAATTGCGCTGGACTAGATCTGGATCACCAGATTTATTACTCCGAAAATAGCAAAGACCTACATATTAACTGAGTATCTTGAAAGAACAATAAATCATGTCTACACGGTAATAGATATTCAACAAACAAAGAATATATACGAAAGAGATACGTTAAGAAGACATTCGATGACGACAAAGATAACATCCAGATAATTATGGAATACGACACAGGATCACCAATACGTTTATTGACGTTTCAATTTCTACTTCGGAAATCGTTCTCAAAATACAAATAGTAAATTTACAATTGTAAGGAGAGGAAATTATTTACTCATTAGGTTAAGGGATTTTTACCTCCTGGCATGCTATGTATCTCCAAATATCCCTATGATGAGATACGAAACAATCGTTAATGAAATAATGTGTGCCGCTATAAACGAAAAACAAATACTGATCGCCGGGGACATAAATGCGAAGTCAAGACAATGGGGTTCCCCCATAAACGACAAAAAGGGGGAACTCTGGAATGAATGGATAGCCCAGGCTGGCCTCCAAGTGCTAAACAACAATAAGCAAACCTTCGTACGAGGGGCCAGTCAATCACACATTGACATCACATTCGCGAGCGAAGGGCTATCCAGGAAGGTGTACGGGTGCGATGTACTCGACGATCAGCTCTTCACCTACCACCGATATATACAATTTGAGGTAAAGGTTAAACGGGGGATAAAGCGGTCGATAGGTACGGTAAAATCATATTTCAACAAAAACAAGTACCTATCGGAGGTCAGAAAAATAAGTGAAGATGAGATTTCTGACCTCGGCCAACTTCGAACAGCTCTACAAAATGCGGCAAAATTGGCTACCAAAAAGAAAAAAAATGGAAAAAAATCCCCCTATTGGTGAACAGATGAGATAGAAGATCTACGGGAGAGATGCCTTAGAGCTCGAAGGAATTATACGAGAAGCCAGGACAACCTCAATCTTAAAGAAACATATAAAGATTTGAAGAAAATATTAAATAATACAATAAAAAAAGAGAAAAAAGAAAAGTGGCAAACCCTGATAAAAGCACTCGACGAGGATATATGGGGTGATGCATATAAAATCACAATGAAGACCTTAAAGCTAATGGCCCCATATAGATTCGACGAAGACCAGAGGATGAGATCAGCTGAACTCCTCTTTCCCAACAAAGACATACAATATTTCACCAAGGTTTTCCCAACTATGCTAGAGGAGTTCACAGAAGAGGAGGTGAAAACCGCTGGCCAGGATACGAAGACAGGGAAAGCTCCCGGCCCTAACGGGCTGCCACCAGAAGCAATAAAGATAGTAGCAACTGAGAAACCAGGTTTGATCAGAAGAATATTTAATGATCTACTGCAGAAACAAGAGTTTCCCAGGGATTTGAAGGAGGCAAACTTGGTTCTACTTTTAAAACCCGGGAAACCCCTGATTCACCGACCTCTTATCGGCCAATATGCCTTCTGATATACATACAATGGGGTACTAGAAATTCACAAGCAGAGACAAGGAGTCAAAGCGATAGCATACGCAGACGATCTAGCCCTACTGGTTGAGGATGATATGAATTGGGGCATAACAGAAAAGGTAAATAAAGCAATAAACACGACCGCGGCGTGGATCGAGAAAAACGACTTAAAATTAGCAGTAGACAAGACAGAGATAATTCTAAGAGGACCAAGGAAAAGGGAGGACTTAGTGTTCAAATGTCAAGGCTCCGAAATAAGACCCCAAATGACAGTCAAGTATCTTGGTATTACTTTCGACGACCGACTTACCTTTGGGCAGCACATACAAGAAGCATGTCGAAAGGCGGAAGGGAGGATCTCAGAATTGAACAAATTAATACCAAACGTAGGGGGGCCTGGATCTCAGAAGAGATCAGTTATGTTACAATCAATATTATCGATCATTTTATACGGTGCCCCCGTGTGGCATGGGGTCCTTCAGATGAAGAAATATAAGGACATGCTCTCTAGGGCTCAAAGAAAACCTCTGATCAGGGTGTGCAGCGCATACAGAACTGTATCTACCATTGCCTTACAGGTGGTGGCTGGTTCTGTATCCGTGCATATCCTGGCCAAGGAGAGAGCTCGAATGTATCCGAGGGGCAACGGGGCGGTTGGTTCAGGGCTACAAGAAAGAGCCAGAAGCTTGGAGATGTGGCAGAGGGAATGGGCAGCTGAAGTCGAAAAGGCGGCCTGGACGAGGTCCCTGGTCCCGGATGTAGTGAGGTGGTATAGGTGTCAACATCGGCGCGTCAACTACTACTTCACGGAGTTTATGACGGGACACGGATCGTTTCGGAAATACACCCATAGAATCGGAAAATCCGGAGACGATCTGTGTCCTGAGTGTGGAGTGGTGGATGATGCGCGGCATGTTGTGTTCGACTGCCCTGCATACCACATAGGGCGAAACGAACTGCAACGGAGCCTGGGATTTCCACTAGCCGAGCCTCACGAGCTGATCGATAAAGCCATCGATAGCAAGCACGATTTCGAACTGATCATTGCTTTTGTCACAAAAACCATAAAGCACAAGGAAGAGAAAGAGAGGCGGCTGCAGGTGGACTGACCGCTATATTTATTTATCGTTGTATTTATTTTATTGTATTTTATTTATTCAAGTTACTTTCGTTTTTTACTATAATTTTATCAATACCAATTTTAGCTATTTTTTATTTTTATTTTACCTACACTACTTTTAACTTATTTCTTTTATCTATTTTATTTACTAATTTATTTATTTTATTTCATGGTAAGGGCCGTGGGACATGGGACGGGAAAGGACTCTTTACATCCAATCCCGTCGGATGTCCAGATACCCCAAAAATTAGTGAATGAAGGTATGAATGCGGAACTGAATTGATGGAAGTACGAATGAATAGTGTTACTGTTAATTGCTAACTGGTTCTACTCGTTAGTTCCAAAGTGGAAGGGAGGGCAACCAGGCTGTCTCGCCGGCATAAGGATTGAGCAGGCCAGTCTCGCCCGAGCCTTATGCGGGTGAGGGAGGCCGGGAGGCCGTCAAATCCATGTAATGCACGCGAAAAGTGCCAGAGGGAAGTTAAGAGTAAGGCTGACGGGCCAGATATGCTTGCTAAGAGCGGTTCCGGGCCCGTTGGTCGGAGGAAGAGGGGGTGGTTTAGTCGGTAGGCGGTCCCGTCACACGGTGAAGCGTGAGAGATTGAATCCGACACACCTGGGTAAAGGGCTGACACCCGATCCCAGACGGTCTTTTGAAGATTCCACCTCCCAAAAAAAAAAAATTCAGGCCTTGGTTCTTTTCTATTATTTTTTCTGCCTTGTTTTCATTGTAGATACTTCAATCTTCCCTTACTCTTTTCTTTATTTATTTATTCAATTCTTTGAAATCACCGGTGTTTCGCTTTCGTGCGTCTCTTTTTCATCAACCGTTTTGTTCCATCGCTTATTCTGTCTTCTTTATTGTTTGTTTTCCTTGCTTTTAAGAGCTTTCGTTGCATTTCATTATTAATTGTGTTCATGTCGGAATACTTTTGTTGAGAATGTTCTACAAATTTTTTTCTTAAGACTTCTCTGTACTCGACTCCCTTTTGTCGTGTTTTAGTTTGATCTATCTGATTACAATAATGATGTGGCCTGTTTCTACTAGTTTTCGTCTGTTTAACAACAATATTTGGTCTTAAAAGACGATAATGGCTGCCAGTTGTGAATCGATTAAGAGCAGTTATATCTTCAAAAATGTCTTTTTTTTTCACACAAGAAGTAATCGATCTCGTTTTTCGCCTTTTTATCAAGAGATACCCACGTCCATTTTCGGTTTGCTGCTTTCTTGAAGTGTGTGTTTATGACATTTTTCATGTTTATGGCTCTTTTATTTTGAGGGCTTTAACCATGCATCCCTATTTTAGTTTCAGTATTTTCTACTGTTTTATCTAATTTTGCGTTGAAATCTCCCATAACGATGATATATTTTGTATCATTTTCTTCTAATGCTGTTATCAAATTTTTGTAGAACATTTCAACTAACTCTTTCTGATGTGTTGTTGTGGGAGCATATACTTGTATAAACTCGATCTTGGTTTTATTATCTAGGTCTATTATAATATAAGCTACTCTATCAAACCCTACTTCACCATATGTTTCGTCTATTTTTCCTGTATAGTATAGGCGATTTCCAGAGTTTAGATAAATGCATTGTTCGCCTCTTTTTTACTTCTGACAGTCATACAATTTTTCACTTTGTCTTGGATAGTTCATCGATTGGATATTGTATGTGGCTAGTAGTAGCTGGTATTGTTTGTTCGTATCTATTTTGGCGCATTTTGTTGAGCTTGTGCCTCCTCCAGAATCCATGAAGCTGACCGGTTTTTCGGTGTGGGATTCTCTAAACTGCTAGCTCTACCTACCTGGGGTATCGTACCATGTTGTTTTAATGTCAACATGTTGTGTTTTGATGAGTATATTTTCATTAAAACACAACGCTTTCCGGATGGGTTGGTGAGGGTTCGCAGTATCACAGTTAATGGAATTATTAGTCCAAAAACGTTCTGTGATTATTTATCCGAAGATCCGATGATCCGCAGATGTAACTTAAGAAATTAAGTCTAAACTAAAATTTGATAAAAGGTAAGAAGGGAATGAGCAGATGCAAAATGTAATGTATAACTTTAAAACCGATTTGTGATATCCAATCTTCATTGTGAAGATGACACTCCATAAAAAGATGATTGTTGCCTTATCTTATGTTAGAAACCTGTTTTTTATATTTATTTTATATTCAATCTAAATTCTTTGTAAATATTTTATCACATGTATTTAAATAATTATTTATCCTTTTGAAATATTATTCAAGACATCTCAAAAAGTTGCACAATTTTCACAGCAGTTAATATTCTGAAATAGATTTGTTAAAACTGGAAAATATCTTACCTGAAAATGTATGCACCAGACGCCACACCAGAAGAATTTGTACCATCTTCACTCACGTAATAGTAAAAGTTTTGTGAAATGTCTAAGTTTAAATCATTTAAGATGACAGATTTTATTGTATTATTATTATCGTCCATTACAAATGCTGTAATATCGTCGAAATCACTTTCGTCTTCTTGCGTGAAATCTCTTGTTTTGTTCGTTTTTTGTATATAGTATAATTTGAATCCCATTGGTGGAATATCTTTAGCAGCAAATACTAACTCAAAAGCACTAGGTGTTTCTCCTTTTATTTTCACGTGACTAAAGTTGCTGATCGTAGGAATAAGATCATATAATTCACCTAGAAGATGTAATTTTAATTTTATGGTTATGTTATTTTTATATTTTATGTAATTTTAAAAATGTACTAAATTTTTTAAACCCAGAACAAATAATATTCAAATAACATTCAAATTATAATAACCTAATACCTAAGATAAAAATTAATGATATAACAGAACAGCAAATAGAAAGATATATAAAGATAAGATTAATAACTGCAATACTGATCATTTTGGAAGCCTACGAAATGTATGCAGACTAAGCAAATAATGAAAATTTGGCCAACATCAACAAAGTGGAAGGATTTGAATCGTTCGACCACAATTCGATTTGTGTGGAAAGCAAAAATGTTTACACGACAGGCGGTGAATGTTAGATTAATTGTGGTAGAAAATGGCGTCACGTGGAATGATTAATGTAGGTGAGCAATTACTTTCTTGTGCAATTCGGGAAGAAATCGCTAAATCAAACAAAGAGAAAAAAAAAGCCAAGGTGGTGGACCCTACAGTGGATTGTAAGACGAAATACCCATGGTGCACCACAAAGCCTGCTCCAAGAAAGGGTTGTGGAAGATTCAGAGGCTTATGGAAATCATCTAAGAATGGATAATGCTTATTTTAGAGAACTTTTCTAAAAAACTGCTGAGAAAACTCAAAAAAATGCGTAAAACATTACCGGCAAAGCTGAAATTGCAAATAGCTCTTCGATTTCTAGCCACTGGCGACAGCTATGCGTTACTCAAAGCCTTGAATCGGGTACCAAAATGATCAATATCGCTATTTTTGCTTGAATTGTTGAATACTATATAATGAAAGGCTTCAAGAGTATATAAAGGTAAGTAAAAAAGTTTTGTATGTTATTTTAAGATATCACTTGGGTTAACATTACAAGATGATTATAGATAATTGTCGTTTTCATTCGTAATACTTGACAACTAGTTGCTAGTTGATATATCCGGCATTACCGTCGTATGTGCTGGGATATGTGGCAGTGGTGAACAAACTTCACTTAACTAAGTATCCGAAGAATGGTAATGGTTTGATGCGGTCGTGTGTTTACAGAAAGATTCAAAGTGATATGTTGGTAATGTCGTTGAACTTTAATAGTTTAGGCGTTTTTGTGTTATACAGAGTGGCCCAAACGTCTGGAAACGGCTAATTATCTCGTAAAATGCTAATCATAATTGTACAAAATTTGAGGTACACTATATATTTACAATGTTGCCAGATTTATTGTTTTTCTTATATTATTAGTAACTTTGGTTTTTCAAATGCATCACCCTGTATATTCAGTCATTATTGGAATCTCCTATTCAATACGAGTTCAATCATATGTAACACTTATGATTTTATGTAATCTGGAAGGTCATAAATACATAAAACCGAAGTCTGGCAACGCCTAAATTGTTTCAATAAATTTTTTAATACTAACTATTTTCAAATACATTAAAACGTAACAATTGATAGTTTAGAACATTTTTTAACATAGTAGTTACGTTATTAAGTATTCAAAATGTGCTCAATTTGTGAGTTGACAGCACCCTAATCGATGGTAGAAGTCGTCTACCACATTTCTTCATGATTGTCTAGAAATTATTCGAGATTCATTGATAATTCGTTGCCTTAGCTCTGCAAGACTTGATGGTTAAGTTTTGTAAACTGAATTTTTCAAGTATCCCTAATAAAAATAATCTTTAGGATTGAAACCGGGTGAACGTGGAGGCAGTTCAATTCTACCTTGTCTACCAATTTATCGTCCAGGGAATATCTCATCTAAATATCGCCGAACATTTACACCAACTATCTGACGTTAAATTTCTTTCGACAATAAATGACCCAATTGAATAAGTGACTACTATATCTAACCATACATTTAATTTTTGTGGTCTTTACATCATGTACTTGTGCAACCCTGCCTGTGGATGTATGTGGATCTTCAACAAAACTTTGCATATATCTGAAGTTTTGTTGTCATTGATAACTCGTTTCGGTCAATCTGATCGGTATCTATCTTTTACTTCTCCAGATTCCTCAAATCACCTTATAGTTTTTTGTACCGTCGTCTTATGAATAGGAGAACGGTTTAGAGAACGGAATTTTAGAGAAGCAATTTAAATTGCAGAACTTTTTGAACCACAACTACTGTCAACATTAGTTCAAAATTGAAATGGTGAAAAAGTGTCAAAATCACAGCATTCTCCATTTAAATATTTAAATTTATTAAAATCTACATATTTTGCACTGTTTTGTGTATTTAAGATCTTTCAAACTACATAAAATCAAGTGAACATATGGTTGAACTCGTATTGAATAGCTGAACTCGTGTGAAATTCACACTGAATGCGTGAAAACCATACTCAAAGACCACAAAAATTAAATGTATGGTCAGTTATAGTAGGTACTTATTTAATTGGGCCATTTTTTATCGAAAGAAATTTAACGTCAGATAGTTGGTGTAAATGTTCGGCGGTATTTAGATGAGATATTTCCCGGACGATAAATTGGTAGACAAGGTAGAATTGAATGGCCTCCACGTTCACCCGATCTCAATCCTAAAGAATATTTTTATTGGAGATACTTGAAAAATTCAGTTTACAAAACTTAACCAGCAAGTATTGCATAGCTAAGGCAATGAATTATCGATGAATCTCGAATAATTTCTAGACAATCATGGAGAAATGTGGTAGAGGCATTCTACCATCGATTAGAGTGCTGTCAACTCACAAATGGAGCACATTTTGAACACTTAATAACGTAACTATTATGTTAAAAAATATTCTTAACTATAAATTGTTACGTTTTAATGTATTTGAAAATAGTTAGTATTAAAAAATGTATTGAAACCATTTAGGGGTTGCCAGACTTCTGTTTTATGTATTTAAGACCTTCCAGATTACATAAAATCATAAGTGTTACCTATGGTTGAACTCGTATTTAATAGGAGATTCCAATAATCACTGAATGTACAGGGTGATTCATTTGAAAAACCGAAGTTACTAGTAATATAAGAGAAACTGAAAATCTGGCAACATTGCAAATACCAAATATGGAATTTCCGTATCCCAAAATAGGCGTATCTCAAATTTTAAATAATTATGTCTAGTAATTTACGAGATAATTAGCCGTTTCCAGACTATTGGGCCACTCTGTATACTTTAAGGTATTTTGGAACTGTTGTGTAATTTCTAAAGCTCTCTGCAGCGAGCAAGAAGACTTCCTAGATTTCAAGAGCCTTGTTGGAAACAAAAATTGGAAAACTGACAATGGAAAAGGAATGATCAAAATCAGTCAAATAAAGGAAATCAGTACTTCGTATAATACACCAAAAGTATGATTTAAGTTCCGATTCTATCAGGTGTGATCTAACAAAAGCAAAAAGGGGACGTCCATCGTATTAATCAATTTCTATCTAAAGTATACACAAATCTTTAGTCAATAGATAAGAAGAAGTTAACTGGTTTATTATGACTTTGTGATACTGAAAAAATTCCTACTATGTATCATGGCTTCTATAGAAGTCTACATTCTGATACATCAGAAAAGTATGAAATCACTGCTAGAAGTGACGACAGAGAACTGCAATAACGTTTGTTTATAATATTTTGTAATTTAACTCCGATGTAGACTTTATTCATAAATACAATTTCACAGAACGATGGTATGTATTATTTATATTCCTGATTTTTGTCCAGCGAATACTGTATTAACTCATTCAAAATCCAGATAAAGAAACAAAATTGACATGTTTAAAAGCACAAATGGAACAATACGGTAAACACAATGGATAAATATAAAAAGAATTTAATAAATAAAACTGGTCTGGTCTGGTCGACTCTTCTATATGCAGTTGAAACGTGGACCCTTAAAACATCAACCGTAAATAAATTGGAGGCCTTTGAAATGTGGATCTACCGGAGAATACTCAAAATTTCATGGACATCGCATACCTCAAACGAAGAAGTGCTGCATAGAATAGGCAAGGAAAGAGAACTTTTTAACACAGTAAAAGTAAGAAAAACATCATACCTAGGCCACATACTGAGAAATAATAAGTACCAATATGCCCAACTTATAGTGAAAGGAAAAATCGAGGAAAAGAGAGGCCTAGGAAGGAAAAGACTATCGTGGCTCAGAAACATCCGACAATGGACAGGGCTAAATTTTGAACAGCTAATAAGAACAGCTGAAGATAGAGAAGAGTTTAAAATTGTAGTAGCCAACCTCCATTGAGGAGAGGGCACTTTAAGAAGAAGAATAAATAAAAACCCCTGATTTTTTGCGCTAATCAAGACTTTATCTTGCTTTATTCGAAAACTTCAAAAAATGAGTTAGTACAGTCTTCGCTGGATGAGTCGATATATATATAAACCTTTTTGAATTATCTTTACAACGATTTCAATAATACACATACCTTCATTTATCATATAATCACCATCTTCGACTGGTAATCTTATATAATGTGTTACACTCCATCCCAGAGGATTGTAAACTCCTACGACAAATGTATTTGATTCTTGCGATACTTTACAGATGCTAACATTTGTTAATAAACAAGAAGCCAGTTCCAGTTTAAGATCCGTGTTCAGAAGTTCGCTAAAATAATAACACCATTATTAAGTTTTAAATTAAGCCTAAACCTATGAAAACAAAAAAAAAAAAAGAAAGCTTAGTAAGAACTAAAGGAAACAAAATTTTGGTTATAATAGAAATATTGTCAGAAATTATTAAGGTTCGAGGAATACAGTTGTGCAAACACATTATATCAGCAGTAGGAATAGTAAACTTCTTTAGTACCCTTTTATACGGTTTATGTTTGTGCAAACTTGTAGAGTTGTAGAGACAACTCTACAAGTTTCAAATGAAAGGCTCACCAGAGCTTTAATCAACAAATCAAGAGGCGACAAAAATATCGCTGTGCCACTTGATAAAAGAGGCAAGCACCCCCCTAAGAATAAGACAAGGGAAATGGATATTCAAAATATAACATTAATAAGGTTTCACTAACAAATTTGCTAAATATACATCCCACCATAACCGTATCAAAAACCCTAATCGAGAGTATCTGTCACCTGATTTAAATATCTCAAAACTTTTTGATTTGTATGCGCAAATTGAAAAACCAGAGTTGATGGTATCCAAATTCGTCTTTTCGAAAATAGTAAATGAAGATTTTAATCTTCATAAAAATCTATTTAAAAAAGTTATATATACAATAGCACTAAAGGCCTTAGAGGCCCATGGCTTAAAAACTTTTGTTCTTTCTTCATTTTCGCTTTCCTTTATGTACCGAGAGATCTTCTCTGGCTCGATATGTGACTTTTCTCCATTCCTTCTTGTTATTCATTTTTCTTTTCTGGCCGTCTAGTCCAATTTCTTCCATATCTTTTCCTACCTCCTGATTCCATCTATTTTTTGGCCTTCCTTTTCTCTTTTTTGAAGTTATATTGTAGTTTAGTACCCTTTTTGGAGTCCTTGTGTTCGGCATCCTTTCTAGGTGACCTCGCCATCTTAGTCTCTGTGCCTTTATGACTCCTATTATGTTAGGTTGATTATATAATTTATTTAACTCATCATTTGATCTTCTTATCCATAAACCGTCCCTTATTATTCCTCCATATATCTTCCTCAAAATTTTCCTTTCCCATATCTCCCGTAGATTTTGTTCATTTTTGGTCATTGTCCACGTCTCACTGCAGTATGTTGCTATTGGTTGTATAGTTGTTTTGTATTACTGTATTTTTGCCTTTCTTGATAAAAACTTGCTTTTCAACATTCCACTAAGAGCATGTACTGCCTAATATTGCCTGCCATTATTCTAGCTTGTATTTCTTCTTTAATGTTAGGTTTACGTGATATTATTGTACCTTGGTATGTAAATCTTTCCACCATTTCGAATTCGTATGATAATCTTTCTTCTACTTCTACTTTAAACTTTTGTCCATTCCTAAACTGATCATCTGTCCACTGCATACATTTTGTCTTAATTTCATTTATGTAAAGTCCCATTTTCTTTGCTGCTTTTACTATTCTCTGTACTATCTCCTGTAGCTCTTTTTTTCCTCTTGCCATCAACACTATATCATCCGCAAATGCCAAAACTTGGTGTCTTTTATGATATAGGAATCCTTCTCTATTAATTCTCGCTTCTCACATTATTTTGTCCAGGCATAAATTGAAGAGTAATGATGACAAAGGATCGCCCTGCCTTAATCCTTCGTTTACTATAAATTTGTCCGATGCATGATTGTTGACTTTGACTCTGTTTTCTGTATTCTCTTAAGTAAGATGTATCATGTTACGCAACTTTCTGCTAACTCCCAGTTCCTCAAGGGTCTCTTTTAATTCCTTCCTTTTTATTCTGTCGTATGCTTGCTGGAAGTCGATGAATAGCGCTATCGTTGGTAAGTTGTGTTCATAGCTTTCTGCTTGTAACTCTCTTATTATGACTACTTGGTCCGTTGTGCTTCTCCCTCGTCTAAATCCACACTGGTATTCGCCTATTATATTTTCAGCTTCTTTTTCTAGCTTATCTTTTATCGATTTTGATAGGATTTTATGTATGGTATTTAGTAACGCTACTCCTCTGTAATTACTGCATTCTGTTTTGTCTCCTTTTTTGTGTAATGGACAAATAATGGCTTCCTTCCAATCTTCTTGTATTCGTTCTTTTATCCATATCTCTTTTATGATCTTGTATATCCAATTATTTAGCAGTTTTCCACCATATTTTATTATCTCTGCTGTTATGTTATCACTTCCAGGGGATTTGTTGTTTTTCAGATTTTTTATGATTTCCTCGATTTGTTTTTTGCTGGGCGAATTATCTTCTATGTCGTCTATGTGTTCAATTCTTGCTTCTGTTTCCATATATTCTCTTTGGTTTGACTTATTATTACCGTTTAGTAATTCATCAAAATACTCTTTCCATCTTTCGAGTATTTCTGCTTCCCCGCTTATATTATTTCCTGCTTTGTTTTTAACGAATATGGGTTTTTGTTGGAAACCTTTTTTTTTTCATTTCTAGCACCTTGATACAGGTTTTTTATTTTTTTATTTCTGTAATTCTCTTCTATTTCTTTTAGCTTATTTTCTATGTGTTTTCTCTTCTTTTCTCTCGTCTCCCACTTTACTTTTTGTCTTTGCTCCCTATATCTATTCTTTGTCTCTATTGTTTCTTTCGTGATCATTTCCATCACGTTATAAAATATAAAAAAGTTATACTTACTCAAATACTTCTCCCATTTCTTTTTCAACTTCAGTAATTGCTCTATGTATTCCTCTAACATAGTCGTTTGCGACGTGTTGCTTCTCCGTTCCAGTTATAGCATCATGGTGTTGCATAACTCCCATAATTTCTCGTAAGTACCTTAGATTTTCGTCATAATTTCTCGATGTGTTGTAGGAATTTTGAGCAAATAACTGTTTTGTGGCCTGAAAATTGTATGGATTATACGATTTAGACCTTACGACTAAAGTTACAATTTTATTGTTGAACATTTGGCACTCAATGGTACAGCTAGTGACTCAATATTATACAATGGTTGTTGTGTTGTTACATATTAGAACAATATATTACTTAATTGATGGATTCGACCGTAACTTGATGGAAATTCATTTTATGTAACAATAAAACACTGAAAACTTTGTTTTCAAACTACCACAAAATTTATTTTAACCTCTGCAGCTGTTTCGGCTGATATCATTTCTCAAGTGATCTATTTTTGGCATGCGTTTACACTTTATAGTCTCTAATGAAATAGGTTGAGGAGGGGAGAACTATTTGTCTCAAATTGATCATTCAAAATTATATCTGTGTTTTTTAATTTGTTAATTTCCATAGATTCTAACAAGGATAGATTAAGGCCTTTATTTTGAATGTGAAGAATTTTAAATTCGTCATTAAAAGAATTATTGTGATCTAGAAGGTGAAGTGCGTAAGTAGAATCTGTTTTTCTATTAATAAAAGCCCTTTTATGTTCTGCTATTTGTTTATTAAAGTTTCTACCAATTTGACCTATGTAAGTTTTTGGGCAGTCGCCACATTTAAGTTTGTACACACCACTGTGTAAGTGTTTTTTGTATTTTGGCTCTTGTTGTTTTAGATATATTTGCCTAGGTTGTTATTTGTTCGGAAAGCTGTTGTTATTCCTTTCTTTTTTATGTGTTTGGCTATTTTTGTTGATATTTTGCCTATGTATGTAATCGAGCAGAAGGTACTGTGTTTTTTCTCTGTACACATAGGGTTCTGTGCACAACATAAAAGGGCTTTTAATAATAGAAAACAGATTCTACATACGCACTTCACCTTTTAAATCACAATCATTCTTTTAATGACGAATTAAAAATTCTTTACATTCAAAATAAAGGCCTTAAGCTATCCTTGTTAGAATCTATGAAAATCAACAAATTTAAAAACACAGATATAATTCTGAATAACCAACTTGGGACAAACAGTTCTCCCCTTCTCAACTTATTTCATTAGAGACTATAAATTTGTAAACCCAAGCCAAAAATAGATCACTTGAGAAAGGCAATCAGCCGAAACAGCTGTAGTAATAAGAGGTTAAAATCAATTTTGTGGAAGTTTGAAAACAAAGTTTTCAGTGTTTTATTGTTACAATATAGTACTTACCTGTAGATAATTATGCCCAACCCTTTCAAATCTTTTCGAATTTGGCCTCGATGAATAATATCCTGTCCAGAAAGAATGATTACTGTCACTATAAGGAAAGAAGTCATCTGTTTTCAGTATAAGATCCTTATCTAAGACATCATTTACCGCTTTAAGATAACAAGATGGAGTAGAGTATATAACGTTGAGATTTGTGTCGTTCTGGAAAGCTCTAAATTATTTAAAAATAGATTAATAATATATAAGAACAATAAAGAAAATTTATATGTATATACCGTGGACCTCCAGTAATTTCTCGTTCCGGAATATATATATATATATATATTATATATATATATATATATATTATATATATATATATATATATATATCGGTTTCAATACGTCTTGCATCGTTGTCCGATGCTTAATTTCCACGAATTTCTATCATTCCATTGTTCTTCGGTCAAGTCTCGGGAGCTCATTGCCTTTGTTATTCCCTTCTTCCATGTTCTTTTTGGTCTTCCTCGTTCCATACGATTTGGTGGTATCCATTTCATGGCGATTTTTGGTAGTCTTGTTTCTGGCATTCTTTGAACATGGCCATAACATATAAGTTGTTTCCTTTCTATGTCTGTTACCAGTGATTTATCTACCTCCATCCAATTCCTTATATCATCGTTTCTGATTCTGTCTGCCCTAGATATTCGAAGTGATCGTCTAAATACATCCATTTCTGTTGCTTCGAGTTTTCTTTTATTGCTTTCTATTAGTCTCCATGTCTCTGTACCATAGGTTAAGCTAGTTTTTATGAGAGATTCATATATATTGTATTTTCGTCTTTTACCAATTTCTGAGCTCCAAAGAACTCCGTTATGGCATCCAATTGTTCTACTGGCCTGGGTTATTCGGTTTCTAATTTCCCTATTGTCTGTGCCTGTGGTGTTGAAATCAATTTCTAGGTAGGTATATTCAGTACAGAATGCAATTTCGGTTGTGTCCATCTGAATGTTGGATAGTTTTGCGCCTATTGGGAGATATTTTGTTTTTTGTGTATTGAGTTCTAAACCCCACTTTTTGTATTCTTCCTGTAGTTTTCTGGCCATATATATCAGGTGTTCTTTATCGTTGGCTATAAGGACTTGATCGTCTGCAAACTGTAGGGTATATAGGCAAGTTTCTCCCAGGTCAATGCCCATTCCTCTGCACTTCCTCTTCCACTGATACAGTGCTTTCGCCACGTAGATTTTAAACAATGTGGGGATATACAACATCCCTGCCGGAGTCCCTTGTTTACAGGAAATTTTTTTGAAAGTCTATTTCCAATTTTTTTTCCAGACGTTGATCCTTCATAAAGCTGTTTAAGGGCGGTAATTACTGTGTGGTTAATGTTTGTTTCCTGCATAACTTTCCATAGCATTTTAGCGGGTACAGTATCATAGTCCTTCTGAAGGTCTATAAACATAAGGTGGGTTTCTTGGTTGGTACTTGATCTTTTTTCTATTATTTGTTTCAAAACAAACACATTATCGGTGCAGCTCCTTCCCGCTCTAAAGCCAGGTTGTTCCTCATCTTCTTGTTCCTTGTATTCTTGTTTGATAATGTCTCGAAGTATCCTTCCATATAGGCGACTTAAGGTACTGGTTACTGATATACTTCGATAGTTTGAGCAGTCCAGTTTACTTCCCTTTTTATGTATAGATGATTTCATATTTCAAAATTATCTTCTACAAATTTGTGTTCGTCAACAATTTTAAGTGGAATTCTGTTTAAATAAATAACATTAGGATAACTAAATTTTTTGAAGAGTCAATTGTGCATACATTTTTCCATTTATAATTTTAAAGGATCTGTTAGTTAAAAAATTACATATAAATGATGGAAAAGTGGAATTACATATGGAAAGTTTTTTAATGATGGAAGCTTTACTTTAGAGATAGTACCAAAGGCGCTCTATATATCCAAGGCTACAAAGACAACATTGCTCTTATTTTTTATGGCTTGAGAAACTTTGGCTTTAAAGAAGAACCAGATTATGCTCTAACTCCAAACTGTTTCTAGAAGATTATGCTGCTCCATGTGTCAAAGCAGACGTTTGTTTATAATCTTCTCTAATAATTTTTACAAAGTGTTTTTATTATTCAGGTTGATCTGAAAGATTTGGGTGAATTTGATAAGCAATCAGTTTTTTTAATGATTCTTATTCTTCTTCAAGTTCCACTTCTATCGGAGATTGGAAATCATTCTGGCAATTATAATTTTATTGGTTACTCGCCTGAATAGTTCAATTGAACTGCATCCAAACCATTCACGGAGATTGCGTAGCCACGAGATTTTACGTCTTCCTACGCTTCTTCTACCTTTGATTTTACCCTGCATTATATTCCTTAGTAGTTCGTACTTTTCACCTCTCATTATGTGCCCCAAGTATTTCAATTTCCTGATTTTTATGAAATTTAAAACTTCGCATTGTTTTCCTAGTTTTTCGAGAACTTGTTCGTTTGTTTTGCGATCCATCCATGATATTTTCAAAATACGTCGGTAACACCACATTGCATTCTTATCCACAATCCACTTATGCATAAGCATTCTTATCCGGAGCGATATATTGATATCACGATTACAAAAAAGTTTTCTCATTCTATTAAAAGTTGACTGCGCAATTTCAATGCGGCATCTTATTTCTTTTGTCTGATCAGTATCTTCTGTGATCCATGCTGCAAGGTTTGTACGAAGATATTTGTTCAATTTCTGTATTATCTAGTACTAGCTTAACTTTGATGTTTTGTGCTTTTGTAAATACCATGAACTTGGTTTTCTTCAAATTGATTTTTAGTCCATAATCGTTGCAATATATATTTAGTTGTTCAGCAAGGTGTTGCAGTTCTTCTAGTGTTCCTGCCAGAAGGACGGTGTAGTCAGCATATCTTATGTTATTAAGTGGCTCACCGTTTATTATAAGGCCCTCACTGATCTCGGCAAGCGCTAATTCTGTGATGGCTTCACTGTATAAATTGAATAACAAGGGTGATAAAATACACCCTTGGCGTGATTGATCAATCATTAAAACCCGTGACGCGTTTTAATGATTAATTATCGTCAAAGAGAAGAGAAATCTTAGTTACACCTTATAAAGTTCAAGGTGTTTAGATAGCGTTACTTGGTGAAGATTTTTAAGGAAACTTGCCAAAACATCGATTTACCTTTGTACTACTACAGAAAAAAAGCATACTCCGGAGTAGATATCAGCTCTGACCATAACCGGCTAATAGCTAGAATCCACGTGAAACTAAAAAATATTGTAATACATAAAACTAAACCAACGTTTAATTACACAAAATTAAGGAAAAGAGAAATACATCAAAAAGTGATCCAACAAGTCAACTCAAATCTAACAGAAGTGGGAGAAGAAATCTTAACATAAGAAGATGTCAATGAAAAGTGGAGCAATATTCAGGAGGCATTACTAAAGGCTGCACAAGAAAATTTAAAGCCTGAAAACACAAATAAAAAATAGAAGTGGATGACTTCAGAAATTCTAGCATTAATCGAAGAGAGGAGAAAAGCCAAAGGGAGAAATGAGCCAAAATATCAAGAACTATAAAGTAGAATTAAAATAGAGATAAAAAAGGCCAAGGAAAAGTGAACAACAGATCAATGCATAGAAATAGAAGAGTATAATATAAAAGACAACAGCTTTAATATGCATAAAAAATAAAAGAACTAACAAATACCAAATAGCGAGCACACTATGGGATACTCAAAGATGATAATGGTAAACTCATTGCAGACATCAAAGATAAACTAAGATTTTGGCAAGAATACATAATGAAACTATTCGACAATGATATAATGATACAAGAAGAACCACAGGAACAAACAGGAATGAAAATAATAATGTGCGAATTAGAACAGGCAAATAGAAATGCAAATACCGCAAAATCAGTAGGCCCAGATCAGATACCCACTGAGCTAATTAAATGCATTAACGAAGAAATACTGCATATACTTTTAGATCTATTCAACAAAGTATATACAACAGGAGTAATACCCAAGGTAAGTTGCTGTCCACGTTTGTAACACTACCAAAGTCAGTACATGCGATAGAATGCTCCCAGTACAGAACAATTTCCTTAATAAGCCACATACTTAAGATATTTCTCAAAATAATACATGCAAGAATATACAAAAAAATAGAAGAAGATATAGATGACACCCAGTTTGGATTCAGAGGAGGACTAGGAACGAGAGAGGCTCTGTTCGCTTTTAACGTTCTCGCGCAAAGACGACTAGATATGAACCAGGATCTCTATGTCTGCTTTATAGATTATCAAAAGGCTTTTGATAAAGTACGACATCAGAAACTCGTAAAACTGTTAAAAGAAAAGAATGTGGATAGTCGAGATATACGGGTTATTGTCAATCTGTACTGGAATCAAAAAGCAAAGGTTAGAATCGAAAATGTCGATACAGAAACAATAGAGATCAAAAGAGGTGTTAGACGGGGTTGCGTTCTGTCCCCATTGTTATTCAATCTGTACAGCGAAGCTATTTTTATGGAAGCAATATCAGAGGAACAACAAGGTATATCAATAAACGGAAAATTCTTAAACAACATAAGATTAGCAGACGACACGGCTGTTTTTGCAGACGGCTTCTAGCATTGCAACGCTTAGTAAATAGATAACCTGATAACATCAAGTCAGTATCAAATATGGTCTACAAATGAACGTTAAGGAAACCAAGTTCATGCTTATTTCTAATCAACATAAAGTAGCAAGGCTATCGAGGGAAAATAAGTAGAAAGAGTAAATAACTACAAATCTCTGGAAACCTGGGTAAATGAAAACAATGAAAGATAGAGAAATAAGGACACGCATTGAAATTGCAAGACAAGCATTTATAAAAATGAAATCAATGTTTGCCAATCGAGATCTTCCTCTGGATCTGACGATAATAGCCTTAAGATGCTACGTGTTCTCAACTTTGTTGTATGGAATGGAAAGCTGTACACTAAAAGTGGATAATATAAAGAAGTTGTAATCATTTGAGATGTGGTGCTGTAAAAGGATTTTGAAAATAATATGGACCAACGAGTTACAAATGCAAAAGTGTTAAGAAGGCCACAAAAGGACTGCGAGATTATAAAGCACATCAAAACAAGAAAGCTGGAATATATGAGCCACATTACCAGAGATAATGTGGCTCAAAGAGGCTCAAATGAGGTAAAAGATCCATAGGAAGACGAAGAATTTCCTGGCTGAGAAACCTAAGAGAGTGGTATAGTTGCAGCTCAGTAGATCATTTTAGAGCATCCGCCAATAAGGTGTGGATAGCTGTGATGATAGCCAACCTCCGATAGGAGAAGGAACTACAAGAAGAAAAAGGAAGAAAAGTGAGTGGAGTAAAAAAGACATTTTTAAAAAGTGGCTTAAAATATAATGGAATAAGTAAAATTTTTTTCAAAAAGGGTGTGATTCCTTTTTGATAGCGCTCTTGGTAATCCGTCTGAAGAAAAACTAACCACTGAGGATAATTATATCAACACATTATTTCTTCCACCAAATTAAATGGTTATTAAGGAAATCAAAAATATCTAAATCTGCTAAATCTTCTCACTAACGCAAAATCGAGATAGAAAGTCTGGTCGGGCTGTCTAACCTGGAGCGACAGTAAGAAAATTAAAATTCACTATAAAGAATGTGTATCTCCCTAATATATACCATCTCTGTTGAGGTTAGCGATCATTCCGGAAAATTTATTTCTATCCTGAGCTGCGTGTAATAGGTTATTTCCGTTGCCATTTTTTCCAATCTTGTGTGTTATTTCTTATCCACAATTTCTTATTTTGACCTATGCCTATTGTTTCGTCTATATTTGACTCCAAGGTAAGTTAAAACTGTTTATGCTCAGTGTGCTGTAATTTTCTTTAAAAATTCTGCGTTTATGATGAATTATGCTGGTTCATCGTCTACGTTTCGAGTGATCCACATGAATATTTATTTCTCATTCCAGAATCATGTAACTGTAAAAGTTTTAGATATTTTTATTGTCGTCAATTGTAACATTGTCATCAATTTTCTTGATGTTTTTCCTGTAGAATTCATGAACGGTTAAAAACTACAGTTTTGGTTTTTAAGGAGTTTATCTCTAGTCATTATGACATTCGACTTTAACATGACATTCATTAGTATCTGTAGATTCGGTACCACTTAAACACGGTATATCTAGATGAGGATAGTTTTCTCAGAATGTGAATATTACGTCCAATTTTAGAACTATAGAAAGTGCTACTTACCTGATAAATCTATCCATATTGATGTAGTTTTTTTCGGCACTCTCATAATGAAAGTCTCCTCCCATAGGAATAATGATATTTTTAGTGGGAAAATATTTTTCGTATGTTTCTATTAGTTTAGTAAACTTTTCTTTCTAAAATCATAACAAGATTTTTTTTTAAATGTAGAAAAATTAAAGAGAAAGGGAAGAATAGACCAAATTTATAAAAAATTGTTATTTCGACACGTAGATAAAAATAGAGAAATTTTATTCACATATGATTTTTTTGTGAACGTTAAAAGTGATATGGACTTATATATAGTGATATTATATACTCTATATTGCAAATGGTTAAATATAGAATATTAGATAGTATTATATTTAATTTTTGTAAAATCATCATCATCATTGGACCCACAACTCAAAAAGCGTTTTTCTAGCTGGGTCATTTTGTTCCATCCGCATTATATACCCTATCCACCTCAGACGTCTTATCTTAATATTGTTGACGATATCTGGTTCCTGGTATATTCCTGGTACATTCTATATAGTTATAAAGTACTTTTCTTTCGAAACACCCTAAAGTTAGAGTCCAGGTCTCTGTACTATATGTTACAGGGACTGGTCGTGTTATTGTTTTGTAAATTTTTATTGTTGTATTTCTCGGTCTAATTGTGGATTTAAAAAGGAGATTTAGTCCAAAATAGCAGCTGTTGACTGTGCAAATTCTGCGGTTTATCTATACGGTAGTATTATTTTGAGTGTTAAGGTAAGGAGCGCTCCCATGTATACAAATTAGTTCACTGTTTCAAAGACGTCGTTTTCTATAACGAGTATTTATTATTAATTACGCTGCATTTCGCAACACTGTATTCCAACATTTCAATCATTGGGGAGGGATTTATAGGAGGGATATATTAAGTTCCTGTTTTGAGTATTATATAAATAGTTTTATTTTTTTTTTAGCAAATATCATGACGAAAATTGCCTACCAATTCCTCAACTGTTTGAATAAACCAGGTATAAGCTATTAACGGTTTGGTATTGTTTTATTGGGCTTGGTGTAGATTTTAAATACTTTGAAAAAGTTGTAGAAAGCTATTTATTAAGGTTCATTGTTATTTTGTTTAACGAACACAAAATTGAGAAAGTTAAAAATTAATTTTAAGAATTCGGGAATTTTGTTGGTTTTTGAAGGACCTAATGTTGTTCCGAAGATATTTTTTGTGACATCTTGATAAACTTCTTTTCTAAACTTAAGTTGTGGCTTATTCCTAATAAAAACAGTAATTTTATTTGAAGGACTTAAGACCATTAATTGAAGAAATGGGAATGGAAGATGAAATTTGGATATTTGATGGATTTTGAAAGTCCATAACAGTATTTATTTAATGCTAACTGTAGGTGGAAAAAATATCGAATCCTGAAAAGTGATTTAGTGATGATAGTTGTAAACGGTGTAAACGAAGTAAATGTTTATTTTGTGAGTAAGAGTTCTACAAAAGTGATATCGGTTTTGGCCTATGAGTGGTGATTGCGAGAAGTTGCAGTAGTTGGCAGTGTTTGTTGTAAGTACAAATAAGTAAATATTCATCTTGAGAATCATAGACAAAGAGGTTTGTAGTTGCCAAAAGAGATTGTTAGGACGTTTGATCTAGGTTCCATGTCAGCACAACAAAGGAAGAACAAAAGAAAGAAGTTTAGCTAGAATTTTTGAGAAGCGAATAGCAGGGACATTTATGAATTGAGAATAAAGTTAACCGTTTTTTAGAACAATATTGTATAGGCAATAGACACATTTTAGAAAATTTAATATAAAAAATATATTTACTATAACATCGATGTTGTAATCAGCACTTTTTGTGTTATCGTCTATTGTATCATCTGTACATTTGTAATCCCAACAAAATCCATCCGGCGGGAAATACAAGCTTGTTGGAAATATGCTTCCAAATATGGTGCTCTCATCTAAAAATTAAAGAAGTTAGTAATACTAATTATTAAATCAATATTAGTTTTAAAAATATCAGATGCTGTTATTCATTAAAATGCCTACTTAACCTTTCACTACACGCGCGCGGACTGACAGACAGTGTTTGATTGAAATTTAAAATTTCTGACATACTTCCCACTGTTTCCCCTTTCTGTAGCCGCTTTGTAAATCTTCATACACACGGCTGCTTTATGTTAGTCCAGACTGAAAAGTTTTTTTTTTATATAAGTAGTAGGGATGTGATATTGTTTCGTGGAGATGTAGTGGACTGCTAAATAGCTAGGGTTTAGAATGTATGTTGTGGATAGAATGAAGCACACAAGAAGAATTAGTGGTGAGGGAAGCCAAACATGTCAAAGGAGGTACTTCAGGGGTTACCAGCCATACTTGGAACGACTCTTAATCAGCTTTTTTGGCGTACAGTTGTTAGCTGCGGTATTTAATGGGGACTGTTTCTAGAATATCAAAATAATAATCAGAAAGTTTGTGTCCAGTGTTGTGTAGAAGTTTAGCTGGAGGGAACGGAACTTTTCTTTGCGGAAACCTGGTTAGTGTTTACTCTCAGCGATCGCTCGATTAAAGGTGTCTTTTTTATTTGTTTTACTCGATTATTCGAATCAGCGATGGTTCGAAGGACATACCTCCTACTGAGGGATAGGATTATGTCCTTAATACGTGTCATATCAGCTAGTATGTATATGTGTGCTGATGGATAGTGACTTCTCCACCTCATGCAGAACCTTAGAATTTTTCTTTCTGTGGCCATGATGGATTTAATTTGGTAGATCTTAAGAGAGGCGCAGACGCATGCCTTGTATTCGATGATCGGTCTAATGAACGTTTTATATGTTTGCAATAATGTTCTAGATGACGTGTTACCCAGTTTGCCGGCCAGCACTGCCAGAAGATTAAACCTTTTTCTCACCCTATCAAGAGTGTCTTGAATGTCAGTTTTCCAGTATTAACATTAACTTGTTTCCAAATTATAAGCAAATGCGGACATTTTTGGTTGTGACGCGACGACATAATATATTTTATAAGAAAAAATAATCAAAGTTACAACTCTTGTAGCACTTAGTTTAGTTAATTAGTAAAATTATTTTTGGCCATTTTTCATATTATTTTCTAGCTATAAATCAGTCACACCTCTTAAAGGCACATTTGTCTTTAATTGGTTTACCGGTTTATCAAATAATATTTCAGCTTACTTTACACCTTCAAAAAACAATTCATTCAGCAGCGATTCATTAGTGGTATGACTAGTTATACCTTATTACAAATAATTAATTCACCAACTGCAAGAATTTAAAACTAAGTAAGACAAGTGAAAAACCTGTCCTAAATTTATTTGACTAATAGCAAGTTTTGGGTGTTATCCATATAATTAATTTGGACGAATCACATTGGCAGTTACTTATAAATACCAGTTCCCAATAAACTGTAAGAATTTAAAACTAGCTTCACTGATAAGGCAGGTGAAAAACCTGTCTCAAAATTATATGACTAAGAGCAAGTTTTGGGTGTTATCCATATGATTGATTTGGACGAATCATATTGGCAGTTACTTATCTTGGAATCATTTTATTTTAAATAGAAAATTAGAAATTTTTGTCAATTAAGAGGGTGATAAAAAACTGCTAGAGTTAAACATAAGAAAATGTCTTATCTGGGACATATAGTAAGAGGAAATCGATATAGGATATTACAACTGATCCTTAAGGGCAAAATGGAAGGCCGTAGAAGTGTAGGAAGAAAACAGGTTTCTTAGTTAAAAAACATTCGTGAATGGACTAAGATATCAAGTGAAGGATAATTATTTCATGTCGTAGAAGATCGAGAAGACTTTGCAATGATGATGGCCAACGTTAAATAACTTTGATTGTAACAATTAAAACGTTACATTTTTGTTCTTATTAATTTCAAAGTACTTTCCATTATTTTCTGCTCGTACTATTTGATTCTCGTTGATAATAACTTCTTTTTCCTTTGTTTTTATTCCTATATTTCATTTCAATATTTTCCTACTACAAATAAATTCACCGATTAATTTCTTAAGTCCCCTCGTAATTGTACCTGCGCTTACTTTGTCATACAAGAAACAGAAACCCCACTACTAAATAATTTACTTGTATTAATCCGATTCCATTTACTTCCTTTTTAAAATAAACTAGCAACCAACAAAGTACTCAATAAAAATAAATCTTCGTGGTCAGAAACTTCCAACAGTCTTGGTAAGGTTAATACTTTGTTCTTTTTACAATGACAACATATTTTAATACATTAATCAAGAACATAAGCACTGTTAGTTTTTCTTATAATTTTGTGTACGCTGGTACTTAAAAACCGCTTAGAATTTTTATTTTCTTTTTACCTATACTTGCTGTAATAATAATAATTCAATATAAATCTTACTATTCACTCTTCTTTTCTCACTTTTCGTTTTCCATTTAATAATTAATTAATCTAGTAATTGCAATTGTTAATTCGTGAGTTTTCTTACTATTTATAACTGGGAATAAGCCACATTAAAGATAAAAATACATTTATTGACGTTTCAATTTCCAATTCGGAAATCGTTCTCAAAATACAAATAGTAAATTAAACAAATTTTGTTTTTTGTTACATAGTGAAAAAATTCTTCTGCTAATTTAATTTTATCTGACTCATTTATATTGACAATTCAGACATACATTATGCATTTTAAAGTAGACGACTTTAAAATGATATTGCCAATATTGTTGAGTTGCGCTCCTGGGACGACTTTACTTATAAGATAGTTCATTCGATTACATGAAATCAACTTTAACTTGAGAATATCCGTCAGAAAAAAATCATAGCATGTAATTCGTCTTTAAAAAGACAAACACATGACATGATGACAGTAAAATTCTCCTGTTAGTGATTCCATAGTAAATTATGAGGGAAAAACCAGGAAAAAAACCTCATAATACTATCCCGACATTGTAAGTATTTGTTCGTGAATTTAGTTTACCTTCAACAAACATCAAAATTCTGATTTTATGTTACGTTATTTAAAAAACATAAATGATGTATCCTCTATATGTTACTGACTTACTAATACTGGTATTTTCTTATTAATAACTTCCTCTTTCAATATTGGTAACCAGATCCTACTACATTCTGCCGAGGAATTTGCGACACAATTGGCCTCATTTAGCATAATTAGAGCCGCTTCTTTGATTTTTCTTTTTTTACCATCCGTTTCTTTTAGGACTATATTTGAATTATTCCATTGAACTCTATGTTCATTATCCCATGCGTGTTTACATATTTGAGATCTATCAAATTCTCTATTTTTAATATAAGATTGATGTTCACTTATTCTAACATTTAATGGCCTTGATGATTCACCTAAATAAAACTGATCGCATTCACAAGGTATTTTATAAATGCAATTCTTTGTCCTTTCTTGTTCATTGTTAGGTTTGGTTTTTGGACAAAATAGATCTCAACGTGTTTGTTGTTTTGAATGTTGTTGAAATGTTGAATTTATTTCCTATCCTTTTAAGTTTTTCTGATAATCCTTTTATGTACGGTATTGTTATTTTCCTCATATTATTCCTTGTGTATGCTGTAGGATCTCGTTCTAAGTTGTTCTGTTCTATTCGATCGATTGTTGAAAATTCCTTATTTATAAACGATAAAGGATAATCATTTTTTAATAAAACAGATGTTAACAAATGTTTCTCCTCCAAGAACGAATTTTCGTTAGAACAAGTTCTAACCAATCCTATTTTGTCTTCTATTTTGTCCAAAACCAAACCTAACAATGAACAAGAAAGGACAAAGAATTGCATTTATAAAATACCTTGTGAATGCGATCAGTTTTATTTAGGTGAATCATCAAGGCCATTAAATGTTAGAATAAGTGAACATCAATCTTATATTAAAAATAGAGAATTTGATAGATCTCAATATGTAAACACGCATGGGATAATGAACATAGAGTTCAATGGAATAATTCAAATATAGTCCTAAAAGAAACGGATGGTAAAAAAAGAAAAATCAAAGAAGCGGCTCTAATTATGCTAAATGAGGCCAATTGTGTCGCAAATTCCTCGGCAGAATGTAGTAGGATCTGGTTACCAATATTGAAAGAGGAAGTTATTAATAAGAAAATACCAGTATTAGTAAGTCAGTAACATATAGAGGATACATCATTTATGTTTTTTAAATAACGTAACATAAAATCAGAATTTTGATGTCTGTTGAAGGTAAACTAAATTCACGAACAAATACTTACAATGTCGGGATAGTATTATGAGGTTTTTTTCCTGGTTTTTCCCTCATAATTTACTATGGAATCACTAACAGGAGAATTTTACTGTCATCATGTTATGCGTTTGTTTTTTTAAAGACGAATTACATGCTATGATTTTTTTCTGACGGATATTCTCAAGTTAAAGTTGATTTCATGTAATCGAATGAACTATCTTATAAGTAAAGTCGTCCCAGGAGCGCAACTCAACAATATTGGCAATATCATTTTAAAGTCGTCTACTTTAAAATGCATAATGTATGTCTGAATTGTCAATATAAATGAGTCAGATAAAATTAAATTAGCAGAAGAATTTTTTCACTATGTAACAAAAAACAAAATTTGTTTAATTTACTATTTGTATTTTGAGAACGATTTCCGAATTGGAAATTGAAACGTCAATAAATGTATTTTTATCTTTAATGTGGCTTATTCCCAGTTATAAATAGTAATTAATTTACAATGCCACAAGAAAATAGCTTCAGAACAATATCGTGAGTTTTCGCAACGTCAGAAAATTCTAAATCGGTATGCAGGTCTTAGAGAGAAGAGCTTTCCACTTGCCAGAATTCTTCTGTTGTTGGACAAAACTCGTGCCATGACAAATTTTATATTGGCTTTTGTTTTTCCAGCCACCTGGTTTTGGATTTAAGAAAATGCACATGCTTTTGAATTAAGAACATCCACATTGTTTTGGTTTAAGAAAATAGAGGCATAGTTTTGATGCAGATAATTTATAGATCGAGTTGAGAAGAGAGCAACAGTAGGATCTCTTACGAAAGTTAAGATAAGTTTCTTTCTTTCTTTGAATTTTGTGTATAGATGCTTAATTCTCTGTTATCAGGACCTTAATTTTTAATTGTTATTAAATTTTATTTTTGTTATTTAAATAATTTATCAATTAATAGATGTGTTGAAAACTTGTTTCATTAATAATTCCCGATTTCTCCAAAATTAATTAGTTTATGCCGAACAACACCCCTGAGGGGTTTTAATGTGCAATAAATGAGCTAGCCGTTACATGATATGGCACGTCACGAAGAAGATAGATTGTTGCGTCATAGATGACGTAGAACACTGCATTTTTGCTTGCACTAGTTTTCGAAGAGAAGAGAATAGCCTAATAGCATAGAAACGATATTACACAACTATTTGACACAAAAAGCGATGCAGAAAAAAAAGCCTACAATTTTATCGTCGACCAGATTACGCAAATAATAAAGAAAAATAAGACGCTAGACAGAGCGACATAGGAACAGGGTAGATGGGATAATAAATTACATATAGCGTATTATAGCGTAATAAATAGACGGCACCTTTACAGCTAGGCACCTTTACAGCTAGATCTATAATTATATTACGTAAGATGTGTATACGACCTTGTGCGCAACCTCTCTAATTTTTACATGTCTCCCTTGTCAACCCACTTACACCTTCACTTTTTACCATCCCATATCTTTGTTTCTTTACAATATTCTCTGCATGTTATTCTAAGTGGTTCTTATTGCTTATAGGCCAGAATCTGTTTTCCAGTTTTTTTCTTGAATTTCCAGACTGCATGAGGCACTCAATCTTTCTTTAACCGATTTAACTCATCCAGTAGTGCCTTTTTCGAAGAAGGCTGGTTTTAGTTGATAGATGAGAGGTTAGTAAAGTGTGCGGTGCATATAGTCTATGCTTTGGATACTACTCCCTAGCATGTATTTCTTTCTTGATCGAATCTAACAGTACTACATATCTTCCTCAGTCTATCCTAGAAGCTGTCCATCTCTATCAAAAGCAAGTATTGCAGGATAACGAAATATTGCCCAATATAGAGAACCTGATATTACCACATTTATACATAATACCAAAGGTTGATTAGAAAGACAAAAAGAGATAAAGCGAACAAATATCCAGAGAATCACCTAAGTATTTAAGTAATTGTCAGAATAATATTTTCATTAGGTAGAGAGACCATTTAGTATAATGAAACTTAAATGAAGGATTCCTTATTTTCAATAAAAATTTCTACTAATGCGATTTATAAGTAAATTTACCTAGATTTGCGCTTCCTTGCCAAGCAAAATCCAAAGCAGATTTGCTCATCCTGTTGGTTTTATCATCGTGATCAAGTCTGGCAAACATAACGCCGTCATATCCCATTTGTGATAGCAAAGAAGCTTGTTCTCTACTGTGACCAAATGGATCGATTTGCCATCCAACTGTTGGAATTCCACATTCGCCTACGGTTTCATCGATAGTTCTGCAAAAATAATATTATTTACTTATCATTAATTATCATTCTATGTAAATTTTAAGTAAATATCCTAGTAAGGGTTTGCAATCTGCGATCTAAAAGATCTTTTGTATGCAACCTAAATCAATGTTTTAGACCAATTCATCTAGCCTTTTAAGAAAGATATTACCTATATACTTTGTAAATATATTTATTCTCTAATAGGGATCCAAAGGCTCTACTTTAGTTAATTTTCAATAACAGGTTTGGTGGTTACTTTGCAACTTTTCAGAGTTTACATATTCATCATCATCATCATCATTCTGCCTTTACAACCCTGCATATGGATTTCTGTGTTCATATTTCTTTTATAAGCTGCTGTAATGCCATTATGGTATCATGGCCACCTTCTTTACATAGTTCAGCTGGGAGATTATCTATTCCGGGTGATTTGTTTCTGGCTAGCTTTTTAACTACATATTGCCGGTTTACTTTACTTATTTTATATAGATGATATCTGGCTATAACTATGACCAAACTCTATTCCAATTTTTGAAACAACACCACTCTTCACTGAATTGTGCAAAAATTATAATAGTTTGGCAAACATTTTAAATTAATTTATTAATATCATAGAACTGTCACAATCAAATTACATATCTAATTTCAATAATAAATTTACTAAAAATTACAGCAAAACATCAATAATTTTAGTGATCAATAACTTTGAACAGAGGAATAATTCCTTACCTAAGTCCCCAAGTAAATTGATCTATGGTAGACTGATAGTTGGAGCATGCCTCATCGTTCATTGACCATGCTCCATTCACCATTTCAATTTGACCCTTGTCAACCAATCCTTTATATAATTTACGTACCTCAGGGCTCTGGTGCTTCCACCAATTCCAAAAGTATGCTGTTTCCACTTGTATATACCTAAAAATATAATACGATTTTGCATATCTATACTATATTATTATAGTTAGAAGAAAAAAGGTAAAACCACCAAAATAAACATCAAAAACCTGAAAGACGACAACTCCCAACAGCAACCAAACGCAGAGATAAATAAATTAACTGAAGGAAGCGTGGAATGGGCAGATACGAAAATGCCATACGAAATGCTGGAAAAGAGGTCCTAGGCGAAGAAGAGAAAACCACTAAAAAATACTTAATGACACCGGAAATAGTTGAGCTAATAAATGAAAACAGAAAATACAAAAATAAAGATGAAAATAAATATAAAATCATCAAGAATAAAATCAAATAGGAAATCACAAAGGCTAAGGAGGAATGGATGAACAAGGAATGCCAGGAACTGGAAGAACTCAGCAACAAACATGACAAAAAAAATGAAAGAACCTACAGTCAACACCAGACAAAGAAAAACACCCATAACAAGATATAATGATGGAGAAATACTTACTGAAGAGAGCAAAGTAAAGGAAGTATAGGAGCCATATATATCTGTTGCATGACGAGAGGGAATTTTTTTTTATTATAACTAATAAATTAACAATCAGAATAAAACAATGTATTCTATAAGTTAATGTGATGAGTTTAGGACCTGTCCCTTGGTTCTGGCGTGATGTGGTCCCTTCCAGTGAGAGAATCACGGATCCATGTTACTGATCAACGTCGTTTTAGTCTACTGGTAACTCGATGTTGAGGTATTGTGGAAATTAATGGATTGGAGTGTGTGTTCACTTTTTGAATGTATTGTAATTTCTTTTGCTGGTATACTTCTTTCACTGTTGAGATATTGAGATCCTCATAGATTCTTTGGTTGGTTACGTACCAGGGTGCATCAACAATTGTTCTTAAGATTTTTGAATGGCATCTTTCCATAATAGCAATATTAGATTTACTACTACAGCCCCACAGCTCTAGGCCATATGTCCATATTGGTTTGATAACTGTTTTATAAATTAGAATTTTATTATTTATTGACAGTTTGGAGTTTTTTCCAATTAACCAATTGATTTCTTTTTGTCGTAGTTGTATTTGTTTTCTTTGTTTGGTGATATATTCTTTCCAACACAGGGTTTGGTCCAGGTGTAGCCTTAGGTATTTGGTTGTTTTAGTCCTGGGTATTTCCTCATTGTTAATATATATATATATATATATATATATATATATATATATATATATATATATATATATATATATATTGGTGGTGGTGTTTCTCGTCGTAAAGTAAAAGTTACGTGGGTTGACTTGTTTTCATTTATTTTTATTTTTCAGTGTTTTAGATAGTTTTCAAGCTCATACAAATAGTCTGGCGTTGTTCTGTAGCTATGTTAATGTGTTTGTGACTTGTAAGTGCTACTGTGTCATCTGCATATGTGCCAATTGTTACGTTATGTGAAGTTGGTAGATCAGAAGTATAGATCAGATCAGAAGAACGGCTTGAATCGATGTTTTGCTTTGATGATTTGATGATTGCTTGAAACCTAATGTGCCACCCTTTAAAGATTCTCTTGATAATTGTTCAAAACCGAATTTATAAGAAATGTGAGGAGCAGATAAATCAAACGCACTTTGGGTCCAGAGGAGACATGGGTACAAGAGAGGCATTATTTGCGTTGACGATACTCTTGCAGAAATGTCGGAAATATAACAAGAGTGCATATGTATGCTTCATAGACTTATGAGGAAGGCCTTTGACCGAGTGCAGCATATGAAGTTAATAGATGAATTAAAAAAAATCAATTTAGACAAAAAAGATATTGAGTTTATTCAGGCTATATACTGAAATCAGAAAGCAGTAGTGAAACGATAAAAGTGAAAGGTGAACGATATAGAAACAAATATTATATCGATTGCGAGAGGGGTCAGGCAAGGATGCCTCTTGTCTCTGATGCTTGTCTCCGACGCTTTTACTCACAGGTTATATTCAGAAAAGCTTTATGGGAAAGAAAAGAGGGAATAAGAATTGGTGAAGAAATCGTAAACACCATAAAATTTGCAGATGACACAATAATTATGGCTGAGAGTATATATAAAAATTAATGAGTATATATGAAATAACAATAAAAAAAAATATAAATATATAGCGTTTATTTAGTACTTACCTTCTATCCTCATTGTCAAGCAAAGCTTCAAATACTGATGTTATAATGTACTGTACACCAGCTTGCTGAATGGATGTATTCACTAAAACATTATTGATAGTTAATCAGTATAGTATTAGTTAATACTTAAATAAATATATACCCCAGGTATCTCGTATAATTATATTCACATTTTGGAAACGTAGTTTACGTTTCATTAATTTAGGGGCTAGTTTAAACGGTAGAATGTCTGACTGTTACACAAAGAGGTTCAATCCCGTGGAATAAAGAGTCCTTATCATGTTACCTACCATATATACCGTAGGCCCAAGAAATAGAATACAAGTTTTTTTGCGACATATAATGCAACGTAATGCCTTCTTGAAACAACCTCAGTGCTTATAAATATCCCTTGATTGGCGCATGTCCATTAAGGAAGCGAATTTTTGCACCTTGATTGCTTTAAAGAAAATACTCTTTGGTTGAAAGTTTAACAACCATATTGCAGAGAAATATGTAATTGTTGATTTTACTAACATGCTAGAAATCCAATATAACATGTCTGGTTTTAAGTACCATACTAGTCTTCTTAGCTTTATTAATTATGGGTTCTATCTGGTGATTTCGAGTAAGCTCCATATCTAATATGACTTCAAGGTGCTTTTAAAATAAATGACAGATGAGAGACAAAGACTTTTCCTGTCTGGTTTGGCTAGATTCAGGTTTGTATGCTTATAAGCTTTCTCAGTATGTATCCAACTCTAAGCTATTTTCTAGTATTCCAAGTCTATGTAGTAACATACGTAATTTTTTGTATTAAAGACTATTTTCCTTTGTAGAACATTCGATAAATCCTGCCCAGGCTCAAGTAATATATGGCTTAAGTAAGTTCTCCGTACCTGAATTAGGACACGAAATAGAAAACAGTTTTCAGGAAGTAGAGATAGCTATAAATTCACTCAAAAATAAAAAATCACCAGAACCAGATGGAATAACCAACGAACTTCTAAAACACGAAGGTGAAAGTGTGACCTTAGAAATGACAAAACTTTTAACAAAAACTAATATTACACTGCAAGATACCAGACGCATAGAAAAACAGCATAATGATACCAATGTTCAAGAAATGAGATAAAGATAACTCCAATAATTATAGAGGTACAAATCTACTGAACACCGCAATCAAGCTCACCACAAAAGTCCTAACCAACAAAATCAATAAACTAATAACTTTATCAGATGAACAACAAGGATTCAGATCCGGAAGGTCGTTCGTGATCCTTGATGGAGCACAAAAAAAGTTTTTTTACCTTTGCTTATTTGAAATTTCTTGGAGATGCATTAAGGCTGTAAATTGCAAGATTCACTTTTTCCAGAAGGAATTTGATGTTACAGGAGAATTTACTGGCCGAGTTTCATACACCAGTATTTTTTCCGAAACAAATTGAGGCGGTTCGAAAAGTTTGGCAAGCAGCAAATGGCTGGTAAGAAATTTATCAAACAAAAATTTATACTCAGATTATTTTTTATTAATATAAAAAAAAGGGACCAAAGATTTTATCAGACAAACACTTTCTTACTGTTCACACTAACTGGAAGTATGGATCTTGGTTCAAAAACTGTCCACTTGGAATCAACACGGTATTTAAGTGGACAAAAAAAGAACATAAAATAACAGCCTTGTTCAAGCGAAGTGTTTTTAACGGGAGTCAATTAAATTATTGGGTCACTTAAATACAAGCTCTCTAAATACATATCTGGTTTCTTGATTCCAGTCACGACCAATCTCAGAACAATAAATGGAGCTGGACCTTTGAGTTCTCAAATGCTACAGGTCAATAATACACAAAATCATGCCTTGGTAGAAAAGAATGGGCAAATTGCTATAGCTTATAATAATTGTACATTTAATATTGTTAACAAATAAATAAAGATTATGTTTCGTTGATGTGGTGCATTAATTGTCTCGTGAAATAGTCTTGTCGAATGTCATTCGAGAGGATATTATTTACCGGCAAAATTTTGACAAAATCACTCAACTGACGTCTCGACTGTCAGATGTCTCTGACCGTTAATTATTAAAATTTGATTCGCAACAAAGTTTCATTTCAGTCGAAAATATTACCATCAAAATTTTCTCTCTTATGATAACGAAAATATTTAGTACAATTATAAAGGTTAGAAAAATAAATATAATAGCTTATAAGGGTCAATCAATTAATAATGTATTTGCACATCGATGTTTGACATACTCTTGACATTGTAATCGTTTCTTATTACGTAATCATCATCCTCCTGGGATATTTCGTTTTATGTCCCAATTATCTCCTTCTGAAGTGCTCTCAAAGTTTGAGTAGGATGCTTTACATTAAGAAGTTTTCGACTCCTTATGTCCGACCCATTATCTGTTTAATTGGGTATAAATCTGGGAAACTCATTGTTCAGAGTAAAAGATCGACTTCAGTCAGTTTGGAGAAGTCCATTGTGAGTCTAACAAGTAAGTTAGGAGAGGATTGAAGGTAGGATATGAGATAAGGTGATTCGTTGATCCGTTATTTTCCTCTGACAAAGATTAGAGGCGATCTTGAACCTTGAACGATGGCACTTCACATTATAACCTCAACAGTATGGTGCACATGCCATTCCATAAAAGCTGTGGCTTTTGTCTTTCACCACTTCGCCCTTTTCATCACTAAAACAACCTTTTTGCCCCGTTTCATTTCTGGTCCCAATCCAATAGTTATTTCACTATTTAAGACAATTACGTCGATGTTCAGAGGTAAATGGTAACATTCAGAGTTTCTGAAATGAATAACGGCCAAAAGTGCGAATTTGACGATACGTGTAACGCATTTTATACTTCGTGGATACGATAGTGCAGAATTTGGAGAATGGATAATGAATAACGTGAATGTACTAAAAAATTATTTACTTACTTCCATAATAGTACTGATCAACTGTCTTTAACCAACCCACGTCATCATGGGAATGTGGTATTAGATGGACATTTATTTTATCCTTAGCCACAGGGTGGCACTTAACGCAGCCAACTTGATATCCATCATTTTTTAGTGTTCCTGATAAGACTCCAGATACTGTTAGAACCAGAAATAGGAGTAAACACCTCATCATAGTTTTTGTCAAGTGTGTTCTTTAATAATCGGAATTCTACAATGCTTTTAGTATAAAAGTAAATATTAAAGTAATCAAAGCTATTGTTTTTTATCTGATTATTGAAATAACTAACAGATTATATGTTGATCAATATGTATAACAAATCAGAACTTAGTTTATTGTTTGATAAAAATATTTACTGTATTTCAAGTTGCATGTGATTATTATAGAGTGATCAACTTTTGTAATGTTTTCTAGAACTTCTAGAACAAAAGTTATTAGAAGAATAGGAAATGAGGCTGAAATATTATTGACTATCAAGAGAAGAAACCTTGAGTACTTAGGACATGTGATAAGAGGGCAAAAAAAACTTATTATAGCAACTTATTATGCAAGCTAAAATTCAAAATTCAAAATACAAAAATAAAAAATTTCGTCGAAAAATTAACAGAAAAAAGTTAAGGGTGAACAACCGTTATCATTTAGGGGTATGAAAAATAGATAGTAGCCGATTCTCAGACCTATTGAATGCGCATATAAAATTTGGTAAAGATCGGTAAAGCCGTTTCGGAGAAGTACGGTAACTAACATTGTGACAGGGAAATTTTATATATTAGATTAGACTAAAATAGCCATAAAAAATAGGGGTTGATGATAAAAAAGTAAAAGTTTAAGGTTGTATGTATTTTTTAATGCAATATTATAAAAATACAAAAATAAAAAATTTCGTCGAAAAATTAAAAGAAAAAAATTAAGGGTGCACAACCCTTATCATTTAGGGGTTTAAAAAATAGATAGTAGCCGATTCTCAGACCTATTGAATGCGCATATAAAATATATATATATATATATATATATATATATATATATATATATATATATATATATAATATATCATCATCATCATCATCATCATCATTCCTCAACCTCTTGCATCCACTGTTGGATATAGGTCTCCTCCATGTTCTTCCACTGTTTTCTATCTTGCGCCTTCTGTATCCAATTTACCGACTGTTTTTCTCAAGTCGTCCATCCATCTTTTTGGTGGTCTGCCTCTGTGTCTTTTGTCTTCTCTAGGTCTCCATTCTATGAGTCTTTTGGTCCACCTATTATCATTTAAACGTGCTATATGTCCAGTCCATCTCCATTTGGCTTGTGCAATTTTTTCTATGACATCTGTCACTTTAGTCCTCTCTCTCACTATCCTATTTGGTACCATATCTCTTCTAGTTATTCCCAACATTGGTCTTTCTCTAGACTGATAGAAATCTAATTTTCGTTCTAAACGTTTTGTGATGATCTTGGTAAACCATTTGTAGAGATGTGACAACAGACTTATCGGTCTATAATTCTCTAGGTCTGATATATCTCCTTTTTTGTGTATTAGGATAGTAATTGCATTGTTCCATTTTGTAGGGACAATACCTTGGTTTAGACATAGGTTGAATAGTTCAGTTACTACTTCCAGCAGTTTATTGCCTCCTACTTTAACAGCTTCTATTACTATTTGGTCATCTCCCGGAGCCTTGTTGTTTTTCATTTCCTTTAGAGTTCGTTTCACTTCTTCTATCGTTATGGTAGGCAGAAGTTCGGATCCTTGATTCATTACTCTGCGTTCTCTAATTTGAGTTTTGTCTTCTTCTGTTAACTGGCTTTTGTATAATTCTTCATAGAAGCTTTTTGCTATCTCTACTATTCTCTCTCTATTTGTTGTTATATTACCTTCCTTGTCTTTTAGTTTAACAATTTCCTTTTTATCATCACAAAGCTTTCTTCTGCGTGTTTTCATATTTCCATTTTGCTCAATCACATTTTGTATTTTCTCAGTATTTTACTTCCTTTGATCTTTACGAATTGCTTTTGAGATATCTCTGTTCAGATTTCTGAGTTCAGCTGAGTCGCCTTTCTGCTCTAATCTCCTGATTTTTCTTTCTTTAATAAGCTTTCTGGTGTTTTCGCTCAGTTTCTCTTCTTTTCTGGCTGGTCTAGCACAGTACTATTTTTGTGCAGTCTTTAACGCTTCTGTAATCGCATTATTTACGGTTTCAACATCTGTCGAAAGAGGGTGGTTTAAGGCCCAATTTATATCAAGGTTTAACGTAGAGTTAAATACCTTGTATTTTGTATCTCTTATAGGTAATAACAAAATAACGGACTTTGTCACAAAAGTTAATCACCCTGTACAGAAAAAAATATGTAGCAACTGTTTAGAATTATAATTAGATTACATGAAAAACATAAATAAAATATGGGTGTTATCAGTAGACAGATTATCATTAAAAATATTACAAGAAATAATATATTTACTAGGATAAAAAAATATAGGTGCTATTATATCAAACATAATATTTGCTTTGCATTTTTTTATTATTAAATTTATATTTTTCGCTGTAGTTCAAATATTATTTCACACATTATGTCTTATCGTCATACATCATTTGTTTCTTGGTGTTCTTGTTGTACTTCTTAAAAGCTATTCTTTCTTCTTCTTCTATCAATAAAAGCCCAAAGATGCCGTACTTTTGGTTATTATTACGGCTATCTTCATATTTAAAACTGTTGCTCTAAATGATATGTAGCAACACCTTTTATTACATGGCCGAGATAATGCAATTTCCTAATTTTCGTTGTATTCACGAACTCCTTCTTTAACATTATTTTCTCAACGTCGTTGTTTAAAACCTTTTCTACCCAGCTTATTTTTAAGAGTTTCCTGTAAGTATACATCTTCAATGCTTCTGTACTGTTGCTATTATTCTTCTTAGCGTCCATGCCACAATTCTCTACAATAAAACCCAAAATATATCTTCTTCTAATGCCGAATAGACCATCGCTACACTAATACAATCAAATATACCTACCAAAATGCCAAGAGCTAGCGTAAGACTATCTGAATAATATCAGCTTCAGAACAATATCAGGAATCATCTCATCCAGGTACATCGAAAGCTGGCCAACCTAAGAACGGTACATCTAAACAGTGCCATGCTCTGGAGTTGACAATCAGCAGTGATTCTGAAACCTAAAGGCGCGTACAGACCTACAAACGCATGCGATGAGCAGCCACGAATACACATACGTGTGCAAATGTAGACGGCGCTTTCGTAACATCTCGTCGCATGCGTTGACTCGCGAATGACTTGAGCACACATGCTGCGAGCCAGAGTGGTGTCGGTTTTTTCGCACACATCAAAGAAACATACGTGTGATTTTCTAAAATTCTAACCACTGCAGATATGACAAACCAACGACCAAAAAAGAAAGCAGCCGTCAATAGTAGAGCGTAAGTTGTGACAAGGAACCTGTTGCCACCAATAAGACCAATACCTCCCATGAGAAACCTAGCTTATCCAAAGTATCCCAGAAAGGTTCTTTCAAAAAAGAAGGAGAACTGATTTTGCAAGGCATGTAAAGAGGAGAGAGTAGCTGACATGCAATTATACACCATGTGTCTTTGATACTTTTGAATAAATAAATAAATTCTGTATACAGCAAGTAGTACGGTAAGGAGACACAGTCCCTCCAAAGTTATTCACGTCGCTTTTAGAATATACTTGTAAGAAGGCACATTTAAACGAGCATGGTATCAACATAGTATCAACATGGTATCAGCATGCATTGAGATTTGCATATGCCATCGTCTTTATAGCCGATCTTATCAATGATGCCATAATAATGTTTGAAAAATTGTACCACACTTTCTTGAAGGTCGGACTAAAGATTAATATGAACAAGACACAAATATTGACTAATCTGGTGCTAAATCGAAATATTGCTATTGCTGGAAGGGATATTTTGCAGATTATCGTATAAGTACCTTCTTCTTATTCCTTCTAGTATGTAGGCTTTAAAGCCTGTTTCTTCTTCAATATTAGCCTCCTAAATTGTTTAAATTGTCGCACCATCTTTTTTTTGTTCTGTCAATATTTCTTTGTCCATTTAATGACTTATCTCGTGCTATCCGTACTATTCTATCCTTTGCGATTCTACTGATGTGTTCGTTCCACTCCTTTTTTCATTTTGTCACCCATTCGTTTATGTCCTTTATATTGCATGCTCTTCTTATGTTTTCGCTGTATAAGTACCTAGGACATGAAATTCGGTTGGGCGAGATATTGACAATAACTGGATGCAAGCCGCAGAAGCCAGAGACAAATGGAATGAGCTGAGGGAGACCTATGTCTAGCAGTGGACGCATACAGGTTCATGGTGATGATGGCAATATTTTGTTCTTCTTAAGGTACTGTCTTCTTTTGAATGTTTGTGACGGTCATAACGATTTGTATTCATTTTATAACTGTTCTAAAAAGTTGAGTTAACCCTTTCCAGCCCAAATTATTTTTTTTGAGTAAATTTTGTTGAAAAAGATTTATGTTATAGAAAATGATACAAGAAAAAATAATTGTTGATAGCTTTTTCAAAAATTTTGCATCCTACGGTCTGCAAACTTAAAAAAAAATTGATCCCATTTGGAATCATCTGGCATTGGTGGTACCTAAATTATGTCTGGTAAACAATTGACTATAATAGAAAATACGTTTATTATTGCACTTTATTAACAATTTAATTTTGTACATGGAAACTATACAAACAATTTTTATTATTGTTTAAACATAAAAAAACTTTGCACTTAGAACATTTTATTCTAGAGTAAGACTTTATACATAATTTGCACCTTGTGCGATTTTTATCATGTAGCGGCCAGTGTCCTACTTCATCAAATCGAACATCTCGCACTGGTGCAGGATGCAGTAGTTATCTCTTCGTTGGTGCATTCTCTTGAGAAGGACGTCCTCGCTTCCTTGTGTCGGATTTTCCAGCTATTAGTAACGCATGTCCAACTTGAGATTTGAATTGGAGAAGGGGGATGTGTTTCACTTGTTTTTGTTTGCAGTGTCTTCTGTATAGCAACCAGGAGTTGACAATACATGTATCAATAAGATTAAATATTATTCTCAAATAGAATCTTTTTGGCTTGATTTTGATTCTATATAGTTCCACAAGCATGTCATGCAAATCCACACCCCCCATCGAAATGTTATTTTCTTTGACAATTGCTGGCCGTTCGATGTCTACATAGATTTTACTCTTGTTGCAC